ATATATGTTGTCACAACACCACGTATATATGTTGTCAAAACACCACGTATAGATGTTGTCACAACACCACGTATGTATGTTGTCACAACACCACGTATATATGTTGTCAAAACACCACGTATACACGTTGTGACAACACCACGTATATATGTTGTCACAACACCACGTATATATGTTGTCAAAACACCACGTATAGATGTTGTCACAACACCACGTATATATGTTGTCACAAGACCACGTATATATGTTGTCACAACACCACGTATATATGTTGTCAAAACACCACGTATAGATGTTGTCACAACACCACGTATAGATGTTGTCACAACACCAAGTATATATGTTGTCAAAACACCACGTATACATATTGTCACAACACCACGTATATATGTTGTCACAACACCACGTATATATGTTGTCAAAACACCACGTATACATGTTGTGACAACACCACGTATATATGTTGTCACAACACCACGTATATATGTTGTCACAACACCATGTATATATGTTGTCAAAACACCACGTATATATGTTGTCACAACACCACGTATATATGTTGTCACAACACCATGTATATATGTTGTCAAAACACCACGTATAGATGTTGTCACAACACCACGTATATATGTTGTCACAACACCACGTATATATGTTGTCACAACACCACGTATAGATGTTGTCACAACACCACGTATATATGTTGTCAAAACACCACGTATAGATGTTGTCACAACACCACGTATATATGTTGTCACAACACCACGTATACATGTTGTTACAACACCACGTATATATGTCGTCAAAACACCACGTATACATGTTGTCAAAACACCACGTATACATATTGTCACAACACCACGTATATATGTTGTCAAAACACCACGTATATATGTTGTCACAACACCACGTATATATGTTGTCACAACACCACGTATATATGTTGTCAAAACACCACGTATACATGTTGTGACAACACCACGTATATATGTTGTCACAACACCACGTATATATGTTGTCACAACACCATGTATATATGTTGTCACAACACCACGTATATATGTTGTCACAACACCACGTATAGATGTTGTCACAACACCACGTATATATGTTGTCACAACACCACGTATATATGTTGTCAAAACACCACGTATACATATTGTCACAACACCACGTATGTATGTTGTCACAACACCACGTATATATGTTGGCACAACACCACGTATATATGTTGTCAAAACACCACGTATAGATGTTGTCACAACACCACGTATAGATGTTGTCACAACACCACGTATATAGGTTGTCAAAACACTACGTAAACATGTTGTCACATATGTTGCCTAATGGAATAATTTCAACTTGTCACATGACATTACATCATGTTGTCGCCTGGCATCATATTAAGTTGTAGCCTGGATTCAAAATCTGTTGCCATATGGTATCTCACTTGACACATGCCCCCCATAAAGTCTGCCACAAGTCTTATCATACCTATTGTCACTTAATATCATCTACGTTGTCACGTGGTATCATACACCTTGTCACGTGGTATCATACACATTGTCACGAGATCATATTTATTGTCACATGATGTAATATTTACAACATTTTTGTCATATGACATTTGTATGTTGTCACGTGACATCACACATATTTTCTATCACATTTTCACTTATCAATGATGTCCATTTTCCACGCGGTTCCTTTATTGAAAATTACAACGAATACACATACCGCTCGTCCATTTGACGTGACGTATTCCTGACGCACAACATGGACAGTAACCATTTCGAGTCCCGGCGCAGCTGTAGACTACATCAGACGATATTTTATGCTGAAACATCACATGGAAATCAACTTTCATTCATCAGAGTTCATTTCAACTTCTTTCAAAATTTGTAGATAATTTTAATGACTTACATATTGATTCACTGAATGAATTTCACTTTGTTGTCAATTATTTCTTAGATTTTTTAAATGTAAGTTATGCATTTTAATGTTGGTGAAAGCTCGAAATACAAACATTTTAAACGATATAAAGCTCTTGGTATGGGATTGACTTTGTGTATTTTTGATATGGCTCGAACGAAGGGAGGTAACCATTACAACATGTCGTCCTGGAAAATGAAAGCTAAAAACACTTTCCGTTGGGTCATTTTTTCATATTATGTTATCGCCCTAAAAGATCTAAAGAAAAAGTTGTGAAACATGGAATTTTTGTGAATTCTTCATTTCTTAAATTTCATAAGCAATGACATTTTTAATCTAGAAATATCTTCTTTTTCCGGAGGTCAAGGACAAGTTATTGTTATAAACTAAGTTGTATTTTATGGGATCAGATATCCATTGTAACTTTATGCTAAACGCTTCTCAGCATCCCTAATATTAAAACCGTAAAATCTGGAAAGTATTTTGTGTATGCTGGGTACATTGATGCGTTCACTCTAATCTTGCCGAAAACCAACGGATGGTGATGTGGGCGGGGTCTTGGATGTCAGTCCCTGTATCGTTGATGTACAAATCCCACTTTGTGATGCAAGTGTATCCCTTTTGAACAAAACCATACGCATTGATAACACTATCGAAACAATTTAAACGGTAAATGTTTATATTCTTCCTTTTATATATTTGAATAAATAGTTTGTTTTTGTTCTCACATAAAGTGTGTAAGCTTCTTGGTCGATGTCTTTGGACCGCCCTCCCACGACTCGGTCAGAGTGACAGGCGGATTTCAGGCCTCCCACCTCGCCATTATTTGACACTTTTCAAATAATGTCACATAACGTTTTCCTCTATGAAAGTATTGAAATAATGTAACGTAATCCTCATATCAAACAGCGATGGGGTATTGGTGTCCTGATCGGTACAGGAAGATTTGTCTCCCCTGATGTCAGTGGGGAGAGGTATTATTACTGTAAATTGTGTATACCCACATGGTTTGGTATCCAAACTACATACATCTTTAGATCCGTCTGTGTATATAAGTACATGTATACCTTCAAAAGATTTAACATAACTAGGGAATTATGACGTCATCGTCTTACTGACACTGAGACATAATTAGTATATGTAGATAAAGCGTCCGCGTTGAAGTTTAAATTCAGCGATGAACAGCTGAAAACAGGAAAAAAATGTAAAAAGTGGTAATTTCCTTTTCTGATACAAACAAAATTGATTAATCTTAATGATGTACATGGTGGGTGAGTTGAGAACAGACCCTCCAATTTTAAGTGATATTTACAGATTAAAACCCTATGACGTAATTGGTGTTGAGGATCGCCTGCTTCAGCTTGAAGATGCCTTCATGGCAGGTAGACAACAAATATATATATTGTAAGCCTTTATTTTTCCTAAGTGAAAGTAGTGAAAGTGAAAGATTTATTTGGTATTGATGGTGTATGGCGGTCACATCCCCAGTCCGTACCTCTACGGTATTCAATTGTGTTGACCATTGTTCACATCTGTCAGTGATACGGTCTATATGGGCACTGAGATCAGTACACTGTCAGAGTGCACGGCTTAAATGCTTATAACCCAAAACCTTTACACCAGACAGTTTGGAATATAAAGTTGCACTATGTATTTTTTCTCAATAAAGCCCCTCAGTATTTGTTTTCATTTGTTACATTAATTTGAAAGTTATATGATTTATCAATTTCTCTTGAAACATATGTATACAAGTGTTGTGAAATATTTTGATACACTCTGAAATATCACTTCTGCATAGTGTCTGGTCGATGTCATTCTGACCTCCCAGAGTTACTTCCCTTCGTGTCAGCACGGTATAACGATAAGCACGAGAGCCATTGGAGGCCGAGAATGTATACTGTATACATAGGAAAGGTCATGAGGTCTTTTCCGATTCTTACTTGTTGACCTGTAAAAAATATTTAATAAAAATACACATGAATACCATTATTCTTCATTTTGCATAGGAGCCCATTTCCTTCCATCATATCAAACTGCTTTTGTTCAAAATGGATGAGACTACTAAAAACAATTGTCTATTAAGTTCGCCTTTTGCTTAATTACTTTGACTACCTGATCGAAAGTACATTAACGTGATGTTAATAAATTATTTATTTCTAAAAAAAACATGTCAGTTTGCTGTTGGCCACCTTTTCACTAAATTCTCATGATGTTGAAGTAAGGCACACGGGTCTACAAGACAAAGGAACGCAAGGATGTTTACCTGTGTTTTGTTCTTGTACAACAATGGAGCGTTTCTAATTCGTTGGGTAATATTTTTTCACTCATATGATATATATTACATTTTGTCTTTATCACCATCTCCTGGATATATAATGTTCACTAAATCATTAACTTTGATACAATGTACACATAATGCTGATATGTATGACAATTTACAGTCAATAACACGTTTAGTAGTATGTCTACATCCATGTACAAAAATCTACACCAAGATAGAGTACGCTTGGGAAGCCCTGGAGTTCGTGTGAAGGTAAGATTAGACAGGTGTGAAAGTGTTCAGTCAGGTAGTTAATTAAGGTAACAGTACCATTACCTGTTGTCTGGAGAACAATAGACAGGTGTGAAAGTGTTCAGTCAGGTAGTTAATTAAGGTAACAGGATCATTAACAATAGACAGGTGAGAAAAATCTCCTTATCTGACAGGTAACAATAGATTTTCCTGTGAAGTGAACACATATCTGTTCACCTGGATAATTAGGATAACAGGACTGATTACTGTTAAGTGGTCTCACTTTTCTCTACCAATCAAGAGAGAGATTAACTGATCACTTATCCAATCAACCAATCAGATTATCTACATCAGACAGTGATTGGTGGCCTCCACCAATGAGAACGCGAGATAACAGTAGACTGAACTCCTGTTACCAGTGTCAGCCAATGACACACTTCTATCTTGACATCCAAGCCACCACTTTCACTTAAAAATGGTGTCAAGTGTCACAAAAAATCACAAATCACTCAGCTGCCAAAGTTGACATCTGCCATAACCTGACACCACTACTACTATGTCGTATGATATTCCCTCACCGATTCCAATGAAGGTTACCCCGGAGACAACCCTGTCTGACGTCATAGAGGCAACCATTCTAGATGGAGTCACCGAACTTGATGATCTGCTGGATTTCCTGTCTGACACAGTGGCGCCACATGGTACTACTACTCAAACACATAGCGAGACCACTACTACCAACCCTCACCCAGAGACCACTACTACCAACCCTCACCCCGAGACCAACACTAACAACCCTCACCGGGACATCACCAACAACACTCACTACGAGACCACCACCAACCCTCACCGAGACATCACCAACAACACTCACTACGAGACCACCAACACTCAATACGAGATCACCACCACCAACCCTCACCGAAACACCACCATCAACTCTAACTACGAGACCACCACCAACCCTCACCGAGATATCACCAACAACCCTCAATACGAGACCACCACCACCAACCCTCACAGAAACACCACCAAAAACCCTCACCCCGAGGCCATCACTACCCATCCTCCCTGCGATACCACCACTACTCAAGCACACCAAGAATCCACCACTACCCGCCCTCACCAAGAATCCACCACTACACTCGCTCACCAAGATTCCACCACTACCCGCCCTCCCCAAGACATCACCATTGACAGCCTTCTCAGAGAAACCACTACTCACAACAACTCTACTCCACAAAAGAAGTCTGCCCGCAGTCCCATCTCCGAATCCAGACCTGACTCCATCTTCAGTTTGCTGTCTTCCAACTCGCCACCATCCACTCCTCTACTCAACCACCCTTTCTTCTGTGAGCTCCGAACTGTCCTCCTTGATGAATGTAAGAAGTCCGCCACACCCAACTCCCTATTGTCTACCTTCCAACCTAAGTCCTACTCCACTGTGTCCGACAGAGAGCGCCGACTACAGCAGATGTTCAAGAGACTTCACAGTGTCCATGGTGATGAAATCCAGCAACTGTCCAGCTTCTACAGGTACCAGGCCGGAGCAGTGGAAATGGAACGTCTACAGAGCCTACAAGACAGTCCTACTGCCTACCACCCATCTGTCAACAGTTACTATGACAACCAACTTCACCTCATCATGGACCGTGTAGAGACTAGCCTCGACGGACTTGATACCACCAATCGTGAGAGAACCCGCCACCAGAGTGAGCCACTGACAGCCCCGAGTCGTCCACTGTCCAGACCCGTTCTGTCCCGGAAGGCCGTCAGACTGATGGAAGAATGGTATTACCTCAACACTGAGCATCCCTACCCGTCACCAGATGTCATTTACCGCCTCGCCGAGCAAGGTCACATCAAGGAGGAGCAGGTGAAGAAGTGGTTCAGTAACAAGAGAAGTCGTACACACAACACCAAGACACTCTCCGAGATCTCCAAGAGACGCCGCCGACCCCAGGGATCCCCTGGCGTGATCTACCTACCCAGCTTGGACTATTTTTGATATTTACAAAGTTATATTTAAAATGATTTTACCTAGTGCTACGAGATATACGGTACTATTTAACACAATGTACTCAGTGCTAGGAGATATACGATACTATTTAACACAATGTACTCAGTGCTACGAGATATACGGTACTATTTAACACAATGTACTCAGTGCTACGAGATATATGGTACTATTTAACACAATGTACTCAGTGCTACGAGATATACGGTACTATTTAACACAATGTACTCAGTGCTAGGAGATATACGATACTATTTAACACAATGTACTCAGTGCTACGAGATATACGGTACTATTTAACACAATGTACTCAGTGCTAGGAGATATACGGTACTATTTAACACAATGTACTCAGTGCTGCCATTTTCGCTTGTCATTTCTGTTCACTGGTTTTTTTTATATGTGAGGCCTGTACAGTAATAGTGCTTGTAATTCTTCTCTTTTTAAACTTTTGTATGAAAGTGCTACATTTTCGAATTCTCATTAATAGTTTTTCATTTGTAATTGTTGCTGTTTTCATATGCTAATGTATCTAATTCATATAATATGTATTGTTTATATGTAATTTTTATAGATGTTGATGTATCTGGTTCATGTAATGTCGTTTGTAATAAATGATGTATCTGGTTTATGTAATAAATGTGTCGTTTGTAATAAATGATGTGTCTTGTTTATGTAATAAATATGTCGTTTGTAATAAATGATGTGTCTGGTTTATGTAATAAATGTGTTTGTATTTAATGTTATAAATGTGTCGTTTGTAATAAATTATGTGTCTGGTTTATGTAATAAATGTGTCGTTTGTAATAAATGGTGTGTCTGGTTTATGTAATAAATGTGTTTGTATTTAATGATGTGTCTGGTTTATGTTATAAATGTGTCGTTTGTAATAAATGATGTGTCTGGTTTATGTAATAAATGTGTCGTTTGTAATAAATGATGTGTCTGGTTTATGTTATAAATGTGTCGTTTGTAATAAATGATGTGTCTGGTTTATGTAATAAATGTGTCGTTTGTAATAAATGGTGTGTCTGGTTTATGTAATAAATATGTCGTTTGTAATAAATGATGTGTCTGGTTTATGTAATAAATGTGTCGTTTTGTATTCAGTAAATGTTATTATACATTATTAATGGAATAAATATAGATTATGTATTGAAATATTGATGTGCATTGTTTTTTTCTTTCTCGCTCTCAGCAAGCCCTATTTTAACCGTCAACAACTCCAACTTAAGTTGCGAAAAGGAATGAGGTGTGAGTTTACTGAATTAAAATAAAGAAAGTTGAAAATCTAGTTAAATAAGATTCAGGCCACAATTAACGGGAGAGAAAGTGATGAGGGGTCCGTTAACTTCCTCATTATGAAGATCAACACAAATGATAATGTTTAACTGGGAATCAAATCCCCCATGTAGTTTCATGTAACAAAAACGCAAATTTTCTTAAAAAGTCCAATGCGCATAATCCTATCTGGTTCCGGGACAGAATTCCAACCACGACCTTTCCTAGTGAAATTAACATTTATAAAGGAATTATACGGAACTAACAACATTTAACATTCAACGAAGCTATAACCTGGTTCCAGAGCTATTGAGGAAAAAGAAAAAAAAAATTATGTTTAGGTACTAAAGGGTTTATCTGGTATATAAGGTTAATATTTGGGATTATATACCAAATGTATGAAAGCATGTGAAGCACAATAGAAAGGTATCCCAGTATCTTTACTGTCTCTCTGGTGTGCGACAAGAGGAATTTTTCCCTTCTTTTTTCTACTGGCTATTTTGTTACATTGAAAAAAAGTACAATATATCCTCAATATATTAATTAATAGAAATAAATGTAAATTAATTAATGAATAGTTTTAATTCTCTATTTATCGAGATGTATCTACCTATTAAGTTTCATATTGTTATCTCTTGTAGTTTTTCTGTGATATGTCCCAGAAAAAAATAGGACGGACAGACGGACAAAGCGGCGACTATATGTTTCGGGAATCATAAGCATCAACGTACATGTACTATGTACTCATACAGAAATCCGATCAGACATAAATGAATCAAAATAACGTAAAACCGCGGGAATAGACGCCTCTCTGGTGGAAGCTTTGAATAAACAGCACCATTTCCGTGAAATGGAAAGGGGACCATCCACTCTACGGTGAAACCTAACTTTACTTACCAAAGAGTTCCGTTTACGTATCGAGAAGAAATGCTTACTATGTACCAGGTAGGATGTATTGTAGTCGTCTCGATAAACGTATGGCGTCATGGGTGGAGTATGTCAGGTGCACGCTGTCGAGTGCAAATAGTCACACAAAAACGCAGATATCTCGATGATTACGTGTTTCCTTGGCCTGGTGAAAACATTTGGCTCTGTGGACAGGGAATGTTTGTAGTGCAAACTCTTCACACGTGGTGTGTTTGGCAACAATGTTACGTCACAGGGTACATGTAGGTTGACGTGTGGACAGTGGAACGACGACAACAACGTGTAATACAAGGCTGTTATCACTCTTATGTCACTGATCTTTTACAAAAACTAAATAAATCCGACTTGTGATCACACATCTAAATTGTTAAGTGATAAACATATATATACCATTATATTGTTATTATAATTTTACAACAAAATACAAAATAATCAACGGATGGCGCAGTGGTACCGCACTCGCCTTTCACTTAGTCGTCCGGGAATTAAATTCCCGGAACGGACGTGAAAAGGTTTGGTCACCTGCCCGACCACGTGGGTTTTCCCCGGGAACTCCAGTTACCTCCTACAGAAAGACACATCGCGCGCTTTCGTTAAGGCCAACAGGGGCGGAAAATATAGGCTGATAGCTTGTTTGGCATTTGTTGTTAAGTAAATAAAGTTTATATCGTGCAATGTTCAAGCTTCGTTGAGACGATAGATATGATGAAGTCAATGGCAACGAGTTGTTTTCGAAGTCCCAATAAACAATAAGGAAGATGCTGCTCATTTTTTCTTTCAATGTCCTCTTTACTCAAATATTAGACATCACATTTACTCTGTATATAATTTACTAGGATTTGTTAACCTTAATGTTTTACGATTTGGCAACATTGGGATGTCGGATGAACTAAATCGTGAAGTACTTTTCCACACCAGCTCATACTTAAAAAATCAAAAAGATTTTCAAATCTATAATATTTAAGTAGTTTTATACTCAAAGGCAAGTTCTAATGTCTATATTATTTAATTATTTATTTTTTTATTTTTTTTTTTTTTTGTTATGGTATGTGTGGACAATACAGTTGTGTGTGTGAGTACTTTTCTCTTCCTTAAAACATGTAATTATTATACCTCAAAACTATTACCTACTTTAATCAATCCATATTATAAAACATATAATAATACCGGTAATCTTGTGGGAAAAAACTTATACAGGCTTAGCCTGTTGTTTGATCCAAATTGTTATTGCATTTATATGTAATGTTATATGTGTGTGTTAAATGTATGCATTAACAACAAAATATTTTGAAATGAAACAATAAGGATACAAGCGGAAGTGTTAACAGTGGTTGTCTTCCCTTAGTCATTAACGATACAAGATCAGTATGAAGATTTTAACCACACTAAATAAGGCTACAGAAACACACCAAACATATTTATATAAATTATGACCTGAGTTACTGTCAATTTTATCTAACAATGTGTTATATGTATCAGAGAAGAAATTATCTTTCTACTTCCAAGTGATTAAGTGCCATTATATCTAAATGAAATATCTTTTTTATTATAATACCTAATTAGCGCTGATGTTGACGAGAAAGAGCTACTGGTCATTACAGATACGTATTATGATGATATTGGATAGGTGTGAATAAACAGCAATGCATATAGTCTTTTATTTCATACTTTTCACAAAATTCACGAATATCATTCGATGAATCATCTAGGACTGATCATCGACATTCATCGTCAATCATTAGATGAACCATCTGGGACTAACCACCGACATTTAAACAGATACTTCCGTAATACTCTATAAATTGTTGATAATAATACATTGTTGCACAGGACAGAGGTCAGTATTGACAATTGATTATTTCATCAATATAAGTATTTGTTACTTTAATTAGTAATTTAGTCAATGATAACAACTTTGTAATACGTAATGAAATAATATACATGTATGTATGTATGTCCGTTCATTATGATACCTAAACATGTTTTCTACTGTAAAATATTGACTTAAACAAATAATGTAATTCGTCGCTAATTTCTCCTAAATTACATATATTGGTAATTTAGCACTAGAAGTTCTACATTTACCGTACGATCTAACTAATGTTGACGTTAGAACAATAGGCATGTGTGAAAGTGTTAGGTAGATCATTCAGGTAACCATATTGTTTAATTGGTATCAGAACAATAGGCAGGTCAGAAATGGAGTAGTCGTGCGTCCAGGTAATTTATCGACGAACACGGCATCCTTAGAGAACAATAGACAGGTGTGAAAGTGTCCAGTCAGGTAGTTAATGAAGGTAACAGGATCATTACCTGTTGTCTGAAGAACAATAGACAGGTGTGAAAGTGTCCAGTCAGGTAGTTAATGAAGGTAACAGGATCATTACCTGTTGTCTGAAGAACAATAGACAGGTGTGAAAGTGTCCAGTCAGGAGTTAATTAGGGTAACAGGATCATTACCTGTTGTCTGAAGAACAATAGACAGGTGTGAAAGTGTCCAGTCAGGGAGTTAATTAAGGTAACAGGATCATTAACTGTTGTCTGGAGAACAATAGACAGGTGAGAAAAATCTCCTGATCTGACAGGTAACAAAAGATTTACCTGTTAAGTGAACACATATCTTATGATAACAGGACTGATTACTGTTAAATGATCTCACTTTTCTCTACCAATCAAGAGAGAGATTAACTGATCACTTATCCAATCAACCAATCAGATTGTTCACATCCCACAGTGATTCGTGGCCTCTACCAATGAGAAAGCCAGATAACAGTAGACTGAACTCCTGTTACAAGTGTCAGCCAATGACACACTTCTATCTTGACATCCAAGCCACCACTTTTGGTTAAAAATGGTGTCAAGTGTCACAAAAAATCACAAATCACTCAGCTGCCAAAGTTGACATCTGCCATAATCTGACACCACTACTACTATGTCGTTTGATATTCCAATGAAGGTTACCCCGGAGACAACTCTGTCTGACGTCATAGAAGCAACCATTCTAGATGGAATCACCGACGTCGATGATCTGCTGGATTTCCTGTCTGACACAGTGGCGCCACCTGGTACTACTACTCAAACATATAGCGAGACCAACACTACCAACCCTCACCCAGAGACCACCACTACCCATCCTCACAACGAGACCAACATAACCCATCCGCACCCCGAGACCAACATAACCCATCCTCGCCCCGAGACCACCACCACCCATCCGCGCCCCGAGACCACCACTACCCATCCTAGACCCGAGACCACCACTACCCATCCTAGACCCGAGACCACCACTACCAACCCTCACCAAGAGACAACCACTATTCGTCCTGAATTAGAGATCACCACCTCTTCCCGGCCTCACGATGAGACCACTACTCGCATCAACTCTACTCCACAAAAGAAGTCTGCCCGCAGTCCCATCTCTGAATCCAGACCTGACTCCATCTTCAGTTTGCTGTCTTCCAACTCCCCACCATCCACTCCTCTACTCAACCACCCTTTCTTCTGTGAGCTCCGAACTGTCCTCCTTGATGAGTGTAAGAAGTCTGCCACACCCAACTCCCTCTTGTCTACTTTCCAACCCAAGTCCTACTCCACTGTCTCAGACAGAGAGCGTCGACTACAGCAGATGTTCAAGAGACTTCACAGTGTCCATGGTGGTGAAATCCAGCAACTGTCCAGCTTCTACAGGTACCAGGCCGGAGCAGTGGAAATGGAACGTCTACAGAGCCTACAAGACAGTCCTACTGCCTACCACCCATCTGTCAACAGTTACTATGACAACCAACTTCACCTCATCATGGACCGTGTAGAGACTAGCCTCGACGGACTTGATACCACCACTCGTGAGAGAACCCGTCACCAGAGTGAGCCACTGTCAGCCCCGAGTCGTCCACTGTCCAGACCCGTTCTGTCCCGGAAGGCCGTCAGACTGATGGAAGAATGGTACTACCTCAACACTGAGCACCCCTACCCGTCACCAGATGTCATTTACCGCCTCGCCGAGCAAGGTCACATCAAGGAGGAGCAGGTGAAGAAGTGGTTCAGTAACAAGAGAAGTCGTACACACAACACCAAGACACTCTCCGAGATCTCCAAGAGACGCCGCCGACCCCAGGGATCCCCTGGCGTGATCTACCTACCCAGCTTGGACTATTTTTGATATTTACAAAGTTATATTTAAAATGATTTTACTCAGTGCTACGAGATATACGGTACTATTGAACACAATGTACTCAGTGCTACGAGATATACGGTACTATTTAACACAATGTACTCAGTGCTACGAGATATACGGTACTATTTAACACAATGTACCCAGTCCTACGAGATATACGGTACTATTTAACACAATGTACCCAGTCCTACGAGATATACGGTACTATTTAACACAATGTACTCAGTGCTACGAGATATACGGTACTATTTAACACAATGTACTCAGTGCTACGAGATATACGGTACTATTTAACACAATGTACTCAATGCTACCATTTCGATCATCATTTCTCGTTATTTCATATAATATTTGTTCGTCATATCAATTTCATTTATTGTGTATTTGAATTAGTGCTTGTTCAACTGTCATATCACAGTGCTATACTTTATGTGATTTGTATGTATAGATAAGAGTTAGCTACATAAGTGCTACATAACACCAATATATATGCATGGATTTTGGTCTGTTGATTAAAAGTTTTGTCGACTTTATAATGAATATTAAGCTAATGTATTCAATATAAATTTTGTAATAAATGTGAATCACCCTGTAATAAATATGTAAGTAATGCTGGTATGTCAGATTTGTGCATAAATGTTTGTCATTTATACTAGATTTGTTGTCATGTCTGATTTATGTGTAAAAGGTTTATACAACAAGTTAATAAACATTAATTGAAGTTAATGTGTTTGTTCGAAACGTTATGTCATAAGTCATATGTCACGTTATCTTTGATAAATGTTAATATGTCTGTTTTATGTAATAAATATTCATTCTAGTAATTGAAATAGATGATGTTTGCGTCTCTTTCATGAAATAAGTATTATATAACATGAATGTTGGGATGCATTTTACTGTAATTTTGATATAAAGATAAAGACAGGATATAACGCGAACTTCTTGTGCAAGGTTGTTGTAAGAAGTACAAAACCCTGTGTACATCGGTATGTAGGACATGATTACTGCCATCACTAAGGTGGTATTTCACAGGGGTTCTATTGTTATTATTTTGTCTCTTCAGATGAGTAATTCATTGTCCATGGTCATATGTCCTCAATAGGAAATCGAGACCAAAAAAACTTTCGGCCTAATATCTCAATCATTACATGAGAAGTATGTTGATTTTGCTCCTGTGAACTTTCCACAGTAACATCTTTACTCCCCTACATCTAACTTGTTTACTTGTCCCAGCTGACTCCATGGCTTTTGAATGACATTCCGTGCAATATGAAGTTCAGTGATTTTCATTTAAGAATGTACAAATGACCAAGATGACACAGAAGATGCTAATATTCTCGGAACCCCTTGCTGTTTTGTATATCTTGACTTCCGGTTCATATTTTTGTTTCATAGATTTCGAGATCAAATTTCTCATGTTTCCCTGTTACTATTCATGATTTGTATGATGGAAGATCATGTTAAATATATTATTCTATCACACAAATGTAGACAATAATACTGAAATTCTTCTCGTTCAGCTATCAGATTAGTTTACAGTGAGGACCATTACCATAAACAAAATTCATTCAGAATTCATTAATAATGGAATTACAGAAATATAACTGTGACCTAAGTTTGTCGCCTCAAATCTTTGTGAAAATATTCTCTGACCAGTGTTAGTGCTAAATCAATTTGTCTCCCCTTTGAAAGAATGTTCTATCTTCTTCTGATACAGCCTCGTCAAGGTCTTAACTTTGAAATCATTATCTTGATGAAACATTGACCACATACATGTATGCATCACCAACAGAAGGAGATCTGTGCATTGAAATTAGGTCACTGTAAATGTGAAGGTCAAATGTAAGAGCAAAATGTTCAGTACCTCATTGTCCCAGTCGTAAATGTAACGTTAGTATCCATCTATACTACTGGTTAGTCAGAAGGTAATTATCTATACCTGATTTGTCTTTGTTGTCTGACACCGATATTCTATCAGTTCGCGATCAAAAACAAAATAAAATTGCAGATAGATAGTCAGAACCTTTCGGACTAACTGCTGTTCTAATATCAAAGTCCATGTCTTCTACAACAATGTCTGTTAGAGAGATGATCATTTCAAATACAAAACATTTTCGCCCAATACAGGAAAGGTCATTCAGTTGAACTTTCCTTCATCCAGCATGCTACTGGTACAATATTATCTCCAAGGCTTCAACAATATTGAGTATTCCTTAACAGATTTCAACATTTTTGACCCCTGTCTCCTTGAAAACATAATAATTCATTAAAACATATATTCAAACATGCTATAGTCCCAATAGCAATTAGGGTAAAGTGTCACCCCGAAAGACACAACAATTTTACCACAGACTATAACATTTCTCAGCTGAGAAACACAAACTGTAAGGGGTAGGACCTGTCACCATGCCCCTCGGATCTTTTCCTGACGAGGTTGGATAGGCCAACTCTCAAACCAACTTCACAGCTACTGCAGTTCCTTCAAACGTATGAGATTTTTTACTCTTTCTCTCCTTTCAAAAAATAAGAAAGTATAAGTTGGAAAAGATATTTATTCTGACGATTGAAAAGTTCCTCTCACTAAATCCAGTCTTTTGTTGCAGCAGTGTTAATACAACAACAGAACTGTTAATGAAGGAACAAGTTAAAAAAAACATGATCACAGAATGAAACATCAGTGTAGGAAAGTATGATATTTTGACAACTGAATTTAAGTCTGAGGCACTTCCAAAGTTAAGTTTAAATATATTTGCCTTTCCAGTTAATAAATAAGATCTTTGTCTTAATCAGAGACAGATTTTCTAGATTGTGGTATTTTGTGGTTCTCTGATGGGTTTCCCTTCAATGCAAGTTATAAAAACAATATTGTATAAAAAGTAAGATCATGATTATATTTTGGAATCAATTTAAGCAATAATATATGCCTTGATTCCGAAAAAGACACCCTGTTGAGATTTCAAGTGTTACAACACCCGATCCATCACATGTAAGCTGAACATCCATCACACGTATGCTGAACACCGATCCATCACATGTATGCTGAACACCAATGAATCACACGTATGCTGAACACCGATCCATCACATGTATGCTGAACATCCATCACACGTATGCTGAACACCGATCCATCACACGTATGCTGAACACTAAGTTACTGATTCTTGATCATTTCAGGATCCGTTCTTTCCACCATTTTGGTAGCTATTGACAAGTCCTGCATCAACAGCCATCCCATAGAACATGGAGTCTTGATTACTCAACAGAACTGCTGGGGAGTCAAACTCAGCAATCTGTCCATTACTTAGAACCATCACTCTGTAAAACCATTAAACAACTCCAGTAAATATCAATTATATCTCCTGTACAGTATGTACACAAAATTCCTCATATGTTAGGGGCTCATTACTAGACAATGAAAGAGCACTTGTTTGTAATTCTAATGTACAATAGTTACAGATGGACTGGATAAATACATCTCACAATGAATTGTGCTGAATGATTAAGTAAATACAAATTTTCTAAGATTTCTTTACTTGTTACACAATTGTACGTCATTTAAAATCATATGTAGCAGGGTTGTAGTTCCAACTGATTAAAACACACAATTTTGTGGATAATACTGATTGGTTAAACAGAGCAATGCTTGATCAGAAACATTAGATACTGTACTTATAATGTATGTGATAAATATAAAGAGTCTTATCAACAGTAATATCAAGTTCAAAATGTAACCAGAAAGTAATGAAATCAAAAGTGACTGAGAAAGACATATCAAAACTACCTTCTCATCAAAATTCAACCTCTCTTAAAAAAAAAAAAAAAAAATTATATCCTGAAATATCACACAAGTCTAGAGTCATTAAGTAAGATTGTCAGATTTTTAACAGAAATGCTCACCTGTCATAATCAAGCACAGTGTTTAGACGGTGGGCGATAGAAAGGACGGTACAATCACTGAACTCTGTGTGTATGGTCTCCTGTATAAGGGCATCTGTCTGCATGTCGACAGCAGCTGTTGCCTCATCCAGTATCAGCACATTTGTCTTCTTCAGTAATGTCCTTGCCAAACACACCAACTGTCGCTGTCCTACACTGCAAACAGATAGATTATAATTTAGGAGTACCAGTGCCTTTTACATAACAGAACAGAGTTTAGAACTATCTTTGTCCAAGTCCAGTGTCAGATTCTACTATATAACATATCCAATCAAACAGAATTAAAACGATGAGGAAATCACCACTGACAGCTGATTCGTATGAGACTTTCATCATCATGTTTTATTGTACAAACCTATTGAAAGTACTAGAAATAACAAGAGACCCATGGGCCTTAACGGTCATCTGACAAAAAGCAAGCCAAACTCTAACAACAGTGAGTCTGCCGTTAAAACAGTGGGATTTATTCATTTGAATAAACTTGGTAGCCCTTCCTCCCAGCATCCTACAGGCCCAATATCAGCACTCTGAGCCTTTTGGTTACTGAGAAGAAGTTGTTTACAGATTTTAACATATTTGAACCCTGTGATCTTGACAGTGGGTCAAGGTCATTCACTTGAACACATTTGGTAACACTTCCTCAAAGCATCCTACAGGCCCAATATCAGCACTCTAATCATTTTGGTTATTGAGAAGTCATTTGCATATTTTAACATATTTAACCCCTGTGACCTTGAAAGTGGGTCAAGGTCATTCATTTGAACTAATTTAGTAGCATGTCATCCCAGCATCCTACAGGTCCATTATCAGCACTCTTGGACTTTTGCTTACTGAAGAAAAGTTGTTTGTACATTTTAACATATTTGACCCCTGTGACCTAGAAAGTGGGTCGAGGTCATTCATTTGAACAAACTTGGTAGCATGTCATCCATGCATCCTACAGGTCCATTATCAGCACGCTTATTGAGAAGAAGTTGTTTGTATATTTTAATATATTTGACCCCTGTGACCTTGAGAGTGGGTCAAGTTCATTCATTTGAACAAACTTGGTAGCCCTTCATCCCAGCATGCTACAGACCCAATATCAGCATTCTGAGCCTTTTGGTTGTTGAGAAGAAGTCGTTTGTATATTTTAACATATTTGACCCCTGTGACCTTGAAAGTGGGTCAAGGTCATTAATTTGACCAAATTTTGTAGGGCTCCGTGCCAGCATGCTATAGGCCAAGTATTAGCCCCCTAGGCCTTCTAGTATTTGAGAAGAAGTTTTTTGAATGAAAAGTTTACGGACGACGCACGGCGGACGACGACGGACGAAGCACGATGGCTATAGGTCATCTCGACACTTCGGGTAAGATGACCTGAAAATAAACAGGTATATCAATCTGAGACACTTCTTTGCCCCTTAATTACAAGTAACATCAAAAAGAATTAAAGCCAGTCTATCTGGACTGATGTGTGAGCAACAGATTGCCAAGTGTGTGACTTTTTTATCAAAATCTCATGAGGACTGAAGCCGCTATAGTGCTGACAATGATATTCAATAGCAATGGTGACCTTGACCCTTCTACCTGAAACATGCACTCCTTTGAGATCTATGTTCCTTTATATATGATGTAAGCATGTATATTTTATAAAAATGTGCAAAATTGGCTCTATATCCCCACCATCTTTCAGCCACAACTCAGTAACCCTGGTAACGTCTGTAGAAACTTACCTTAAGTTTTGGCCCCCGTTTTCCACACTGGTAACTCAGTAACCTTGGAAATATCTGTAGAATCTTACATGAAGTTTTGACCCCCTTCTCCACACTGGTAACTCAATAACCCTGGTAACGTCTGTAGAAACTTACCTGAAGTTTTGGCCCCCTTCTCCACACTGGTAACTCTGTAACCCTGGTAACGTCTGTAGAAACTTACCTGAAGTTTTGACCCCCTTCTCCACACTGGTAACTCTGTAACCCTGGTAACGTCTGTAGAAACTTACCTGAAGTTTTGACCCCCTTCTCCACACTGGTAACTCTGTTACCCTGGTAACGTCTGTAGAAACTTACCTGAAGTTTTGACCCCATTCTCCACACTGGTAACTCGGTAACCCTGGTAACAACTGTAGAAACTTACCTGAAGTTTTGGCCCCCATTCTCCACACTTTTAACTCAGTAACCCTGGTAACGTCTGCAGAAACTTACCTGAAGTTTTGACCCCCTTCTCCACACTGGTAACTCAGTAACCCTGGTAATGTTTTGATAAACTCGCTCAGATGAGCCTGTTGTAATGCATTCCATAATTGGTCATCAGTGTATTTGTCAAATGGGTCCAGGTTCATCCGCAATGTCCCAGAGAACAACACAGGGTCCTAAAGAAAAAATATCAAGCTCCTTAATAGTAAGTAATCCTAAGTGTTGTGCCTCTACTAACCCCAAGGTGCCACAAATTTCATTCATGCAAAATATCATTGCCCCCTCCTAAAAATGTTTCTAGACAGGTTGGCTCAGGAATTAACATTTTAACCTTTATTTCTACTTGTCCTTGTATCAGAGATGTCACAAAACATATAACAAAAATAAGTACATGTACCTTGTCCTAAGCATGTTTCAGACCACAGGTTCTGGACACTGGTACCAGAATCATGAACTTCATATGCCAAAAGATTTCTTTCTATTTCACATTATTTTACATGAAAACCCACATAAAGTGTCAAAGAAGAATTTGCATTTAAAAGTAAAAGCACTAATCTTCCATCACAACTCCCAGAAAAAATATCCAGCATCTTCATTAGACAAAATTTGTTCAAGGAACTCTTGGAATAAAAGTTAAAAGCAATTAGGAGTAACATTATAAAACAGTTGAGATTACAAAAGATGTCAAGACACATCATTGATTTAATGGGGTTTGTTGCCACCAAATGTTAAATTTGTAAGGTTTACCTGTGGCAGAATGGTGAGTTTGGCACGTAAGTTATGTAAACCAATGCTGGCTATCCTGATACCATCAATTTTGATGCTTCCCTCTGCACCCTCTATCAGACGGAACAGTGACAGTGTCAACGAGGACTTGCCAGCCCCTGTCCTTCCAACGATACCAATCTGTAATTCATATGATAGTTGGATTAAAGTCTTGTGGTTTACAGATTATAAATAGTGGTTCAAGGTCTTTCTACACAATAAAACATTGATACTCCTACATCTCACTACATGTAAATATACCACATTTAATCAAGAAGAAAATCAAGGAAGCATATTTATATAAAAAGTTCCTAAGTACATATTGCAATGCTATTAATAAATTATCTGTGCTGTTTCTTAAAATAATGATGACCATTTTCTTTTTCTAATCAGACTCAAAATTGTGCGGACAATATGGAGGACCAAGGAAAATCTAAATATGATATGTAATAAACTGATCAAATCCTTCTTGAGGAATAGTGATTACATAATTGTTTCAGGATGTACACTGGATGACTGATGATTGATCATGTACAAAGGGCATTTATAAAATCCAGTGATGGTGGGATGAAAATCCTGACTACCATAAACTTCATCCTCACCTTCTCTCCATGATGAATATGTGCTGTAACGCCCTTGAGAACCAGGTCAAGGTCATGTCTATATCTCATCTTATAGTCCTGAAATATTATCTCCCCTTGACGTGGCCATTCAGGGTGTGGAGGACTTTTGCCATACCATTCCGCCTACATTTATCAAAATATAACTTCTTAATAAAAATTTGTCCTGACCATAGATAATGATAATTTCTGTTATATATTGCTGTTCAACTCTCAATAAATTTTTTGCCATGAATGACAAACCATACTGATTCAATATCAGTTCTAAAATAAAAGGGTTGTGTTCTAAAGTGTCAATCAAAATATTTTTACAAAAGCACTCAAAAGTAAAAAACCCCACCTTATACTGGTGTACATAAAATGTATTTATACTCCAGCTTACATTACATCTTCACACAATACAAAAGAGGTACATTCCAACATAGAATTAACACTGCATTTAATAATCAGTAAAACTAACCAGGTGCCATCCATGAAACTGCTGACATACAGAGTACAATGCAGTCACATTCGGCCTTATCTATTACTTCACCTGACTTCAACATCTGAGCTTTAGTATGTAATCTTTACAAATGTTCTTTACATCATTGACCTTTCAGTTCAATATTCAGCGATGGTAATAGCATACCTCTGATCCAACCTCCGAGTACTCCTTTATCCTCTCCACTGACACCGTGTTACTCTGTAGGTCACTTATGTTCACCACTAAAACATTCAGCACACTTGTCGCCTGCCAACACATCACATATTTCAGTCAATAAAAACAAATCTGTAAAACAAAACTCAAGCAAAGACACAAGTTTAATATCTGTTACTATATCTCTACAAACCCACATTAAATGTCATATTGTGACATCAATGAAATGACAACACGCACTTGCTAAATTAAAACATCCTTCAGACTTATTTCATCAATCACTCCAAAAATCTAAACTTGTGCAAGATCCTAGTAAATTGTTGTGATTTACCTGTAAACTGAACCACATGTGTTTTACCTGTAAACTGGTGTTTTACCTGTAAAAATGTGCCATTTACCAGTAAACTGAACCAGGTGTGATTTACCTGTACACTGTTGATATTTACCTGTAAAGCGTAAGATATTGACAGACCAACAATTGCTCCTGACTGTCCAGCAGTGAAAATGCCAAATAGAGAAGCAGCCAGAATGAGTAAATTTCCCAAGAGTTCTAAACGTACTCCCAGCCATCTGTAAACGTAAAGTGACATTGACTATAAATGTATTATGGGTAGCATGGGAATATACATCAGTACTATGGACATTTCTTCTATCAACAAAAGGAGAATCAATTGTTAACGTCACATGACATTGACTTGGTAGCAATATATTGTCTCTATATACAGTTTTAATGGTAGGACACGCTGCAGATGGTAAATTTGATCAGAAAATAAGGAAGAATCACCTTGAAGATACAAAGTAACCATAGTAGAAGACAAGATTATTGTCGACTCGGTCCATGGACTCCTTGATGAAGCGTTCTTGAGCTCGGTACGCTCGGATTACACTGGCTCCAGAAACACTCTCACTGAAGTGATTATAAACAGGTGACCTGGTCATGGATTCCAGCCTTTTCAGCTGCCGTGAGGTGGGAATGTAGAATTTCTATGGAGAAATCATGAAATATTGTAAGAATACAGTTTTATCAAAACACAAGTATGAACTGATGAATGCTCCCTGAAAACAACTTTATTGGAGGCTGAACTTGGTACATGTCTTTGTATAACAAACGTTTATAATGAGTTTCTTTATTCTAGATGAAATGCGTGGTTATACAGATGTACTCTAGATATGAAATTCTAACAAACATTGGAAATCCAGAAGGGGTGGTAGGCCTTGAATCAAGTGCACATCACCTTATTGCAACACCAAGTTTCATGATCCTTGCTGAACTGTTAGCAAAGACACAAGAAGGATAGATTGAAAAATGGAAGAACACACAGCCTGCCAGCCACTTAGTGTGACAACTCTATGCCTCTGATATAAGTTTTCAGGAAGTACAAAAATATCAAAAGTGAGAAGGAGATGTAGCATTTCTTTTTAGAGCTGAAGAAAAACAGCTGATAATAGTATGAAGCCAACTTTGAGGTGGGAAACTAGAATTTTTAATCCATGATGTAGTCAGCAAATTTTTTAAGTTATAAGTGAGACTTTTGGAGAGATGAAGTATGTAGCGTCAGCATATATGAAATCATGAGTCTGAAATGATGCTTATATCTACACAATGACATCAAACACAAATCAGTTAACACGGATTAACAAACGTATTGTGATTTATGGATTAATGTGTCTTGCTTGATACATATTTTGTTTTTGTACAAATTCATGGATTCTAATTTACAATATCTAATAACAAATAATTTGAAAAGAACAGGCTGTACAAATAACATTACCTCCATAGATTAAAATATTTCAAAGATCCCACTTTGTAATCAAATTATTTGTGTTCAAACAAAGAATTCATTCCTGATACACAAAACCATTAGGTCACATGATTATTTCAGACCATATTTTTTAACTCCAGAGTCTAAGATAGTATGAGTGAGAGACAAACTGGTTTCAGACTCCAGAGTCTTAGATAGTAAGAGTGAGAGACAAACTGGTTTCAGACTCCAGAGTCTTAGATAGTAAGAGTGAGAGACAAACTGGTTTCAGACTCCAGAGTCTTAGATAGTAAGGGTGAGAGACAAACTGATCTCAGACTCCAGAGTCTTAGATAGTAAGGGTGAGAGACAAACTGGTTTCAGACTCCAGTCTTAGATAGTAAGGGTGAGAGACAAACTGGTTTCAGACTCCAGAGTCTTAGATAGTAAGGGTGAGAGACAAACTGATTTCATACTCCAGAGTCTTAGATAGTAAGGGTGAGAGACAAACTAATTTCAGACTCCAGAGTCTTAGATAGTAAGGGTGAGAGACAAACTGATCTCAGACTCCAGAGTCTTAGATAGTAAGGGTGAGAGACAAACTGATTTCATACTCCAGAGTCTTAGATAGTAAGAGTGAGAGACAAACTGATCTCATACTCCAGAGTCTTAGATAGTAAGGGTGAGAGACAAACTGATTTCAGACTCCAGAGTCTTAGATAGTAAGGGTGAGAGACAAACTAATTTCAGACTCCAGAGTCTTAGATAGTAAGGGTGAGAGACAAACTGATTTCATACTCCAGAGTCTTAGATAGTAAGGGTGAGAGACAAACTGATTTCATACTCCAGAGTCTTAGATAGTAAGAGTGAGAGACAAACTGATCTCAGACTCCAGAGTCTTAGATAGTAAGGGTGAGAGACAAACTGATTTCATACTCCAGAGTCTTAGATAGTAAGGGTGAGAGACAAACTGATTTCAGACTCCAGAGTCTTAGATAGTAAGGGTGAGAGACAAACTAATTTCAGACTCCAGAGTCTTAGATAGTAAGGGTGAGAGACAAACTGATTTCATACTCCAGAGTCTTAGATAGTAAGGGTGAGAGACAAACTGATCTCAGACTCCAGAGTCTTAGATAGTAAGAGTGAGAGACAAACTGATTTCATACTCCAGAGTCTTAGATAGTAAGAGTGAGAGACAAACTGATCTCAGACTCCAGAGTCTTAGATAGTAAGAGTGAGAGACAAACTGATTTCATACTCCAGAGTCTTAGATAGTAAGAGTGAGAGACTGATTAGAGTATATCTGCTGTCCCTTTTGTTTCTAGAGATATTACATAATAGATGGCTATATATCTGTGGTCACTGTTAACTCACCAGGATGATGAAATAAAGAATAGCCACAGGTACTATGATGGTGAGAAAGATTGGAGTGTTGACGCTGATTACAATGATAGTGCTGAGCGACAGGAAGAAAGTATTCAGCGAGATACGACACGTGATTGGTAGGTTGTTATCCATGATATCGACATCGCTGGAGAATCGGTTGATGATCCTACCAGCAGGTGTCGTGTCAAAGAAAGTCATGGGACATCGCATGATGGTAAAAAGCATTTTCTTGTGGAGTTTACCAGCAGCTACCACCATTCTCACAGCCAGCATCAGCCCATATATCAAAACCAGCACAGCTGTGGGAAATCAAAAATCAAAAAATCAAATCAGAAATAAAAAAAAAAGTAAAGAGGTGTACTGAAAATAAAATTATGTGCACAAGTCAGCATAACTATACACCATGATGTATGAACAAAATTGATCAGCTCAGACTGGAGAGATAAATAAATATATAATGTAAAAACCTGACTTTTTTCCCGGGATAATGATGTGTTGTAGATTGTAACTGTAAGATATTTGCCTGACTGCATTCTAATGACTTCCGAGCAGTAAGACGTCATACTATAAAGTAGGATATTCCTTATGTATATGGTCTCTACTACTACTTTCAAACATAACATTACAACTCTAGACTATCAGACCTTCTCTTTACAATTAAAATAGTCCCATTCAGTGACGTCAAACATGTGATATCAAAAATATGGTGCCAAAGAATTTTATTTTATTTTTACAGTTTAGCGTTTTCTCACCATGAGTTATTGACCTTTACTGTACAGTACCTCACCAGATCAATCACAAAAATTTATTATTTATTACATATCTTTAATGGATCTCACTCCACACATGGCGAAATTTACAGAAGACAGATGCTGGTAAAGCCATACCTTGTATGACTCCTAGTAAACCATACACCAGGAGGTAGTCATACGACCGATCTCGATACTCCAGGGTGTCCACCAGGGAGACATTCAGCAGTAATTTGTCCTCTGTCCAGAATGTCAGCCAAAAGTTAGAGAAGATGCTGCTAGTATGGAAGCCTGAGAACAGGATCAAGATTATAGCGACCGCCCACCATCCAGCTGCCCCAAAATAGGACGAGAACACATCCAGCTTAACCTGTACGGAAGGTTTAAAAAATATCAGCAAACTTCTTGCAATAATCATGACAGTATTTCTTCAAACTTTCTTGCTTGTTGCCATAATTATCATCCTGTCAACAGCCAGGATCATTTAAAGGTGAGTGTCCATGAAGACGCTTGTGGCTACCTCATGAAACAAACATATACAATAGAGGCCAAATGCCTGCCATCATAAGAAATTAGGGTCAGTTGGCATGTCCAAAGACACAACTACTTTAAAGTGCTTATAGGTTACACTTCCTCTTAGGAAACATAAAACCCCTCCCCAAGCTCTAGTGACTGAGATACTGTGTGCCCTTTGAGTTAAGACACTATACAAGATAAATAAAATATATATATCATCTAATAATTGTTGCTCTTCTCTGTTCTTGAGTAATGTCTTGTCCTGATCCAACAGCCGAGACAAAATGCTTTACTGCCCATTCCAACACTATTCGATCCCTACCAATTGTCCATAAAAATTGTTGTTCCTCTCATTAACATGATAATGTATTGAATTAATAGCTCAACTATGTAGATTTCTTCCAGGTACTTTCCTTCACATTATTACCCACTTTCTGCTTCCACTTTACCTATTCTCAATCCTGTGACTTGCCCCACCTTTTTCCTTAACCCATTCTCTGGCTCATGACATGCCCCTGCCCTTTGCCCTTACCCATTCTCAAGCCTGTATCTTGCCCTGCCCTTTGCCCTTACCCATTCTCAAGTCTGTAACTTGCCCCATCATATGCCTTTACCCATTCTCTAGCCAATGGCTTGCCCTGTCCTTTCCCAATCACAGCTTGTATTTTGTCCTACCCTTTGCCTTTACCCATTCTCAGACTTTGATTCACCCAACCCGTTCCTTTTTCCAAAGACAAGATCTTGACTCACCCCGCCCACTTTAGCAGTCTCCTGTTGCGTAAGCTGTTGTTTTGTATTCACTAAAGGTTTGCGAACCTCCTCCTTCCGTTTGAGAAGTCGACTTCCTCTGCGACTTACACTGGCACTGAAAATAAATGTTTCTATACTAAAGAATATCATTTATCATCTATAAATGACGAAGTTCAAAAGTTTAGGTTTCAATGCCAATCCAATGATACATCAATCTATTTAAAAACAGGAAAAAATCCACTGTACAAGTTTTGATAAGCCATTAAATTTGACTTAAATGTTACAGGAAAGTGTGTAACAGATTTATAGCCCAATGCAGTTCAAGAAGTCCCTACCGTCTCAGGCTGAGAGGAAGACTCCGCTGGTCATCAGAGGTCAGACCTTCAGATGTCACACTCTCCACTTGTTCGAATATCTGGTCTTTTATGGCTCTCACTGGGAAAGAAAACAACATTATCTGATAAACTTGTCTATAGCCATGGTAACTACCTCTCTAGTCTCCCTTTAATGATGTACTACAATGTGGAGATTTCCAAGGATATTTATATCTAGTGTCTCCCTTTAATGGTGTACTACAATGTGGAGATTTCCAAGGATATTTATATCTAGTGTCTCCCTTCAATGATGTACTACAATGTGGAGATTTCCAAGGATATTTATATCTAGTGTCTCCCTTTAATGGTGTACTACAATGTGGAGATTTCCAAGGATATTTATATCTAGTGTCTCCCTTTAATGGTGTACTACAATGTGGAGATTTCCAAGGATATTTATATCTAGTGTCTCCCTTTAATGGTGTACTACAATGTGGAGATTTCCAAGGATATTTATATCTAGTGTCTCCCTTCAATGATGTACTACAATGTGGAGATTTCCAAGGATATTTATATCTAGTGTCTCCCTTTAATGGTGTACTACAATGTGGAGATTTCCAAGGATATTTAAATATATTGTCTCCCTTTAATGGTGTGCTACAATGTGGAGATTTCCAAGGATATTTATATCTAGTGTCTCCCTTCAATGATGTACTACAATGTGGAGATTTCCAAGGATATTTATATCTAGTGTCTCCCTTTAATGGTGTACTACAATGTGGAGATTTCCAAGGATATTTATATCTAGTGTCTCCCTTCAATGATGTACTACAATGTGGAGATTTCCAAGGATATTTATATCTAGTGTCTCCCTTTAATGGTGTACTACAATGTGGAGATTTCCAAGGATATTTATATCTAGTGTCTCCCTTTAATGGTGTGCTACAATGTGGAGATTTCCAAGGATATTTAAATATATTGTCTCCCTTTAATGGTGTGCTACAATGTGGAGATTTCCAAGGATATTTATATCTAGTGTCTACCTTTAATGGTGTACTACAATGTGGAGATTTCCAAGGATATTTATATCTAGTGTCTCCCTTTAATGGTGTACTACAATGTGGAGATTTCCAAGGATATTTATATCTAGTGTCTACCTTTAATGGTGTACTACAATGTGGAGATTTCCAAGGATATTTATATCTAGTGTCTACCTTTAATGATGTACTACAATGTGGAGATTTCCAAGGATATTTATATCTAGTGTCTCCCTTTAATGGTGTACTACAATGTGGAGATTTCCAAGGATATTTATATCTAGTGTCTCCCTTTAATGGTGTGCTACAATGTGGAGATTTCCAAGGATATTTATATCTAGTGTCTCCCTTTAATGGTGTACTACAATGTGGAGATTTCCAAGGATATTTATATCTAGTGTCTCCCTTTAATGGTGTACTACAATGTGGAGATTTCCAAGGATATTTATATCTAGTGTCTCCCTTTAATGGTGTACTACAATGTGGAGATTTCCAAGGATATTTAAATATATTGTCTCCCTTTAATGGTGTGCTACAATGTGGAGATTTCCAAGGATATTTATATCTAATGTCTCCCTTTAATGGTGTACTACAATGTGGAGATTTCCAAGGATATTTATATCTAGTGTCTCCCTTTAATGGTGTACTACAATGTGGAGATTTCCAAGGATATTTAAATATATTGTCTCCCTTTAATGGTGTGCTACAATGTGGAGATTTCCAAGGATATTCATATCTAGTGTCTCCCTTTAATGGTGTACTACAATGTGGAGATTTCCAAGGATATTTATATCTAGTGCCTCCCTTTAATGATGTACTACAATGTGGAGATTTCCAAGGATATTTATATCTAGTGTCTCCCTTTAATGGTGTGCTACAATGTGGAGATTTCCAAGGATATTTATATCTAGTGTCTCCCTTTAATGGTGTACTACAATGTGGAGATTTCCAAGGATATTTATATCTAGTGTCTCCCTTTAATGGTGTGCTACAATGTGGAGATTTCCAAGGATATTTATATCTAGTGTCTCCCTTTAATGGTGTACTACAATGTGGAGATTTCCAGGGATATTTATATATATTGTCTCCCTTTAATGGTGTACTACAATGTGGAGATTTCTAAGGATATTTATATCTAGTGTCTCCCTTTAAGGATTGTAGGATACTTACACTCCGGGTCAATTTTTGTGTCTTCCTCCTCATCTTCTAAAAAGTATTCCTTGAGGAACTGAGCAAATGGTCCATTATGAGAGATAAGATCTTCATATGATCCAGATTCAGAAATCCTGCCGTTCACCATGACTAAAATATTGTCCACCATTGGTAACCAATGGATACCATGTGTCACCAAAACTCGGGTCTACAGAGAAATAACAACATGTAAACCAACTTTACAAACACTCTTTAGACCTTTGTCACTCATTTACTTTGTTTTCTATAAAGGGAGACATGAGAAACCAAGAAATAGGTAAACAAACTCTCCTGCCCTTTCAAATAGCTGTATATTTTTGGATGGATAACTTACAGTATTCAACAGATCTGGGCCCGTATTCATGAAACCGTTCTCATGCTCAAGCATGAATTTTGTGCTCAAACCTTACATCTTGTTTAAGTTAAAAATGAATAAATAAGGCTGATTTTGCCAAAGATTAAAAACAAATTTTGAAAGGACTTCAAGTCAAAGTTATATTCAATGTTTATATTTGACATTTGTATTATTGTATATATGATTTAAGTGAATTATAAGAAAGTTTGCTTGAGCACAAAATCTATGCTTGAGCATGAGAATGGTTTCATGAATATGGGCCCTGGTCCTTCCTACATGGTGAGCATAAAATGTAGAAATGAAGGCTTCTTAACATCCAAAAACAATTATCTTCTATACTGTGATCCAGCTGTTGTCAACATGTTTTAACCGCTGACAATAGTCATCATTAATTTTTAGTGACAATGAAAAATTCTCGACTGTGGATGTCTGGTACACAAATTCATTCTGAATTCTTTCAGGTGTTAAAATCTGCTAAGTACTATGTATTGAAGCTATCATAACCTGCATGCCTAGTTTTAATTCATTTCAATAGTGGCACCTTTAAGAATATAAACATATATTAGACATTGTTCTGAAATAATCTGATAAGAAAATTAAAAAACTTATTGAATTATTTAGCTAATGCACTTCCCCATCTAGATTTTGACTTTTTTCTTCAAATCACTTTGGACTTTCCTTAGTTGCCTCCTAGACTTCAAAACTTAGACCGTTAGAAAACACTGAAGAGTCCTACAAGGATGAGACAGCTGTATTATGCAGTTTACTTCACATAATAAAATGTCTAAATAAATGATTTTCCCATTCACCTTTGATTACATACAATTATGTCATATTTAAATAAGGGTTACACATGACTTAAGTGACAGAAAGATATAATTGTGTTACAACTGATTTAATCTCAGGCTGTATACCTTGTTTTTGAGCAGACCCTTTGGTCCTATCACTTTGTTGAATATATGTTTGCCAACGTGAGCATCGACAGCACTGAGCGGGTCGTCCATGAGATAGACATTAGAGTTACTGTACACGGCCCGTGCCAGACTGATCCGCTGTTTCTGACCTCCACTTATGTTGATACCCTAAACAAATGCAGAGCATATTAACTGTGAAAAGTCTGTGACTAAACAGCCTTAGTGTGAATATTTCAGTTTTGAATTAATAATAACATGAAAATATATTTCAATTGGCAAGTTTGATATCATATACTAGCACCATGGTGTTACTTCAGTGTCCATATCTTGAAAAAACAATTTTCAATATCAGCAGTTATGTTATTTGAATTATTACAATCAAAAGGCATTCAATTTTATTTTTTAAATAACTCTATTGTGGGTCATTTGTTTCTTGTTCCTGGAGGCTCCAAAACGTGGAAAATTCCTCATTTTGTTAACTGTTAATCTACATGGAAACTTCAGTAGATTACACTACCCACATCTTCACCTGGAAATTTGTGTAGACTTCACTACCAATCTCCTCACCTGTAAACTGTAGGTGACTCTTTTACCCATTTTTTCCCTAGGAGTAGGTTCATCTACTCACCTTTTCATCCTGAAGCTTATGTAGATTCCTATACTTACCTTTTCACTTGTAAACTTGTGTATAACTCTCTAGTCAGTTTTTCTCTTTTGAACTTGTGTAGAATCTTCTACTCACCTTTTCACCTATATCTATCTGGTCACCTCCAGGTAACATCTCCAGGTCTGGTCACAGTCCAGTATGTTCCTCTACTCACTTTTTCACCTATTTCTATCTGGTCACCTCCAGGTAACATATCCACGTCTGGTCACAGTCCAGTAGGTTCCTCTACTCATATTTTCACCTATTTCTATCTGGTCACCTCCAGGTAACATCTCCAGGTCTGGTCCCAGTCCAGTATGTTCCTCTACTCACCTTTTCACCTATTTCTATCTGGTCACCTCCAGGTAACATATCCACGTCTGGTCACAGTCCAGTAGGTTTCTTTACTCACCTTTTCACCTATTTCTATCTGGTCACCTCCAGGTAACATCTCCAGGTCTGGTCCCAGTCCACACGATTCTATCACCTTTTTATACTTCTTTGCCAGTAGTTGTTTACCAAACAGGATGTTGTTCATTAGTGTTGCATTCTGGATCCATGCTTCCTGAGGCACGTAGGCCACCTTACCCTAGTATAGAAAAGATGGATTCCTGTAATTACCAACATGAATAGGACAACTTGAATGACATGGAAACCAGATATCAGTGAAATTCTGAATTACAAATTTTGACACCAATACCTCTATACATCATTTGCAAAAGCTTAACATACCTTGATACATGTATATGATCTCCAATCTTCAGGTAATATGAGCTACAGTTACTCTGCAGCAATGAAAAGTGACTCTGATTGTGTTGCAACAATAGCATTTATTCAGTTATAAAGTATGAATTTCCCTCACACACTGGCCCTTATCTTGCAATGACCTTGACCATTTAAAAACCTTGAAATATTGCATGAAGGTCATTGATTCCCACATGCTGACCTTAACCTTGAACTGACATTTGACAAAGAAGAAAATTTAAGATATTTCCCAGAAGCTAATGCTCCTCAAATGCTGGACTTGGCCTTCAACTAACCATGACTGTGTTAAACCGTAGCACACTACCTAAACGTTCATGTTCCACACATGCTGACCTTGACCTAACACTGACCTTGACTGTTACATTGCCCTGCATCTTGGTGAGATCACCCAGTAGAGATGATATTAAAGAAGATTTTCCAGCTCCAACTTGTCCCACCACTGCCACCAACTGTCCATCTGGGATGTGGAAGTTAATACTGTAAAGATAACAGAGGTATGATAAAAATCCATGGATTACAGGGATTCTTCAATTCCAAACATTGCTTTTCCTCTGCCAGACACAGCAATCATATTACAGATTTTTTATTTCAAAACTCAAATTTTAGTAGAAAACAGTTTGATATGTCTTTGCCATCTAGACCAAATATAACAAATGTGTAAAAATCAAATAAAACAATTCAGGAATTTACTAAAGTAGTGAAGTAGCACACTGGCACCTGGACTGACACGTGGACTAGCAAAGTCACACCTAAAATGGTGAAGTGAACTGGTGAAGTCACAACTGGACTAGATAAGTCACAACTGGACTAGTAAAGTCACACCTTAACTGGTGAAGTCACACCTGGACTAGATAAGTCATACTTAGACTAGATAAGTCACACCTTAACTGGTGAAGTCACACCTGGACTAGATAAGTCATACCTTAACTGGTGAAGTCACACCTGCACTAGATAAGTCACACCTTAACTGGTGAAATCACACCTGGACTAGATAAGTCACACCTTAACTGATGAAGTCACACCTGGACTAGATAAGTCACATTTGGATTAGATATGTCATACTTGAATTAGATAATCACACCTGGACTAGATAAATCACACATGGACTAGATAAATCACACCTGGACTATATAAATCACACCTGGACTAGATAAATCATACCTGGACTAGATAAGTCACACCTGGACTAGATAAATCATACCTGGGCTATATCAATCACACCTGGACTAATAAAGTCACACCTGGACTAGATAAGTCACACCTGGACTAATAAAGTCACACCTGGACTAGATAAGTCACACCTGGACTAGATAAGTCACACCTGGACTAGATAAATCACACCTGGACTAATAAAGTCACACCTGGACTAGATAAGTCACACCTGGACTAGGTACGTCATACATGGACTAGATAAATCATACCTGGACTAGATAAATCACACCTGGACTAATAAAGTCACACCTGGACTAGATAAGTCACACCTGGACTAGATAAGTCATACCTGTACTAATAAAGTCACACCTGGACTAATAAAGTCACACCTGGACTAGATAAGTCACACCTGGACTAGATAAGTCACACCTGGACTAGATAAGTCATACCTGGACTAGATAAATCACACCTGGACTAGATAAGTCACACCTGGACTAATAAAGTCACACCTGGACTAGATAAGTCACACCTGGACTAGATAAATCACACCTGGACTAATAAAGTCACACCTGGACTAGATAAGTCACATCTGGACTAGATTAGTCACACCTGGACTAGATAAATCATACCTGGACTAATAAAGTCACACCTGGACTGGATAAGTCACACCTGGACTAATAAAGTCACACCTGGACTAATAAAGTCACACCTGGACTAGTATAACATACTCACTCTTTAAGTGTAGGCTGTGGCATTTCTTTGTCCCATATAAATGTACCATGATTTACTTCTAATGCATAATCTGCCAACAGAGTCACGACTGAAGTACAATCACTTGAATTAACACTTATACACATTCAATTCATCTATTTTTAATTTTTGCAAACATCCCAAAATCAAAACATTGAATAAGTCATTACTTTGATTACATTTGTTATATGTAAACACTGAAAGATTGACTGATCATTAACTAGAACATGTAAACACTGAAAGATTGACTGATCATTAACTAGAACTATACAGGTAAACACTGAAAGATTGACTGATCATTAACTAGAACTATAAAGATTGACATCATTAACTAGAACATGTTAACACTGAAAGATTGACTGATCATTAACTAGAACTATACACTGAAAGATTGACTGATCATTAACACACTGAAAGATTGACTGATCATTAACTAGAACATGTAAACACTGAAAGATTGACTGATCATTAACTAGAACTATACTTAACACTGAAAGATTGACTGATCATTAACTAGAACATGTAAACACTGAAAGATTGACTGATCATGTAACTTTGACTGATCATTAACTAGAACATGTAAACACTGAAAGATTGACTGATCATTAACTAGAACTATACAGGTTAACACTGAAAGATTGACTGATCATTAACTAGAACATGTAAACACTGAAAGATTGACTGATCATTAACTAGAACAAGTAAACACTGAAAGATTGACTGATCATTAACTAGAACTATACAGAAAGATTGACTGATCATTAACTAGAACTATACAGGTTAACACTGAAAGATTGACTGATCATTAACTAGAACATGTAAACACTGAAAGATTGACTGATCATTAACTAGAACTATACAGGTTAACACTGAAAGATTGACTGATCATTAACTAGAACATTAACACTGAGAACTGATCATGAACTATAAAACACTGAAAGATTGACTGATCATTAACTAGAACATAAACACTGAAAGATTGACTGATCATTAAACTACTGAAAGATTTGACTGATCATTAACTAGAACATGTAAACACTGAAAGATTGACTGATCATTAACTAGAACTATACAGGTTAACACTGAAAGATTGACTGATCATTAACTAGAACATGTAAACACTGAAAGATTGACTGATCATTAACTAGAACATGTAAACACTGAAAGATTGACTGATCATTAACTAGAACTATACAGTTAACACTGAAAGATTACTGAAAGATTGACTGATCATTAACTAGAACATACAGTTAACACTGAAAGATTGACTGATCATTAACTAGAACATGTAAACACTGAAAGATTGACTGATCATTAACTAGAACTGTAAACACTGAAAGATTGACTGATCATTAACTAGAACATGTTAACACTGAAAGAACACTTTGACTGATCATTAACTAGAACATGTAAACACTGAAAGATTGACTGATCATTAACTAGAACATATAAACACTGAAAGATTGACTGATCATTAACTAGAACTATACAGGTTAACACTGAAAGATTGACTGATCATTAACTAGAACATGTAAACACTGAAAGATTGACTGATCATTAACTAGAACTATAAAACACTGAAAGATTGAGAACATGTAAACACTTTGACTGATCATTAACTAGAACTATACAGGTTAACACTGAAAGATTGACTGATCATTAACTAGAACTATACAGGTTAACACTGAAAGATTGACTGATCATTAACTAGAACTATACAGGTTAACACTGAAAGATTGACTGATCATTAACTAGAACATGTAAACACTGAAAGATTGACTGATCATTAACTAGAACATGTAAACACTGAAAGATTGACTGATCATTAACTAGAACATGAACATGTAAACACTCATTAATCATTAACTAGAACATGTTAACACTGAAAGATTGACTGATCATTAACTAGAACATGTAAACACTGAAAGATTGACTGATCAATAAATAGAACTATACAGGTTAACACTGAAAGATTGACTGATCATTAACAGAACATTAACACTGAAAGATTGACTGATCATTAACTAGAACTATACAGGTTAACACTGAAAGATTAAACACTGAAAGATTGACTCATCATTAACTAGAACTATACAGGTTAACACTGAAAGATTGACTGATCATTAACTAGAACATGTAAACACTGAAAGATTGACTGATCATTAACTAGAACTATACAGGTTAACACTGAAAGATTGACTGATCATTAACTAGAACATGTAAACACTGAAAGATTGACTGATCATTAACTAGAACTATACAGGTTAACACTGAAAGATTGACTGATCATTAACTAGAACATGTAAACACTGAAAGATTGACTGATCATTAACTAGAACTATACAGGTTAACACTGAAAGATTGACTGATCATTAACTAGAACATGTAAACACTGAAAGATTGACTGATCACTAGAACTATACAGGTTAACACTGAAAGATTGACTGATCATTAAATAGAACATGTAAACACTGAAAGATTCACTGATCATTAACTAGAACTATAAAGATTGACAGTTAACACTGAAAGATTGACTGATCATTAACTAGAACATCATTAACTAGAACACACTGAAAGATTGACTGATCATTAACTAGAACATGTAAACACTGAAAGATTGACTGATCATTAACTAGAACTATACAGGTTAACACTGAAAGATTGACTGATCATTAACTAGAACATGTAAACACTGAAAGATTGACTGATCATTAACTAGAACTATACAGGTTAACACTGAAAGATTGACTGATCATTAACTAGAACTATACAGGTTAACACTGAAAGATTGACTGATCATTAACTAGAACATGTAAACACTGAAAGATTGATCATTAACTAGAACATAGAACTGAACACTGAAAGATCACTGAAAGATTGAATCATAACTAGAACTATACAGGTTAACACTGAAAGATTGACTGATCATTAACTAGAACATGTAAACACTGAAAGATTGACTGATCATTAACTAGAACTATACAGGTTAACACTGAAAGATTGACTGATCATTAACTAGAACATGTAAACACTGAAAGATTGACTGATCACTAACTAGAACTATACAGGTTAACACTGAAAGATTGACTGATCATTAACTAGAACATGTAAACACTGAAAGATTGACTGATCATTAACTAGAACTATACAGGTTAACACTGAAAGATTGACTGATCATTAACTAGAACATGTAAACACTGAAAGATTGACTGATCACTAACTAGAACTATACAGGTTAACACTGAAAGATTGACTGATCATTAACTAGAACATGTAAACACTGAAAGATTGACTGATCACTAACTAGAACTATACAGGTTAACACTGAAAGATTGACTGATCATTAACTAGAACATGTAAACACTGAAAGATTGACTGATCATTAACTAGAACTATACAGGTTAACACTGAAAGATTGACTGATCATTAACTAGAACATGTAAACACTGAAAGATTGACTGATCACTAACTAGAACTATACAGGTTAACACTGAAAGATTGACTGATCATTAACTAGAACATGTAAACACTGAAAGATTGACTGATCATTAACTAGAAATATACAAGTTAACACTGAAAGATTGACTGATCATTAACTAGAACATGTAAACACTGAAAGATTGACTGATCACTAACTAGAACTATACAGGTTAACACTGAAAGATTGACTGATCATTAACTAGAACATGTAAACACTGAAAGATTGACTGATCACTAACTAGAACATGTAAACACTGAAAGATTGACTGATCATTAACTAGAACATGTAAACACTGAAAGATTGACTGATCACTTTGACTGAACTAGAACATGTAAACACTGAAAGATTGACTGATCATTAACTAGAACTATACAGGTTAACACTGAAAGATTGACTGATCATTAACTAGAACATGTAAACACTGAAAGATTGACTGATCATTAACTAGAACATGTAAACACTGAAAGATTGACTGATCATTAACTAGAACTATACAGGTTAACACTGAAAGATTGACTGATCATTAACTAGAACATGTAAACACTGAAAGATTGACTGATCATTAACTAGAACTATACAGGTTAACACTGAAAGATTGACTGATCATTAACTAGAACATGTAAACACTGAAAGATTGACTGATCATTAACTAGAACTATACAGGTTAACACTGAAAGATTGACTATTAACTAGGTTAACACTGAAAGATTGACTGATCATTAACTAGAACTAACTAGAACATGTATTTTAACTAGAACTATACAGGTTAACACTGAAAGATTGACTGATCATTAACTAGAACATGTAAACACTAGATTGACTGATCATTAACATTAATTAGAGATAACCAAAGACTAGTACATACCATTATGGTCAGTAAAGTGTACATTGTTGGGGTCAAGATCACTCCCACTGAGGTAATTTCTAATCCTTTTGATGGACACCATCGCCTGTCAAACAACAATGTTTATAGGGTTACACTTCAGCACAGACTGGTCTGTTGTTCACCTTCCTAATAAACAACAATGTTTATAGAGTTACACTTCAGCACAGACTGGTCTGTTTTTTACCTTCCTGATAAACAACAATGTTTATAGGGCTACACTTCAGCACATACTGGTCAGTTTTTTACCTTCCTGATAAACAACAATGTTTATAGAGTTACACTTCAGCACAGACTGGTCTGTTGTTCACCTTCCTAATAAACAACAATGTTTATAGGGCTACACTTCAGCACAGACTGGTCTGTTTTTTACCTTCCTGATAAACAACAATGTTTATAGAGTTACACTTCAGCACATACTGGTCTGTTTTTTACCTTCCTGATAAACAACAATGTTTATAGAGTTACACTTCAGCACAGACTGGTCTGTTTTTTACCTTCCTGATAAACAACAATGTTTATAGAGTTACACTTCAGCACAGACTGGTCTGTTGTTCACCTTCCTGATAAACAACAATGTTTATAGGGTTACACTTCAGCACAGACTGGTCTGTTGTTCACCTTCCTGATAAACAACAATGTTTATAGAGTTACACTTCAGCACAGACTGGTCTGTTTTTTACCTTCCTGATAAACAACAATGTTCATTGGGTTCAATTCAGCACAGACTGGTCTGTTTTTCGCCTTCCTGATAAACACATACCACCTTAGGTAGAAAACGTGAAACTACATACCTGGGATCTTCACGTTAGGTTAAACTCAAACTGAATGACAACTTTCAGTCCCTCACTTTTGACCTCTGCATCAGATTCTCCTTTCAGATCTGATTTTTGACCACCACATATTTTTTTCCTGTCAGGTCTGAATTTCGACCACTATATATTTTTTTCCTTTCAGGTCTGACTTTTGACCACTATATAAATGTTTCCTTTCAGGTCTGACTTTTGACCACTATATAAATGTTTCCTTTCAGGTCTGACTTTTGACCACCATATATTTTTTTCCTGTCAGGTCTGAATTTCGACCACTATATATTTTTTTTCCTTTCAGGCCTGACTCTTGACCACTATATAAATGTTTCCTTTCAGGTCTGACTTTTGACCACCACATATTTTTTTCCTGTCAGGTCTGAATTTCGACCACTATATATTTTTTTTCCTTTCAGGTCTGACTTTTGACCACTATATAAATGTTTCCTGTCAGGTCTGACTTTTGACCACTATATAAATGTTTCCTGTCAGGTCTGACTCTTGACCACTATAAAAATGTTTCCTGTCAGGTCTGACTTTTGACCACTATATAAATGTTTCCTGTCAGGTCTGACTTTTGACCACTATATAAATGTTTCCTGTCAGGCCTGACTCTTGACCACTATATAAATGTTTCCTGTCAGGTCTGACTTTTGACCACTATATAAATGTTTCCTGTCAGGCCTGACTCTTGACCACTATATAAATGTTTCCTGTCAGGTCTGACTTTTGACCACTATATAAATGTTTCCTGTCAGGTCTGACTTTTGACCACTATATAAATGTTTCCTGTCAGGCCTGACTCTTGACCACTATATAAATGTTTCCTGTCAGGCCTGACTCTTGACCACTATATAAATGTTTCCTGTCAGGCCTGACTCTTGACCACTATATAAATGTTTCCTGTCAGGTCTGACTTTTGACCACTATATAAATGTTTCCTGTCAGGCCTGACTCTTGACCACTATATAAATGTTTCTTGTCAGGTCTGACTTTTGACCACTATATAAATGTTTCCTGTCAGGTCTGACTTTTGACCACTATATAAATGTTTCCTGTCAGGTCTGACTTTTGACCACTATATAAATGTTTCCTGTCAGGCCTGACTCTTGACCACTATATAAATGTTTCCTGTCAGGCCTGACTCTTGACCACTATATAAATGTTTCCTGTCAGGTCTGACTTTTGACCACTATATAAATGTTTCCTGTCAGGCCTGACTCTTGACCACTATATAAATGTTTCCTGTCAGGTCTGACTCTTGACCACTATATAAATGTTTCCTGTCAGGCCTGACTCTTGACCACTATATAAATGTTTCCTGTCAGGTCTGACTTTTGACCACTATATAAATGTTTCCTGTCAGGCCTGACTCTTGACCACTATATAAATGTTTTCTGTCAGATCTGACTTTTAATCACTAAAACTTAAATATATCAAAATATTTCAACACGGACAAGAACTAAATCTTTTTAACAAGAATTTCATTAGAAAACATATACCCAACAAGATAAAGTACAAACTATGACATTAGAACATTAATGAGGTGAATACATAGGGGAAGTTGAATATAGGGGAGGTTGAATATGGGGGAGGTTGTAAGACAAGTACACATGTCCAATATAGATGAAAGACTACCTGGGCCCTGTAGGGGATGTATCTGGGAAAGGTATAGATGAAAAGTTACCTGGACACCGTAGGAGATGAGCTGAGACAACAGATTAACTGGTACCCTCAGGATGTTGAAGAGCGCCAAGGCAACAAAAGCTTGCTCAGACCTCAAAGTGTGTGTTTCAGAAGTCACAACATATGTTGCAAATGTTGCCAGCATCACCTGCAATCAGAAACAACTGTAATTAGTGTGTTCTACTTAATCTGTGATAGAGTTCCAACTTGTCTAACACCAGGTCACTGATACTAAGTATTATACCATATGTTCATCTGTAATACATTATTACAACATTTTGACCTTGTAATGACCTCGTTATATGACTTTGACCATGTTTTGTGTTTCAGCTTTCTACATTACCTATGATGGAGCTCTAAGCATTCTATTTGAGATCTGACCTTGTACTGGAGCTCTGAGCATTTGTATTGGCAATTTGACCTTAACTGAAGATTTTACCTTGTATCTATCTTTACTGGAGGTCTGACCTTGTACTGGAGCTCTGAGCATTTGTATTGGCAATTTGACCTTAACTGAAGGTTTTACCTTGTATCTATCTTTACTGGAGGTCTGACCTTGCAGTTTACTGGTACCTACCACAAAAGGTGCCAGTAGGAAGCAGAATGTTGTGAAGCCCTGAAGGTAGGCAATTTGCTTTAACCGCTTTAACTCTTCCTGTCGGATCTCCAACACTTTCTCTGTGAAGGAAGGTTCCCAGGCATACATCTTAAGAACCTAAAAAGTAAAAAAATAATATTGTCAGGTTTGATTAAGTGCTGAAGATTATCTCTTAAAACCACCAATTGTCAAACACCAATTTGATAGAGAGTATACTAATACCAATCATGATCACATCTTGATTGGACATGTTTCCATTTTGAAATGACAAGCCGCTACTACATACTTGCTGTTACTATGAAAAAAAATTTAAATAACATGAATTATATACCTCGAAGGACAATTAACCTCCTAATGATATTTACCAGGATAATTACAGTGCTCCAGATAACTTTTTGACATGTGGGGTTTTCACTCCTACCTTTATAAATTGAGGGGTTTTTTCACCCCTGCCTTCAACAAGTGTATGGGTTTTTCCATATTAGGGTAACACTGAATTTGTAAACATTTTTGACAGCGCCATATTTGCTATGCGACTGGTTTATAATCACGATCAAGAAAGCGCTTGTTACGAGTTTCGTTTGTCTGTTTGACTTAGATTATTGAGTTTTCTAACTACGTAATATTGGAGCCGGACATTGACGCAGAGTCCGGATTTCGCACGGGTTAATGACGCAAATCTTATTTTTTTCCTAGCGTGAAATTAGAAATATTGTGCGTGAAAACGCATTCACGCAGGCTATCTGGAGCACTGTAATTAAATCCTATATTTAACGAAGCATCATAAGTACATCACAAATAATCCATTTAACTGAACAAGTACCTTTATGCCGTTGAGAATCTCGCTGAATAATTTAATTCGTCGACCTTTATTCTTCAGGACAAGGCCTTGTAACTTCTTCTGTTTTACAGCCACAAATGAGTTGAGAGGAACCATGAGCATTAGAACAGCCAGTCCTGCCAAACAGGAGGGGCCGAGTTCCACATACGTCCAAAGTAGGTAGATTCCAATGGTGATCTGAAGTGGTACGGTGAACAGTGACCACAGGTAGTTGAATGTGTCCTGAATACGCTGGCAGTCAATAGACATGAGGTTCACTGTTTCTCCCAATGTTGTACCTTTTTGCATTTCACTGCTCATGGTCATTGCCTGTCAAGGTCAAAACAACACATTAACAATTCCCTTCTTTGATACCCTAAAAATGCGACAACCTGGAATTTGAAAAATTTACTTATATTTTATAGTATACATAGTATAAAAATATAAATAACATTCATCAGTATGAAAAATTAACAAAACAACATCAAACTTGTGTCTAGGTCCAAATTATCATTATTGGGTCAGTAGCAGGCGGAGATAAAGGGGTTCCGCTTTTGTTAGAAGGAATGATTTCACCCATTTTCAAAGTCATGGAAGTCAAATGTACTAAAATCTTCAAAACTTCAAAATATTGGGCTTGCAGCTTGTCTGTATAAATGTTTGTGCTGCTATGTTGATGAGCAATTCAGGCCAATGAGGCATTTGTTTCTATCAATATCTTGTGAAGAACATGTACAACCTTTATAGAAGGTCAGATGACCATTAAGACCCATGTCCTCTTATTTACCTATAAACTATCTTCTCACTATGTACAGGGGTCAAAGCTCAAAGGAGCAATTTGGACAATATCATTAACTGACAACAGTTAACCTGACTGGACACTGCACACCTGCCCATTTCTCTCCTGACAATACATCCCTACCTGTCTGGAGACAGGCTGGAAATTGTGATTTCTCCAAGAACAGTAAATTCAGATTTGTTCCTCCACGTTTTCACATTAAAATAATTGATGTAAAATCAAAACTCTCTAAAGAAATGATTTAACAAAATAGAAAATAGGACTGGATTTTATTGTAAGTATATTGTAAATAGCAAAAACTAACACAATCAGTTGACACAAATAAGAATATCAGACTACAATAACACAATAGAATACACAATTAAGAATCAGATGACACTTCTGAAAATTATTTATGACAATTATACATTATACAATTAACACGAATTATCCATTCACATAATTATCAGATGACAATTAGCCAGATACCAGTTAACCCAATTATCAAAATTTCACATGACATTAACATAAGGAATATAAGATCACACAATTACCACAACAGAATATCATTGACACAATGACCACAACAGAATATCATTGACACAATGACCACAACAGAATATCATTTGACACAATTAACACAACAGAATATCACTGACACAATTAACACAACAGAATATCATTTGACACAATTACCACAACAGAATATCATTTGACACAATTACCACAACAGAATATCACTGACACAATTACCACAACAGAATATCATTTGACACAATTACCACAACAGAATATCACTGACACAATTACCACAACAGAATATCATTTGACACAATTACCACAACAGAATATCACTGACACAATTACCACAACAATATCATTTGACACAATTAACCATACAGAATTAGATAAGGCACAAATTAACAGAACAGAGTTAGATATGACACAAGTAACACAACAAAATAACATCAGACATTAATCAACATTTAAATATTATATACACTTATTAAGCACTGTCATCGTTTATCATTATAGGAAGCACTTATGATGTAATATAAATATACAAGCAAGTATGTAATGAAAATCTAGCACGGTCATAGCACTGAAGTCATTAATATATTCAAAACATGCAGAAATAAAACACAGTAGCACTGAATTATATCAAACATTTCTAACAAGTGATTGCTGGTATCAAAAGTAGTCCAAGCTGGGTAGGTAGATCACACCTGGGGATCCCTGGGGTCGGCGGCGTCTCTTGGAGATCTCGGAGAGTGTCTTGGTGTTGTGGGTACGACTTCTCTTGTTACTGAACCACTTCTTCACCTGCTCCTCCTTGATGTGACCTTGCTCGGCGAGGCGGTAAATGACATCTGGTGACGGGTAGGGGTGCTCAGTGTTGAGGTAGTACCATTCTTCCATCAGTCTGACCGCCTTCCGGGACAGGACGGGTCTGGACAGTGGACGACTCGGGGCTGACAGTGGCTCACTCTGGTGGCGGGTTCTCTCACGAGTGGTGGTATCAAGTCCGTCGAGGCTAGTCTCTACACGGTCCATGATGAGGTGAAGCTGGTTGTCATAGTAACTGTTGACAGATGGGTGGTAGGCAGTAGGACTGTCTTGTAGGCTCTGTAGACGTTCCATTTCCACTGCTCCGGCCTGGTACCTGTAGAAACTGGACAGTTGCTGGATCTCATCACCATGGACACTGTGAAGTCTCTTGAACATCTGTTGTAGTCGGCGCTCTCTGTCAGACACAGTGGAGTAGGACTTGGGTTGGAAGGTAGACAATAGGGAGTTGGGTGTGGCAGACTTCTTACATTCATCAAGGAGGACAGTTCGGAGGTCACAGAAGAAAGGGTGGTTGAGTAGAGGAGTTGATGGTGGTGAGTTGGAGGACAGCAAACTGAAGATGGAGTCAGGTCTGGATTCGGAGATTGGACTGCGGGCAGACTTCTTCTGTGGAGTAGAGTTGATGTGAGTAGTGGTCTTATCATGAGGGCTGTCAATGGTCGTCTCTTGGAGGGGGAAGGAAGTCTCTCGGTGAGGTTGGGTAGTGGTAATCTTTTGGTAAGGGTAGGTAGTGGTGGTCTCTCTATGAGTGTGGGTTGTGGGCTCTCTGTGAGGATGGGTAGTGGTGGTCTCTTGGTGAGGGTTGGTAGTGGTGGACTCTTGGTGAGGGTGGGTCGTGAGCTCTCTATGAGGTTGGGTAGTGGTGGTTTCTCTATGAGGGTGGGTTGTGGACTCTTGATGAGGGTTGGTAGTGGTTGACTCTCGGTGAGGGTTGGTAGTGGTGGACTCTCGGTGAGGGTTGGTAGGGGTGGACTCTCGGTGAGGGTGGGTAGTGGTGGTCTCTTTATGAGGGTGGGTCATGGGCTCTCTGTGAGGGTGGGTGGTAGTGGTCTCAAAGTGTAGTTGGGTAGTGCTGGTCTCGAAATGTGGCTGGGTAGTAGTATTATCGCAGTGAGGAAGGGAAGTGGTGCTCTCGCTATATGTTTGAGTAGTAGTATCAGGTGCAACTGTGTCAGACAGGAAATCCAGCAGATCATCAAGTTCGGTGACTCCATCTAGAATGGTTGCCTCTATGACGTCAGACAGGGTTGTCTCCGGGGTAACCTTCATTGGAATCGGTGAGGGAATATCATACGACATGATAGTAGTGGTGTCAGATTATGGCAGATGTCAACTTTGGCAGCTGAGTGATTTGTGATTTTTTGTGACACTTGACACCATTTTTAACTGAAAGTGGTGGCTTGGATGTCAAGATAGAAGTGCGTCATTGGCTGACACTTGTAACAGGAGTTCAGTCTACTGTTATCTCGCTTTCTCATTGGTAGAGGCCACCAATCAACCTCTGATGTAGATAATCTGATTGGTTGATTGGATAAGTGATCAATTAATCTCTCTCTTGATTGGTAGAGAAAAGTGAGATCACTTAACAGTAATCATTCCTGTTATCCTAATTATCCAGGTGAACAGATATGTGTTCACTTAATAGGTAAATCTATTGTTACCTGTCAGATCAGGAGATTTTTCTCACCTGTCTATTGTTCTTTAGACCACAGTTAATGATACTGTTACCTTAATTAACTACCTGACTGGACACTTTCACACCTGTCTATTGTTCTTCAGACCACTGTTAATGGTACTGTTACCTTAATTAACTACCTGGCTGGACACTTTCACACCTGTCTATTGTTCTTCAGACAACAGTTAATGATCCTGGTACCTTAATTAACTACCTGACTGAACACTTTCACACCTGTCTATTGTTCTTCAGACAACAGTTAATGATCCTGGTACCTTAATTAACTACCTGACTGAACACTTTCACACCTGTCTATTGTTCTTCAGACCACAGTGAATGGTACCGTTACCTTAATTAACTACCTGACTGGACACTTTCACACCTGTCTGTTGTTCTCCAGACAACAGTTAATGATACTGTTACCTTAATTAACTACCTGACTGGACACTTTCACACCTGTCTATTGTTCCCCACCTATCAATTATTACTTTCCTAGTTTACTGGATTAGCCAGTGTATCATGTCTCAGTCCATTGTAGTGATTATCTCCTAAATCTGTTTTGTACTAATTACTACTGGCCTTGATAACTGATGATCAATTAATTAAATTATACTGTCTTCTCAGAGTCAATTGTTTTTCATAATTTCAAAAAATTATTTGAAATGAAATGTTGGTGGACTTTTTATTATGAAAAAAATTTTCAAATATTATTTCAAAATTCATAATTCAATGATAAAATAATAATTCAGTATTAAGTAATGTACTGTAATTGCTGTACACGAATTTATTGCTCTTCCATGTTTTATATTATTTTGCATCAATGGAAATAAAATCAAATTTATAATGCGAAAATATAAAGTGAATTTTATTGTCAAATTTTACGAAATGGTTTTGAAAATTCTATTGAGTTGTTGATGGTACAGATGAAACATCAATCAACCAAATATAAAGTATATACATTATCCTGAAAGCATGGGATTTTAGTTAAATTTCTATTTAAACAAACTTGTTTTGTGTTATTATAGTCAACAGTTGGGTGAAAATTTGTTAATAGTTGATAATATAAGCATGAGATAAAGAGCTGACAAGGAAACCTCTTATCTACAATAATGGTCTGTGTCAACATGCTTTGTACTGGAGTCTTTCTACAGTCAAACTTTTATCTCTGAATTAAAACTCAATCATAATATTTCTTCATTTTTAATTACAAATAATTATGAATTTAATTGATTTTAACAGAGAGACTATCAGTAGTGGTTTGTTGGGTCATAAGGACAATATTTACATTGCTTGCATGGTGTTGTCAGTCAATAGCTAGTGTAATTTTCAGCTTGGGTTTTGTGTAATTGATGACTACATAATTGGACACCAGGTGGGAGGTCCATCATTTGTTATCAAAAGCAATATCATTTAAATAACACAGAGGTCATTGAGACAATGGTTTCATAGTTAGGACGAAACATTGATGCATGGTTGTTAATGGGCTTCTATAAAGTACAGTGTATCTTCATCAAACCGGTCCTTCTCAGAACCAATCACCTCTTGAAACCAAACAAAATGGTGAGGAGTATTTGGAATATGAGACAATATCACATTTCTAATGAACCAATCATTACATCCAAGTGAAGAAAAAGCTACAGAGTGAACAATACTGATGTAGAATTAGAAAGCAGCAGTTTCGCATCTAAATTGTGAATGTTATTTCATCACATGCAAAATGGAAACATCAGCTGAGAGTTGTTTTAAAATTTATTTTTCATACTGATAAGACACCTGTTCATCACATATATCACTTGAAAACACCATCAGATAGGATGACCATTGGACAAGGGCTCTGCATAAATGTAATGTTAGCTCCACCAGATTACTTTTTGACTAACGTCACATATTGTGCACAAGTATTAGTTTTTTTTCACTTTATAGAATTTTTCTATATCTGTGAACGTTTTTTCATATTCAGTTGGTCATTTGCAGTGTAAATGATGAAAGCAAGTGCAATGGTAATGTACTACAAAGGTTTCAACTCTGCATCCTTTCTGCATGGTCTGGATATTCTGCATTTTCTCACAACAAATTTTGTTCTCAATGTATAAACAAAACCTGCTTTCTCCAGAAACCTTAAATCATTAACTCCTAGCTTTGCTGTGTGGTAATAAGTTCTGACCAAATCACCATGGAAGCATTTAAGGAGGTGATCCTATCTTCTAAACGTTGGATATTCTTCAACATTAGAAAAATCCTGGAATTTTAAATATAATCATTAAAAGAATCCACTTACCTTGTTGTAGATTGCTGATATAAGAGCGCTACGTATCCTCATGCCAACAGTCATGCCAAGTTTTAAGTTTTGGTGGTAAAAGACGGACTGGACTAGGGCCACAAATAACATGAGAATGGCAGGGATATATCCCCTCCACTGAGGAAGACTGTCACGGTTGTCGGCATAATTTATGATGAATCTTGTAAAAAATTTGAAACAGTTCTTTATTACTTGTTTTAAATAAGATACAGACAAGAACCACAAGTGATACCTAATACATTCCTGACATGAATAATGATATAAAGCTGCAAGTCCCTGTAAAACATCTTCACATGTCAACAGATCCCAGACAGATCTTGGCATCAACCATCATTCTATCTGTATTTGTTTTATAAGTGTTGGATCTTTTTCCTTTATTTCTCTCTTTTTTATCCATTTTTGCTCATATTTATATAAAATTTGAAACTTCCTCGTATGAAATAGTGATCAGTCTCAGCGAGGAACAACAAGGAACCAAAGGAAACCTACATACAACATTTTTGAAAGATCTATATAGTATTTCTGAAGAAATAACAACAACAATCTATCACAGTGAAAACACAACATGGCTACCTGTCAGCCATTTTGTTTTTCTCATCGGTCTCCAATTCAAAAAGGCACAACTACAAGAAACCAAGGGCAACCTACATCTGAAATTCAAGTAAAACCTGTTAAGAACTTCTCATGAAATAGCGATAACAATCTTCAATTGTAAACATCAAAGATGGCCATCTGTCTATTTTTTCCCCCCTGAATGGCCCTAAAATCAAAAGTGTACACTGCAGAACCATGGGCATTTAGCGTATGAAATTCAAAATTCAAGATGGCCACCTGTGAGCATTTTTGTATTTTACAATTAAACCCAAAATCCACAGGACACAGCTAATGGCCAAAGGGAAACTAGATATGAAATTTGAGAAAGATCCATCCACAACTTCTGAAGAAATAGTGATAGTATTTTATGGAGGGATGAACGACAGATCACAGGTGTATGTTGATTTGGATAGCCAAACATCTAATGATAATAGCCAAACATCTGATGATGATAGCCAAACAAAACATCTGATGATGATAGCCAAACATCTAATGATAATAGCCAAACATCTAATGATGATAGCCAAACAAAACATCTGATGATGATAGCCAAACATCTGATGATGATAGCCAAACAAAACATCTGATGATGATAGCCAAACATCTGATGATGATAGCCAAACAAAACATCTGATGATGATAGCCAAACATCTGATGATGATAGCCAAACAAAACATCTGATGATGATAGCCAAACATCTGATGATGATAGCCAAACAAAACATCTAATGATGATAGCCAAACCAAACATCTGATGATGATAGCCAAACATCTGATGATGATAGCCAAACATCTAATGATAATAGCCAAACATCTGATGATGATAGCCAAACAAAACATCTGATGATGATAGCCAAACATCTGATGATGATAGCCAAACAAAACATCTGATAATGATAGCCAAACATCTGATGATGATAGCCAAACAAAACATCTAATGATGATAGCCAAACCAAACATCTGATGATGATAGCCAAACATCTGATGATGATAGCCAAACATCTAATGATAATAGCCAAACATCTGATGATGATAGCCAAACAAAACATCTGATGATGATAGCCAAACATCTGATGATGATAGCCAAACAAAACATCTGATGATGATAGCCAAACATCTGATGATGATAGCCAAACAAAACATCTGATGATGATAGCCAAACATCTGATGATGATAGCCAAACATCTGATGATGATAACCAAACAAAACATCTGATGATGATAGCCAAACATCTGATGATGATAGCCAAACAAAACATCTAATGATGATAGCCAAACCAAACATCTGATGATGATAGCCAAACATCTGATGATGATAGCCAAACATCTAATGATGATAGCCAAACAAAACATCTGATGATGATAGCCAAACAAAACATCTGATGATGATAGCCAAACATCTAATGATGATAGCCAAACAAAACATCTGATGATGATAGCCAAACATCTAATGATGATAGCCAAACAAAACATCTGATGATGATAGCCAAACATCTAATGATGATAGCCAAACAAAACATCTGATGATGATAGCCAAACATCTAATGATGATAGCCAAACAAAACATCTAATGATGATAGCCAAACATCTAATGATGATAGCCAAACAAAACATCTGATGATGATAGCCAAACAAAACATCTGATGATGATAGCCAAACATCTAATGATGATAGCCAAACAAAACATCTGATGATGATAGCCAAACATCTGATGATGATAGCCAAACATCTAATGATGATAGCCAAACAAAACATCTGATGATGATAGCCAAACAAAACATCTGATGATGATAGCCAAACATCTAATGATGATAGCCAAACAAAACATCTAATGATGATAGCCAAACAAAACATCTGATGATGATAGCCAAACATCTGATGATGATAGCCAAACATCTGATGATGATAGCCAAACATCTGATGATGATAGCCAAACAAAACATCTGATGATGATAGCCAAACATCTAATGATAATAGCCAAACATCTAATGATGATAGCCAAACAAAACATCTGATGATGATAGCCAAACAAAACATCTGATGATGATAGCCAAACAAAACATCTGATGATGATAGCCAAACATCTGATGATGATAGCCAAACATCTGATGATGATAACCAAACAAAACATCTGATGATGATAGCCAAACAAAACATCTAATGATGATAGCCAAACCAAACATCTGATGATGATAGCCAAACATCTGATGATGATAGCCAAACATCTGATGATGATAGCAAAACAAAACATCTAATGATGATAGCCAAACATCTGATGATGATAGCAAAACAAAACATCTAATGATGATAGCCAAACATCTGATGATGATAGCAAAACAAAACATCTAATGATGATAGCCAAACATCTGATGATGATAGCCAAACAAAACATCTGATGATGATAGCCAAACATCTGATGATGATAGCCAAACATCTGATGATGATAGCAAAACATCTGATGATGATAGCCAAACATCTGATGATGATAGCAAAACATCTGATGATGATAGCCAAACATCTGATCATGATAGCCAAACATCTGATCATGATAGCAAAACATCTGATGATGATAGCAAAACAAAACATCTAATGATGATAGCCAAACATCTGATGATAGCAAAACAAAACATCTAATGATGATAGCCAAACATCTGATGATGATAGCAAAACAAAACATTTAATGATGATAGCCAAACATCTGATCATGATAGCCAAACATCTGATCATGATAGCAAAACATCTGATGATGATAGCAAAACATCTGATGATGATAGCAAAACATCTGATGATGATAGCCAAACCAAACATCTGATGATGATAGCCAAACCAAACATCTGATGATGATAGCCAAACATCTGATGATGATAGCAAAACATCTGATGATGATAGCCAAACATCTGATGATGACAGCAAAACAAAACATCTGATGATGATAGCCAAACATCTGATGATGATAGCAAAACAAAACATCTAATGATGATAGCCAAACATCTGATCATGATAGCCAAACATCTGATCATGATAGCCAAACATCTGATCATGATAGCAAAACATCTGATGATGATAGCAAAACAAAACATCTAATGATGATAGCCAAACATCTGATGATAGCAAAACAAAACATCTAATGATGATAGCCAAACATCTGATGATGATAGCAAAACAAAACATCTAATGATGATAGCCAAACATCTGATCATGATAGCCAAACATCTGATCATGATAGCAAAACATCTGATGATGATAGCAAAACATCTGATGATGATAGCAAAACATCTGATGATGATAGCCAAACCAAACATCTGATGATGATAGCCAAACCAAACATCTGATGATGATAGCCAAACATCTGATGATGATAGCAAAACATCTGATGATGATAGCCAAACATCTGATGATGACAGCAAAACAAAACATCTGATGATGATAGCCAAACATCTGATGATGATAGCAAAACAAAACATCTAATGATGATAGCCAAACATCTGATCATGATAGCCAAACATCTGATCATGATAGCCAAACATCTGATCATGATAGCAAAACAAAACATCTAATGATGATAGCCAAACATCTGATGATGATAGCCAAACATCTGATGATGATAGCAAAACATCTGATGATGATAGCCAAACATCTGATGATGATAGCAAAACAAGGTAAACAGTTTGGCTTTGATTCTGGTGACAGATTGACTTGTATACTTACTGTAGAAGTACAGGGTTTAAAAACTGCAGAACATCAGAAACAGATTTAAAAATGATTGCACAGCAGTATGTAGGTCCAAAAGTCTTCAACAATGCTTTGAAAAGAGAAGGTGAAGGTTTATCTTCCTTCTTCGGCTCTTCTTTATACTCTGGAAATTTCTCTCTGTCTGACTCGACCAGAAGTGGTGTCTTCTCTGTAACCGTGGCAGCGAAGAAAGGATTGTTGAACTGACTACTGGTACTGTTACTGGAGCCAGACAGTGACACAGATCTGAAACACACAATCAAAGTTACACCTCTTTCTTACCATTTAGGGGAGGGTGGAGAAACCCTGATATCAAATATCTACACTTGATGAGAATGTATACAGGACATCTATATCCCAATCATGAGCATAGAAGTTAAGCATTTTGAAAGGGAAACTTTTGTATGGTTTAATATATAAGTGGTCAACAAGATACTAGTAAGGCATGTGTGACTTGAAGTCACCATCCTCATAACCACCCTATCACACAGTCACTGTCAGCTCACCTATCACACAGTCACTGTCAGCTCACCTATCAGACAGTCACTGTCAGCTCACCTATCAGATAGTCACTGTCAGCTCACCTATCACACTGTCACTGTCAGCTCACCTATCAGATAGTCACTGTCAGCTCACCTATCACACAATCACTGTCAGCTCACCTATCACACAGTCACTGTCATTTCACCTATCAGACATTCACTGTCGGCTCACCTATCACACAGTCACGGTCGGCTCACCTATCACACAGTCACTGTCGGCTCACCTATCACACAGTCACTGTCGGCTCACCTATCACACAGTCACTGTCTGCTCACCTATCACACAGTCACTGTCGGCTCACCTATCACACAGTCACTGTCGGCTCACCTATCACACTGTCACTGTCGGCTCACCTATCACACTGTCACTGTCGGCTCACCTATCACACAGTCACTGTCGGCTCACCTATCAGATAGTCACTGTCGGCTCACCTATCACACAGTCACTGTCAGCTCCCCTATCACACAGTCACTGTCAGCTCACCTATCACACAGTCACTGTAAGCTCACCTATCAGACATTCACTGTCATCTCATCTATCACACAGTCACTGTCATCTCACCTATCAGACATTCACTGTCGGCTCACCTATCACACAGTCACTGTCGGCTCACCTATCACACTGTCACCGTCGACTCACCTATCACACAGTCACTGTCGGCTCACCTATCACACTGTCACTGTCGGCTCACCTATCACACAGTCACTGTCGGCTCACCTATCACACTGTCACTGTCGGCTCACCTATCACACTGTCACTGTCGGCTCACCTATCACACTGTCACTGTCGGCTCACCTATCACACAGTCACTGTCGGTTCACCTATCAGATAGTCACTGTCGGCTCACCTATCACACAGTCACTGTCAGCTCACCTATCACACAGTCACTGTCAGCTCACCTATCACACAGTCACTGTAAGCTCACCTATCAGACATTCACTGTCATCTCATCTATCACACAGTCACTGTCATCTCACCTATCAGACATTCACTGTCGGCTCACCTATCACACAGTCACTGTCGGCTCACCTATCACACTGTCACTGTCGGCTCACCTATCACACAGTCACTGTCGGCTCACCTATCACACTGTCACTGTCAGCTCACCTATCACACAGTCAGTCGGCTCACCTATCAGATAGTCACTGTCGGCTCACCTATCACACAGTCACTGTCAGCTCACCTATCACACAGTCACTGTCAGCTCACCTATCACACAATCACTGTAAGCTCACCTATCAGACATTCACTGTCATCTCATCTATCACACAGTCACTGTCATCTCACCTATCAGACATTCACTGTCGGCTCACCTATCACACAGTCACTGTCGGCTCACCTATCACACTGTCACTGTCGGCTCACCTATCACACAGTCACTGTCGGCTCACCTATCACACAGTCACTGTCGGCTCACCTATCACACAGTCACTGTCGGCTCACCTATCACACTGTCACTGTCGGCTCACCTATCACACAGTCACTGTCGGCTCACCTATCAGATAGTCACTGTCAGCTCACCTATCACACAGTCACTGTCAGCTCACCTATCAGATAGTCACTGTCAGCTCACCTATCACACAGTCACTGTCAGCTCACCTATCACAGTCACTGTCAGCTCACCTATCATTGTTTTGAGACTTGCTCACTTCCTTTCGCCAAGCTTTCTCCAGATTTGGGGACAGAATTTGACTTTTGTCCCAGGGATTCAGGGTCCATAGATCATCCGTTTCCAAGGGCCTCTTAAACGCCTTGATTATCAACCTGTACAAAGTATATCAAAATAATACCACATTTAACAAACAGGCCAAAGAAAAGAATCAGAAAACATGTAGATATCCAAGTCCAAAATCTGTAAGATATTCAAGCTTCAAATCAATTAAATGAACGCATTTTTCACTCAGTGAGTCTGTCAGAATATGAACCGAAATTCCGTAAAGTTTATGCAAAAAAATCTTAAACATTACATTTACTGACAATGATTAAACTTTCTAGAAGCCAGGAAATGAAATCAGTTTTTGTTCACCAATTTTATCAGAAGCATTGAGTGTTCCGTCTAAAATTTGGGGAATGAAGCATATCGACTTAAATCATACAGTTATTGTTTAGTATCATCATTATGTTAATGACATGATAATCCTGGTACTTATAACACAGTTATGTAAGTTATTGTTATTGTTTAGTATCATCATTATGTTAATGACATGATAATCCTGGTACTTATGACACAGTTATGTAAGTTATTGTTTAGTATCATCATTATGTTAATGACATGATAATCCTGGTACTTATAACACAGTTATGTAAGTTATTGTTTAGTATCATCATTATGTTAATGACATGATAATCCTGGTACTTATAACACAGTTATGTAAGTTATTGTTTAGTGTCATCATTATGTTAATGACATGATAATCCTGGTACTTATAACACAGTTATGTAAGTTATTGTTTAGTATCATCATTATGTTAATGACATGATAATCCTGGTACTTATAACACAGTTATGTAAGTTATTGTTTAGTATCATCATTATGTTAATGACATGATAATCCTGGTACTTATAACACAGTTATGTAAGTTATTGTTTAGTGTCATCATTATGTTAATGACATGATAATCCTGGTACTTATAACACAGTTATGTAAGTTATTGTTTAGTATCATCATTATGTTAATGACATGATAATCCTGGTACTTATAACACAGTTATGTAAGTTATTGTTTAGTGTCATCATTATGTTAATGACATGATAATCCTGGTACTTATAACACAGTTATGTAAGTTATTGTTTAGTGTCATCATTATGTTAATGACATGATAATCCTGGTACTTATAACACAGTTATGTAAGTTATTGTTTAGTGTCATCATTATGTTAATGACATGATAATCCTGGTACTTATAACACAGTTATGTAAGTTATTGTTTAGTATCATCATTATGTTAATGACATGATAATCCTGGTACTTATAACACAGTTATGTAAGTTATTGTTTAGTATCATCATTATGTTAATGACATGATAATCCTGGTACTTATAACACAGTTATGTAAGTTATTGTTTAGTGTCATCATTATGTTAATGACATGATAATCCTGGTACTTATAACACAGTTATGTAAGTTATTGTTTAGTGTCATCATTATGTTAATGACATGATAATCCTGGTACTTATAACACAGTTACGTAAGTTATTGTTTAGTATCATCATTATGTTAATGACATGATAATCCTGGTACTTATAACACAGTTATGTAAGTTATTGTTTAGTATCATCATTATGTTAATGACATGATAATCCTGGTACTTATAACACAGTTATGTAAGTTATTGTTTAGTATCATCATTATGTTAATGACATGATAATCCTGGTACTTATAACACAGTTATGTATATCTTACCCATTCATCCACCAGAAGTAGAACTGATTCAGGATAGACACACTCCCCTCTGGACATGGTTCCTATGTTAACACACTTGATATGTTTAAACTACATGCATAATTCAGTTCAATTTTCTGTTTTCATATTTTTACATACAAAATTACAATTTCTGTTATATAAACACAAGACATTTCCTACATGTTTTTATTCAACTAAGAAGGATTCTGATCAAATACTTCAACAATTCTGTCATGTATTTTTTTTCTCTCCTCGGCTAAATTAATTGTGGGTATATTAACCAAATTTTTTCTGTTTTTTTTTTTTTTTATGTTATGAATTAGATTCGCAATTACAAAATGGAAAATATACCTTTTCTCTTCCTAAGTACAATTAACTATGAATATCAACTTCATTTTTTTTCTATTTTTTAAAAAAAAATTTCTTTGTTACACATCAGATCTACAATTACAAAATGGAAAATATATCTTTTCTCTTCCTAAGCACAATTAACTGTGGATATTAACCTCATTTTTTCTATTTTTTATTTTTTTTTTGTTACACATCAGATCTACAGTTACAAAATGAAGAATGTACCTTTTCTTCGTCATCCAATATGAATAACTTGTGCTCAGCGAAGCAATGAAGTAGAAGCTGAAGTAAAACCAGGGCGTAGTAACAGAAGAAGATGGTGAAGATAGAAAGGTTGGTGTTATACTCCTGTAAAATAAAACAACTTCAAATCTCAAAACCAAACATTAACCAGTTCGGTTGAGAGGTTATCAATATATGAAATTGATTCTGAACTGATTGGATGGGATGGGATGGAACAGGACGGGATGTGGACGGGATGAGGATGGGATGGGAGGGGAAGGGACGGGACGGGACAATACAGGATGGGACGGGGTCGGGACGGGACAGATGTACATGGGGACAACTCTCGCTTCCAATAAGATAGTGCCAGACAAAAACAGTGCGCACTTTTTTAAGCTGAAACTGTCGTGTCAAAAAGGGGGTGCGCACTATACGCAGGTACATGCCATTCCTGGGGTTATCATTCCCGAGTTCTGTATCCGCCATATTGGATTACCTCCCTTCACATAGTTATATGTAAAAGTCGTCGGTCTTATATGATAGTTTGGAGATAAAAACGACAAAAAAATAAAATAAAATAAATTTCGAATGTTTTAATCATCTGCCATTCACGCTAGCATTACGGTGAATCTAATTTTTTTTTTGTTTCCCGTCGGTCTTACTATTGGTCGCGGCTATAGTAGTGTCTGAATTTCTGCCTCATTTTGATGATGTATCTGTGGAATTCAATGAATCCGGAAGTTTTTAGGCGATTGTCGTTCTGTTCATAAATCGGACAGCCCATCCCACCGATGCCCAAAGTTGGTGACCCCATGACCTCTCTTGATCTGCATGGCCGGCACGCGCAGTTCTGTTGTACTGGCAGCGATGCCGGGATATCGGCGATCGCATACAAAGTTGAACAGCTCTCTCTCTCCATCTCTGGGTGTTTCGCTGTCGCACCTATGTCAGCCCTTCTGGTCAGTGGTTGGGACTTTAGACGGTCTTTTCTTTCTTCCGTGCCTTGATATTTCACTCTGGAATGTCGAAGTGGCGAACGGCGGCATGAAACTCCAGTCTCTCGGCGTAGTCAAATGGCGTTCGCAGTTTCCCCATGTCGAAGTCGGTGTAAACAATCTATCATTAAATACCTTCAGATACCGCGGTGGCTACAGATACCATGAAAGATCATGCCTATACTGAACAAACCACCTGCTTTTATGGGGACAAGGTAGGATTGGAAATGTTAAAACAACATCGTTTTCTGACCAATAGTACGCGTTCAGCCCAAGCCGGGTGTCATCAGTCTCCTCATACTCAACGTGCTAACTGTCATTAACCGTTAATTATACAATCAGCCAAGCCTTTCATGCTTGTTAGGTCACCTGGGTAAATTTGTTTACTTAAGGTAATTACATGTGTTAGGGTCACGCTCATTGTGGTTTCCTAATTATCAATGGATCAGACCACATCAAATGTTTGGTCGCAGTGACCAGTCAATTAATTTTTCTGTAGATTTTTTTTTTTAAATCTGATCTCCAAAAAGTACCTGCGCACTATACGTGAGTGCGCACTATACGCGAATATTTACGGTATATCAATACTCCAATCTTACAGTATTATTGAGCCTAAGAAAACTTCTTTTGAAATGGACTACAGTTTTGCTTTCATATTACAACAAAGATTGATTTGAACTCCACAGTCAAGTTGAGTACACATGTACCTCATTGATTAACTTGGTGTATGTTGGTATAATTCCAGCCATGGCCATCAGCAGCCAGAAGAGAAACAGAAGGCCTGATGTGTGGACACCTTTGATCCTGAGAAGGTGGGTCAGCAGGCCGGAAATCATCTGTAAGATTGAACGACTACCTTTAGATATAAGTATTAAAACCGCTGGCTTTCACCATCTTCACAAGGCAGTGGTATTAATGTACAAAAGATGGTGCCGAGTAACTTTGGGAACTGTTGTCATGTAAACTAAGGAGTAAGGTTTATTATTATTATTCTCTTTATTGCCTCCAAAATGAAGAGTACAGAGAGTATAGAACATGGATAGAAAACATTTGATAGTATAAATACATGATAAATATTATATACATGTACATATAGGTGCACATGCAGGTGAAACATCAAATTGATAAATTATCATAGAGTATATATGGAAGAGTTTACATATACATAGTAAGTTATAGTTTTAATTCCACATGTCAAGTGTATGTCATATGAATTAGGATTCACTTTGAGACATATCATATGGGCAGCATAATGATAAATAAGTATTAATACACTTGTGTAGTACAATAATGTGTAAGGTATGCACTAGAAGGATAAATTTGTGGGCCAGTATCACACAGTTTTATACTGTATGTTACAGTGAAGAGGCGTGACCAACATGCTAAGTATCAGAAATTGTGGTGTAACATGACACACGATAATCAACAATTTGGGACACTTGTTACTTACAAATGAGAGTATTTTAAGGATACAGGCAATGGAAATGGCGATCGGAAACTCCTCGGAGATTTGGGCCTGGTAGACGAGCTCAGTTAGTACCACACATATCAAGAGTGCATTCACTAGCTGAAACAGATACAGAACTTTAATAACAATTAGTACCACACATACCAAGAGTGCATTCACTAGCTGAAACAGATATAGAACTTCAATAACAATTATCTAATCTAGTTTGAATTAAACTATCAAATAGCTACAATGTGTATGTTTTATCTTTAAGAATGCAGGTAAAATTATACCAAAAACTTATATGTTAAAATAATGAAGTTGTTTTAATTATGGGAGTGCTGCATCACCCCATCTAGATTTTGACTTTTCCTTCAATCACTTTGGATTTTCCTCAGTTGCCTTCTAGGCTTCACAATTTAGTTCCTTAGCATCGCTGACAAGTCCTAGAAGGACGAAAAATCTTTATGATGCAGTTTAGTTCATTGTATGAATCTATTGTGTGTGTAACTCCGAGTATTAATAGGCACTATTGACTTGTGTATCTTTGTATAAGGAAATGTAGTTCACAGAAATTCTGTTTATCAACATTTACTTAGTAGTCAGACTTTTCAATGACACCCTATCACATCGTTTTGTGATAAAACAGTTAATTTTAATCTCATTTTACAAAGTTTCCGATAAAAACTTAACGTTGTGTATGAATGGATGATATAAATTTTGGGTGGCTTCCTGTTTTAAATTGTTTGACAAATTGAGGCTGTAGAAGACTTATATACTATACCAATTTTGCCACGTGGAAGCAGCAGCATGGATTGGTGACAGGGAGTTTGCCACTGAATTCCCGGTGTAGGTAAAATAAGTAGAACGGAAACAGTAGCAACAATATTCCACATGGTATCCATACCAACAGGGTCTGCTGGAAACACTCGCTGAACTGAGGAAACGATCCATCAATCAACTCAGAAAAGTTCTGAAATGATAATTGATTTTATCTGACAAGAGTTACAATATAAATATACATTTCAATGTATTTCCTTCATCCAATACTCAAAACATGGTAACTAGTATCAACATATACTAAGTATTCCTCTCTCAGGGAACCATAAACTGGTGAACTAACAAGAGGTCCGGGGGGGCCTGTAACATATAATTATCAAAGCAATGATGGGAATTTATTACTACTAGTCAAAAATATTTCATTTAAAGTTCCTCAGTTTTGGTTCCATATTATCTCACAGAAACACATTGAAGACAAATTCTGGTACTAGCCTTGCAGTTGTTCTAGGTTGTGTTGATACTAGTACATGATGAAGATTCATCTAAGGAATGAAGGGGAGCATAATTTTAAGAATGCTTTCATGTCAAGCAGTTGTATTTAAAGAGTGGGACCATTAACATGTTGCTATAGCAACCATAAAGACCAAACTCTACATTGTGATGACGGCTGTACATAACACAATTTATTCAAACAATTAAGTGTTATCAGAAAGTATTTATAGTCCATGAAATTATGACCTCCTGTCAGATCCCATGAAACTTACAATCTTCAAGATTATTTTGACTTTAATTATATCCAGAAAATGCCATTTTTTATTTGTATATTTTACATTTCCAACAACACTTTGATACTATTGACAGACAATTTACATTGCAATGATGTGACTAACTGCATCTGATCCCACTCAGGGCTGTGACCACAACCAGCAGTATTGCTATAATGGGAATGTGGTGGGCAAATGTACGATCTGTAAAATTCATATACAGATGGGATGTATAACAATGATACAATTTGCCAATGTTGTGTTACATCTAACAAAAGATACAAGGCCAGCTCCACAATTATATAACCTACATAAAATTATATACAGATGGGATGTATAACAATGATACAATGGGTCAATGTTGTGTTACATCCAACAAAAGATACAAGGCTAGCTCCACATAACATACATAAAATTATATACAGATGGGATGTATAACAATGATACAATGGGTCAATGTTGTGTTACATCTAACAAAAGATACAAGGCCAGCTCCACAATTATATAACCTACATAAAATTATATACAGATGGGATGTATAACAATGACACAATGGGTCAATGTTGTGTTACATCTAACAAAAGATACAAGGCCAGCTCCACAATTATATAACCAACATAAAATTATATACAGATGGGATGTATAACAATGATACAATGGGTCAATGTTGTGTTACATCTAACAAAAGATACAAGGCCAGCTCCACATAACATACATAAAATCATATACAGATGGGATGTATAACAATGATACAATGGGTCAATGTTGTGTTATATCTAGCAAAAGATGCAAGGCCAGCTCCACATAACATACATAAAATTATATAAGGGCATATGGTGCCATGTCTATCTATAAACAGGGCCTCGATTAGAACCAGGGAAATATAAACCTGTTAGTCTTACATGTACAGGTATTACTAGAAAGACGTTGGATAAAGTATTGTACAGTTTGTGAGATTAACCGCTTAAGTAACCAACACTACAGTTTTATCCAGCAGACTAGTCGAACTACACTTACTAGTGGTGTTGGGGAAACGGATAAAATGTTACTAAGAAATCAACTTGATGTCACTGACTGAATAAATGGACATTAAGCCTTGAAAAAAGTAACTCGCCGGACTCTGAGACCAGCAAACTGATACTAAAAACATGGATGTACATTTTTAAAAAAAACAATCTGAGACAACTCCAAATGGCTTTATACATCCCAGAAAGTGTGAGGTTTTTCTTGATTCAATCAGATGAAAAATAGAATTATTGTGCAACATGAGATGGCTGAGGAAAAAACACATTTAAAACTAAATCAACAAAATAGGACCATGGAAAAAACTGGATGCTGAAAGCCTGCTTCAATATGTTAATGACCTTGACAACACGGCTTGACCTTCCAAGTGTTTTACCCGAGTTATCTCCCTCCAATTTATCTATTTATAACATTATGATTGCCTAGACAGTCGACTTACTTGATAACAAAAAAGTCTTAGTGTACGCGCGATAAACTAGCTAAATTGTCTTTAGTCTATCCAATACAGGGAACAGGCTGCGTCCCTCTTCCCGAGATCTGTCTAGCTCTAGATCTCGCGAAATCTCGGGCAACTAATTTGCCGCCAAATCGATGTGTGTCCATGAGTTGAACTAGAACAATGTCACGTGAAACTGAAACCAACATGCAACTTAAATCTAAATCTACTCAGGTCCTGGTATGAAGCAGCAGATTTTTACTTTTCCATAACACGTCGATTTTTCATTCTCATTCTTTATTTAATAATCTCCGCGGAAAGATTTTGTTGCGTAAGACCATGGACTTGTAGATATCAGTATATATAAGTCCGTGTCATGTATCAAAGTCTGTGGTAATACCACAGAATATATCTAAGTCCATGGTAATATATATTTTATCCCCCCGCTCCCATGTCTGTCTCTCTCTCATTGGTTGTAACATTAAAATCGGTAATTGGAGACAGGGCAATTTTAAACCAACTAATAACAACTAGGAATCTTTGTGTTATAGATGTTTGAAACTTATGTTGTTTCATCGTTGGCTTAAATGACAGAGCAGAGTATAATGGATTTCCTGCAATGGTACTGCTTTCCAGATCACACTGTCGGAATAGGAGCCCAGAGACTGGCTAGCTATAACTTGCCGCTCACTGAAAACACCGGCATTCAGTTTGTCATTTATAGTAAATATATGTAGCAGTAAGATCATAAAAGCAGGTGAGTCCGATATGTTTACTTTTATTAAGAGAGAGAGAGTAGGAGAGAGGGGGAGAGCGAGAGAAAGAGAGGGAGGAAGAGAGAGGGGACAGAGAGAGAGAGAGAGAGAGCGAGATAAGCACGTGATCATGCGTTAATAACAGAACATATGGCAGTGTATAATTTCGTCACCACACTCGCTGGTACAAATGCCAGATATATTCAGTGACAGTCTTACTGACAAAGGAATTCAACCGTTTACTTGGAGAGATAGAATTCAAATGTGCGTGATAATGACAATAAAAGAAACCCACAAGACAGAAATTTTTAACTAATCTAACAACTTCGTCCAAAGTCCGTCAAGTGTCACATGTCCATTCCGCAGCTGACCACAACTCACGTACAGCACACATGCATATGTACAAAGCGCAAACAAAGAAACGTTCTCGCGCTATACTCCTGGTATACGTACCGGTATGCATTAACAGGCAAAACGTAACACGAATTTTACAAATAATATTAAAGAACAACCAATTTAGTATATTGTACTAAACGACAAATAAATATATTCGATATCCAAAAGAATGTAATAATGTTGACCATGTTACACACATACGACAAGCAACAGTAAATAGTTAACGTAAAATATAATTACCCAAATACTGGAACCGTTGCAAAATTTCCACGCCAACTGACCAGTCGCGCGAAGTGCCATACTTTTTTCATCCATGGAAATATTTTTACTCTAAATCCAACTTTATATTCCATTCCACTTTTTACTATCACATTTTGTCACGAATTCGCCTTGAAACTCCATCGGAACAATATTTTCAGTCGTATAAAAAATGACTAGTGGAAAAACTTAATGAAAAGAAACTTGCCTTCACCGTATGCAATCAGTAAATCTTACATGACGTAGCGCCGTTTCAACTTCCCACAATACTCTTACATGGTAATCATGCGGTACCACGTTATGTTACACTTATTTTAGGTAGGAATCTCGTGATCTGCCCGTGTCGTTATATTTATGAATGAATCGGTTTTACAACCCATGATGTAGGATACACAGTTAAAATACACTTGCCAGGTAACTTTTTATATTGTTGTGTCCTTATATCATATTAAAGATGTATTCTTATGCTCCTTAAAACGTTTTCGGGGGAGCATAAAGTCACCGCCCTTTTTTCATCATGAAATGTTCAATGGTGAATGAGAGTTGATTGATAAGTTGTAGTGTGCCTCATATTTAAGGGTTTGACTTTTGACGAACATATTGCATTATTTTTCAACATAATCCCCTGCAATATCCATGAACTTATGTCAGCGATGCTTAAGGGCTTCAAAGTCACTTTGAAAGATACTTCAGGGATCACGATCACTTTCGCTCTCTTTACAGGCGCTGTACATGTTGGCGTACGTATTTCGCTCTCTCTACAGAGCGACAGTGATAGTAACCCCAGGTTATCGATATTGGGTACTATCAGCATCCCAGAAAACCGAGGCCATAACCTTTCCAGCTGATGGTATAGCCTTTGCCTTTTTGGCGGGGATGAACCAGGGTGCTTCCATTGTTAAGATTGATGTTTGGTCTCTGGGGTGAAATGATGGAGCCATGTTTCATCCATAGTCACAAACCTCTGCAGAAAGTTAGCAGGACCTGTCTCTGAAAGGTTCAGATTAGCACATCTAGAGAAGTCCACCTGCTGTGCTTCTGATCAACAGTCAGAAGTCTTAGTACCCAACAGGATGAGAGCTTTCTCATGGCAAGACCTTCCGTGAAAACGGAATTTGCTCTTCCGGTGAAATCCCAACTGTACTGGCTGTATATATCTCTGTAACTCGCCTGTCAGCCGTAACAATATGATGGACTTTATTGACCATTTCTGGGGTTACAACAGAGACAGGCCTTCCAGGACGGGCGTCATCCCCAAGGCTCTGCCTGCCACGCTTACATTCCACCACCCAACTTTTCATTGAAGCATATGTAGGGGCATCATACCCTAGTGTTACTACCATATCAGCATGGATATCCTGAGGTGCTAGGCCTTTCTTATGCAAATATTAAATCACTGCTCTTTTTAGCGATTTTATCCATTTTGCATAAGTCACTTGCCTTGTGCTATCTCTTCGACATAAACTGACCAAATAACACAAGTGTTTCGGGTACATAGCTTTAGATAGTGAGGGAAACGTAGAGCTGAGAAAGGACACAACTGCTTAATATCTTCGATGCAAGGCTCACAACTTATCAATTAGCCCTCGTATATATAATGAGTCCCAAGTTGAACCTGGTATGATCTGATAATAACATGTGTACATCCATCAAATCATCTATCAAATACTACATTAAGTAAAGTTATGTTTCATAGTAAACATCAGGGACGTGTAATACATATTGTGCTATATTATACGTCACTGATAACACACAGAATTTATCAAACGAACTGACAACAACAGAATACCGAAATTTCGATTTATTTGTCCCGAAGTAATCTGCAGTTTTTTTTAAAAAAAACTTTTACAAACCCCAACCTGCAAGTCCATACAGCGATAGATATGTTGAAAGTAAGCGTTACGCATGACCGTCCTACTGGTGTCGGCTCTCGTGACTACAACTCGAATATGTAACGAAACAACCTCATATGATTGCTGTTACGGGTGTCTCAGTCACGCCTCATCGGAGACGTCTCGGGTCACATGGTACAAGTACTGTTGTCGTACGTACGACGTCAAGGCAGTAAGAGAGACATCGTCCCCACTGTAGTGATGTAATGAAAATTAATTTCACTCTAAACTGCCACATGTGACAGATGGAGTGTTCATCATTACCCCTGTTCCGTATGGTTGTAACATTAGAGCCCCGATAATGTGGTTATTATTACGGTAATATAGACACGGGCGTATGATCAAGGATATATGATACTATACTACCTTGATCACAATGTTGATGTCAGTATCACATCATTATGTTGATGTCAGTTTTACATCACAATATTGGTGTCAGTATTACATCACAATGTTGATGTCAGTATTACATCACAATGTTGGTGTCGGTATTACATCACAATGTTGGTGTCAGTATTACATCACAATGTTAGTGTCAGTATTACATCACAATGTTGGTGTCAGTATTACATTATAATGTTGATGTCAGCATAACATAACAATGTTGGTGTCGGTATTACATCACAATGTTGGTGTCAGTATTTCATCACAATGTTAGTGTCAGTATTACATCACAAGTTTGTGTAAGTATTACATCACAATGTTGGTTTCAGTATTACATCACAATGTTGATGTCAGCATTACATAACAATGTTGATGTCAGTATTACATCACAATGTTGGTGTCAGTATTACATCACAATGTTGGTGTCAGTATTACATCACAATGTTGGTGTCAGTATTACATCACAGTGTTTGTGTCAGTATTACATCACAATGTTGGTGTCAGTATTACATCACGATGTTGATGTCAGTATTACATCACAATGTTGATATCAGCATTACATAACAATGTTGATGTCAGTATTACATCACAATGTTGGTGTCAGTATTACATCACAATGTTGGTGTCAGTATCACATCATTATGTTGATGTCAGTTTTACATCACAATATTGGTGTCAGTATTACATCACAATGTTGATGTCAGAATTACATCACAATGTTAGTGTCAGTATTACATCACAATGTTAGTGTCAGTATTATACCACAATGTTGGTGTCAGTTTTACATCACAATGTGGTTGTCAGTATCACATCATGATGTTGATGTCAGTATTACATCACAATGTTGATGTCAGCATTACATCATAATTTTGGTGTCAGTATTATATCACCATGTTGGTGTCAGTATTATATTACAATGTTGGTGACAGTATTACATCACAATGTTGGTGTCAGTATTATATCACAATGTTGGTGTCAGTATTACATCACAATGTTGGTGTCAGTATTACATCACAATGTTGGTGTCAGTATTACATCACAATGTTAGTGTCAGTATTACATCACAATGTTGGTGTCAGTATTATATCACAATGTTGGTGTCAGTATTACATCACAATGTTGGTGTCAGTGTCAGTATTATAGCACAATGTTGGTGTCAGTATTACATCACAATGTTGGTGTCAGTGTCAGTATTACATCACAATGTTGGTGTCAGTATTATATCACCATGTTAGTGTCAGTATTACATGACAAGTTTGGGTAAGTATTACATCACAATGTTGGTTTCAGTATTACATCACAATGTTGATGTCAGTATTACATCACAATGTTGGTTTCAGTATTACATCACAATGTTGATGTCAGTATTACATCACAATGTTGGTGTCAGTGTCAGTATTATAGCACAATGTTGGTGTCAGTATTACATCACAATGTTGGTGTCAGTGTCAGTATTACATCACAATGTTGGTGTCAGTATTATTTCACCATGTTAGTGTCAGTATTACATCACAAGTTTGTGTAAGTATTACATCACAATGTTGGTTTCAGTATTACATCACAATGTTGATGTCAGTATTACATCACAATGTTGGTGTCAGTATTACATCACAATGTTGATGTCAGTATCACATCATTATGTTGATGTCAGTTTTACATCACAATATTGGTGTCAGTATTACATCACAATGTTAGTGTCAGTATTACATTACAATGTTAGTGTCAGTATTATACCACAATGTTGGTGTCAGTTTTACATCACAATGTTGGTGTCAGTATCACATCACGATGTTGGTGTCAGTGTCAGTATTACATCACAATGTTGGTGTCAGTATTACATCACAATGTTAGTGTCAGTATTACATCACAATGTTGGTGTCAGTATTATATCACAATGTTGGTGTCAGTATTATATCACAATGTTGGTGTCAGTATTACATCACAATGTTGGTGTCAGTGTCAGTATTACATCACAATGTTGGTGTCGGTATTACATCACAATGTTGGTGTCAGTATTACATCACAATGTTGATGTCAGTATTACATCACAATATTGGTGTCGGTATTACATCACAATGTTGGTGTCAGTATTACATCACAATGTTGGTGTCAGTATTACATCACAATGTTGGTGTCAGTATCACATCACAATGTTGGTGTCAGTATTACATCACAATGTTAGTGTCTGTATTACATCACAATGTTGGTGTCAGTATTACATCACAATGTTGGTGTCGGTATTATACCACAATGTTGGTGTCGGTATTACATCACAATGTTGGTGTCAGTATTACATCACAATGTTAGTGTCAGTATTACATCACAATGTTGGTGTCAGTATCACATCACAATGTTGGTGTCAGTATTACATCACAATGTTAGTGTCTGTATTACATCACAATGTTGGTGTCAGTATTACATCACAATGTTGGTGTCGGTATTATACCACAATGTTGGTGTCGGTATTACATCACAATGTTGGTGTCAGTATTACATCACAATGTTAGTGTCAGTATTACATCACAATGTTGGTGTCAGTGTCAGTATTACATCACAATTTTGGTGTCAGTATTACATCACAATGTTGGTGTCAGTATTACATCACAATGTTGGTGTCTGTATTATACCACAATGTTGGTGTCAGTATTACATCACAATGTTGGTGTCAGTGTCAGTATTACATCACAATGTTGGTGTCTGTATTATACCACTATGTTGGTGTCTGTATTATACCACTATGTTGGTGTCTGTATTATACCACAATGTTGGTGTCTGTATTATACCACAATGTTGGTGTCTGTATTATACCACAATGTTGGTGTCTGTATTATACCACAATGTTGGTGTCTTTATTATACCACTATGTTGGTGTCAGTATTATACCACAATGTTGGTGTCAGTATTATACCACTATGTTGGTGTCTGTATTATACCACAATGTTGGTGTCTTTATTATACCACTATGTTGGTGTCAGTATTATACCACAATGTTGGTGTCAGTATTATACCACTATGTTGGTGTCTGTATTATACCATTATGTATTATCACTGGTTTACACGTTACCGATAGAAAAACCTGAGTTTTGAAAGGTATTCCTGATTTTCTACTTAGAACTTGGCGTTTTATAGATGATTTATACGGCAAAGTGAAGCTTTCATTTATTCATAGATCAATGTTGATGTCGAAAATAACCAAATTTGATAAGGTCTGTTGGAGATTTTTCATTTGTTTGATAGATGTTTTATAATAATGTTTGTTATATGATATACTTTATTACATATTTTATCTTAAGTTGATGATATACAAAAATTATTTATGATTTACCAAATATGGTATCTATCATATTAAATTGATCAAAATATATCTCTAACGAACAGAACTGAATTAGATATCTTATCTGTTATAATTAATTATTGATTATGCTACCGATATTGACTAAATAGGAACGTTTTGTTAAGTAGTGTTAGGTATTTGACAAATAAATAGGATATCTCATTCAGTAAAGTGGATGTCTTATAGAGGACGAGATGTTCTATAACACATACTTCCTTGTTACGTCACACCCCTTTATCTCTCTCGTAAATGCAGCGACTTCTAAGTGTGCGGGGAAGGTTTATCATCACAGATTCAAATATTGTACTTAAAATTAGTTTAGAAAATAAGAATTCTTGTGAAGAAAACACTTTAGTAAATATATCATCTTATTAAGATTTTTTTTTATATAAAATCATATATCTTAATCAATAAATTCTATATGCTATTTAATGAATTACATATCTTATATGATATGTTTAGTACAGGGTCATCATAACTCCATAAATCTGCGTTCTAGTTAGAATCGATATTACAAACCCCCAATTCTAATCATTGTTTCTGTGGAGAATTGACAACATACTTGCCAAGACAGAGGATAAAAAATATTATATTGATAAAGAAAAGATCAGAAATGAAAACACTGTACAGTAGGTACAATTCTAAAACGATTTCAATCACCTATATTTTGCGTGATTACAACTTACCCCTGTCTGGAATCCGTTAGTTGATGTCTCCGATTGATTTTGTAGGGTTGGTCGACATATACCTGCCATCGTGTGTTGACAATGTTCCATATACCGACTCGTTTGTCAGTTACAATATAAATACATACAAACTTTTCCGTGATACATGTCTACCAATATGTTATAAATTAGATATGTTTATTAGTAGCTTGTAAAATATTCCACTACAGGTGTCTATTGAATCCCTAATTACGTGCCCAGAAGTAAAGATATGTAACGTACCATTATTGCGACGTAAATACACACACCTGTGACTGATACTCTGTGTGGTATCGAAGAACATATTATATCAATTCTTATGTAAAGAATAGCATCACGTTCAATATTTCTGTCCGATCTTTGACTATATATATTTATATGATGGCAATAATCTGTGGCTTGAAGATACAATATATATTCACTCAGAAGCGTTGATATATTTTCATGAAAGACTTAAAATAAAATATGAACCACTAGCTTATAGTTAAAGATTTCCGAGGCAGCTTTTGTAAATACATTATATAACCCCGTAGTGTTCTTCCAGTCGTGTTTGCATGTTATTTATAACATTAAAATCTTAGTGTTTTTTTATACAGGGTAACTTAGATTGGTAGAGAACAACGAATGCCTACTTTGTATTAACTGAACCTTAATCCAAACTCAACTTCGATGACATCAAGAAAAACATGAACATGACAAACATATACTTGAAGATTTGTGAAAAAGTACAAGGAGTATAAGACCATGTGTTCCGAAAGGGTAAGCATCTTTTGCTTCATCGACGACACCCGACATGTCAGTCTTGGTAAATATAGGTAAGCAGTCACAATGTATACACCAGTGGAACCAACAGGAACATTAACGATCATTTAATACGTCTAGCTTCATATCACACACAGAATGTTTCGTAATGAGATCACTATGACGACCGTAAAACTTACCCTTAATTTTTCTTTGTATTTACTGTACAGGACATCAATCTTCGATTTTGTAGATATTTAGATATGAAGATTTTTGTAGAGCTTTATTCTGTATGACTTTGATTTTAAACATTTATTGTGTATAACTTGGATAGTAAACGTTTATTCTGTATAACCTGGATTGTAAACGTTCATTCTGTATGACTTGGATTGTAAACGTTTATTCTGTATAACTTGGATTGTAAACGTTCATTCTGTATGACTTGGATTGTAAACGTTTATTCTGTATAACTTGGATTGTAAACGTTTATTCTGTATGACATGGATTGTAAACATTTATTCTGTATGACTTGGATTGTAAATCTTTATTCTGTATGACATGGATTGTAAACGTTTATTCTGTATGACATGGATTGTAAACATTTATTCTGTATGACATGGATTGTAAACGTTTACTCTGTATGACTTGCATTGTAAACGTTTATTCTGTATGACTTGGATTGTAAACATTTATTCTGTATGACATGGATTGTAAACATTTACTCTGTACGGCTTGGATTGTAAACATTTACTCTGTATGACATGGATTGTAAACGTTTACTCTGTATGACTTGGATTGTAAACGTTTATTCTGTATGACATGGATTGTAAACATTTATTCTGTATGACTTGGATTGTAAATCTTTATTCTGTATGACATGGATTGTAAACGTTTATTCTGTATGACATGGATTGTAAACATTTATTCTGTATGACATGGATTGTAAACGTTTACTCTGTATGACTTGCATTGTAAACGTTTATTCTGTATGACTTGGATTGTAAACATTTATTCTGTATGACATGGATTGTAAACATTTACTCTGTACGGCTTGGATTGTAAACATTTACTCTGTATGACATGGATTGTAAACGTTTACTCTGTATGACTTGGATTGTAAACGTTTATTCTGTATGACATGGATTGTAAACATTTATTCTGTATGACATGGATTGTAAACATTTATTCTGTATGACTTGGATTGTAAATCTTTATTCTGTATGACTTGGATTGTAAACATTTACTCTGTATGACATGGATTGTAAATCTTTATTCTGTATGACATGGATTGTAAACATTTACTGTGTATGACTTGGATTGTAAACATTTACTGTGTATGACATGGATTGTAAACATTTACTGTGTATGACATGGATTGTAAACATTTACTGTGTATGACTTGGATTGTAAACATTTACTCAGTATGACTTGGATTGTAAACATTTACTGTGTATGACTTGGATTGTAAACATTTACTGTGTATGACTTGGATTGCTGCTCCAAATCTTTGCCACACAAAGATTAAGAAATCATGTTTTTAATCCGCTCTCTGTTTGATTTTGTGATTTTGTAAAATCTTCATTCCAAAATATGTTGTTGATCCGAAGGTTCCAGATTTGAGAATTACATATATATGGTAATTGTGCCAGTTATCATATATATCATGAAAGGTTAATTACTCACTGATATTGTTCTCAGTAAAGCCAGCACGAACACGCAACTGTTAAGACATTTGAAATCCAGAAGTCATATCTAAATAGAGGTTTATTATTTATATATATATGTATGTCGTTATATTTATACATACAGGTCCATGACTATAAAGACGTATTCCCTGGTAACGGTAGTCATAGTGAGAACAATTACCGATTACAATAGTTCAAAATATTTCAGCAGCGAGTGTCAAAAACTCACCATTTCGGGTTTTCAAACTTCCCACAAAATTTCAGTGCTAATTTTGACAAGGCCTAGAATTTTTATTATTTTTTCTTAAACGACGGCAATTTTGGATTTCGGAAGGACATGAAAAAACAATACTTGGTTTGAAACATCTAAGGATAATTCCACTCAAGTTTCATCTAAATCGGATCGGGGAACTTATAACAAAATGTGTTTTTTGAAAAATGAAATAGGGTCAAATTTGATTTTGGACCAATTCGAAAATAACAGCATCTGGTCAGGACCATCTTAGGATCATTTCAGCTGAATCTCACAGGTGCAACACGGCTATCATTGCTGTCATGTTGAATTTTTGATGAAGTTGAAAAATAACGCTTCGTCGTCTTTCCTTCCTTCTCACCAATTTACAGCTAAATGACACCAGATGGACTTTGGAAGTTTAAAATGTGTTTTTACCAGATGATAATTTTAAAAAGTGAAAAGTTTACAATACCAACAAGAAACATGGACTTGGTGCCACACACACATAGTTTTCATTTTATTAGCAATTCTAGTCACTAACAATACCCGCCCAAATTACAGTTTTTTTTAAATGTGTAATGGTATTCATATACCAAAAATGTAGTAAAGACCAACACAAGACAACAATGTGTATGAAGATATTTAATTCATGAGCCTGATACTTGTCACATTCAATAAATAAGCATAACAGATCAATGATACCTAATAATGAAAAATCACAATATTAGGACAACATGATTTTTACATAATCTATACATCACACCTTGTCATTATCATCTCCACTAATAACACTCACTGATAATGGAATACTACCGACATGTTCTTGTCTATGATCTATCAACCGTGCGCTGCATGGATGTAAGAATGTGAGCTAGTGGAAAGAAATGTTATCACATCTAGACAAACTGAAAAAGGGAACATATCATCACCATAACATTAACATGCTTTATTGGTAATTAATGTTTATTTAGAAGGCGAGAAAAGAGGTCAATTTACCATTTCCATTTTTGTTTTCGATTAGACAGTATTGTCAGTAGGTTAGGGGTCAGAACCAGCTCCATATTGTCACAAAACACTTAGTAAAATGTTTTACTAGAAGTTATCCTCTCCCTTATACCATGGTTCTAAACAAGCATTTTACCACCACAAACAACTCGGTATCGTGAATATATACACCACACTTATAATGGATTCACCAGTCTTCTCTGGACAAAGATACTGACTTTTATTCTCAAGTCTTAACAATTAATGAAGATGTTGACAACTCTCAAGTCCTACAATTCAGCTGCGATTCTGTAGATGTAACAAAAACATACACTGAATCTAATTAAAGTCTAAAAAGCATAACAAAAAATTATAAGATGAAGATACCTGCCAACTTAGGTAACTGTGGAGTTACTGATCAAGACACTCGAGTCATGGAGATTCTCTCTGGAGTATTACACAGAAGAACAATCAGTGATTTATCAACCAGTACTGATGAAGTGGAGAACAGAAAACCTGTTTTTTTCGGTTGGAAAATCAAACCAGCTCTCATTTATAGAAAATATTCCATAATTTTGGGTTGTATGGGCGAATGCTTGCCATCCCTGTATATCTCTAAAGTGTCCAGGTTTTACCGTACATCACTGATCACACAAACTGTATATCTCTAAAGTGTCCAGGTTTTACCGTACATCACTTATCACACAAACTGTATATCTCTAAAGTGTCCAGGTTTTACCGTACATCACATGATTCATTTATCTATCAACAAACCAAAGTTGTGATCACCACCCTCTACCTATCAGTATCTGCTTTACGCACTCATTACAACAGTTACAGGCACCGTATATCAAACAAACCTTTTTATGTATAAGAATGTTAAAGTTGTCCATTATTATAGATTTATATTATGCAATAACTTTATATGTAGGTATCCTGGATATTGATCCTACATCCTTTAATGGTTTACCATACCCTAAGAACATTTATCTGATGGTACCTAACCAGGTGGTGTAAACACACCTCAATATACAACTGTCTGGATCATATTTAATTACAGATGTAAAGTCAGATAAACATATTTTCTAGCCTATGTACAATTAATTGTTATTTTTCTTCATGATTTTAGTAAATGCTCTTTAATAAACATGATTTTATCATTTCAGATGAAAAGTTCAGGTACGTGTATATACTGCTGCGAAATATTAAAAAGTTTCCAAAGTTCTCAAACAAATTATCAATGTAAAACGATGTTTTGGTGTTTTAGTTGAAATGATTTTGAAACAGAATAAATTATATTAAAACACCTGTGTACAACTATGATAAAATTCATGTCATTTACAAGGATTTCTGTGACATTAAAATTTTATAATTTAAAGGTGAACAATGAATGTAAGGGACGTCACTCTCAAATCTAGCAGGAATAACTGTAACTGATGTTAAAGAATCCTTGGTACACAAGACTGTTACAGAATCCTTGGTACACAAGACTGTTACAGAATCCTTGGTACACAAGACTGTTACAGAATCCTTGGTACACAAGACTGTTACAGAATCCTTAGTACACAGACTGTTACAGATTCCTTAGGACTATGTCAGCCAATGGGCCCAAGACTACAATAAAATTCTGTAATACTTCAGACCTTTAAATACAGGTACATTTTACACTTGTTTTGTATATAAGATGCAGCACCACTAGACATGCCAGAAAAACAACTGATAATTGATAAGTCTCCAATAGTTTGCTTTGTAAATGCCAAATAAATATTTCAAATTTACATAAAATGTAACAATTATGTATACCCAGAAAAAAGATGCAAAATAATAAACAGACGAAATACCCATTCCAACAGTTGCTAATTTCTGTAAAGTCTAATATTGATTCAAGAAAGAGCTAAGTATTTTGAAAATTAGGGTAGTCTTTTTGCTTTGGACATCAATGTGATTGCCATATGTTGTCTGTACATCAAATTTAGAGCTATTCTGTCAAAATTCTGTATGTGTATGTGTGGTAATTAGGTGCATATATTAGTAGTGACACTTTCAACAGCAAAGTTTCTTTCATAGCATATTCCTGAATTTTTGATGCCTGCTGAAGATCTGATTTTAAAAGAAAACTTACAAATGGTTTATCATGAATAACCACAGTGAATTCATTTGAATTCTGACAAAAGAACTCTCATATGAAAATATTTTGAGCAAATTCAAGGTATAGCCACGTAAAAATCCTTTAAGCTGTTGATAAACTAGTGATACAAGTCAAGAAAAATGACAAAATGTATATTAATAACAAATTTAAAAAAGATATTTGCATGAATTCACTTATATTTTCTATGATACCTCTTACTGCACTTTGTATAAATTTACATACAAACTAAAATGTTGATAAAACAATATTTAGACTAAAGTGACAGTCTGCTTTATCTAACACAATGTTTTTACAGCAGAAAGTGTTTCAATACAACTGATGTCAAGTACTGAGTCTCTCCACAGTGTTCCTGCACAACTTATTTCTAGTACTATGTCACTACCAGAAAGTGTTCCAACACAACTTATGTCTAGTACCATGTCCCTACACCAGAAAGTGTTCCAACACAACTTATGTCTAGTACCATGTCCCTACACCAGATAGTGTTCCAACACAACTTATGTCTAGTACCATGTCCCTACACCAGATAGTGTTCCAACACAACTTATGTCTAGTACCATGTCCCTACACCAGATAGTGTTCCAACACAACTTATGTCTAGTACCATGTCCCTACACCAGATAGTGTTCCAACACAACTTTAGTCTAGTACCATGTCCCTACACCAGATAGTGTTCCAACTTTAGTCTAGTACCATGTCCCTACACCAGATAGTGTTCCAACACAACTTTAGTCTAGTACCATGTCCCTTGTTCCAACACAACTTATGTCTAGTACCATGTCACTACACCAGATACTAAACCAGATAGTGTTCCAACTTTAGTCTAGATATTTGTACTTGGTTTTTAACTTGGTTCACATTATAGAAATGCATAGTTATGGGAAAAATCAAACTATGTCCAGAATGCTTGGTCTTTTCAAACAGCTCAAATATCATAATATGGATGTTCAATGAATGGCATAAAATATATAAAAATAGTTCTTTCAAGTTTTAAATAAACACATAACTTATTTTGACAACTGTTTGGTAACTCATGTAAGTCTGTTTTGTACGTTAACAAGTCAAACAAATGGTGAAGGAGAAATGGACAGACATTCTCCATCTACATTATCTGATAATTCCAGAAGGAGAAATGGACAGATGTTCTTCATCTGTATTATCTGGTATTTCCAGAAGGAGAAGTGGACAGACATTCTCCATCTATATCGTCTGGTATTTCCAGAAGGAGAAATGGACAGACATTATCTATCTGTGTTATCTGGTATTTCCAGAAGGTGAAATGGACAGACATTTTCCAACCAAATCATCTGGTATTTCCAGAAAGAGAAATGGACAGACATTCTCCATCTGTATTATCTGGTATTTCCAGAAGGAGAAGTGGACAGACATTCTCCATCTATATCGTCTGGTATTTCCAGAAAGGGAAATGGACAGACATTCTCCATCTGTATTATCTGGTATTTCCAGAAGGAGAAGTGGACAGACATTCTCCATCTATATCGTCTGGTATTTCCAGAAGGAGAAGTGGACAGACATTATCTATCTACATTATCTGATAATTCCAGAAGGAGAAATGGACAGACATTATCTATCTGTATTATCTGGTATTTCCAGAAGGTGAAATGGACAGACATTTTCCAACCAAATGATCTGGTATTTCCAGAAGGAGAAATGGACAGACATTCTCCATCTATATCGTCTGGTATTTCCAGAAGGAGAAGTGGACAGGCATTCTCCATCTGTATTATCTGGTATTTCCAGAAGGAGAAATGGACAGACATTTTATATATTATGATGTTTTTCTAGATCAGGTGAAACCTAAACATTTAGAATATTGACAAGAAACATACACATGAAAAGTTGTAGATGATCTATCATGAATAAGGATGATATTTTTTTGTATGTGCAGTGTTCTCCTGTGTTCTATCTACAGGTAAATGTTTCTCTATGTGTGAGTACTTCCTACAAAGTGTGATCTATTGAAGTTCACTAGTACTTACACCTAATCCAAAACAAATACTTTTTCAAAATATACATTACAATAATAATTCTGAATATGCATGATCTCAAATCACATGCCTAATTTGTCAAATTATTGAGTTTCATGCTAACTCTTATACAATGTATATGTCTGAATTCCTTGACAAACAGACAGCATGGATTGGCTGTTCAATTTAGAACAGTTGACTTCCAATCTAAGGATTTTGTGAACCCAAAGGTTTGGTTCTGACAGAGGAATTAAATTGTTTTAAAGAGTACCACTTTGTTGAAGTCCATCACAGTGGATACAGAGGTGATAAAATAACATTGCATTCCACAAAAATTAATGTATGGAGTTACAGTTTCCCATTCTATCACTCTGTGAAACTGCAACAAGGTTTCCACTCTACCGGCCAAGTAAAGTGCTACAATCTGGAGTCATCATTTCATATCCTTTTCATTTACAACTGTCCCTTTGATGGATCCCTCCATTCGTTGCTGAAATTTTAAAAGTAAAACTTACAAACAATGATTACAACAAATAATCAAGTTCAACATCATCTTTTTTCATGTTATTTAAGAATTGAATGCTGGTTGTCAACTACAGCATGCTTTAAGTAGTTATCTAAAACAATATAGAGAGTGACCATAATATAGACAGGTAACACAGCAATAAGATCAGATGATATAGACAGGTAACACAGCAGTAAGATCAGATGATGTAGACAGGTAACACAGCAGTAAGATCAAATGATATAGACAGGTAACACAGCAGTAAGATCAGATAATATAGACAGGTAACACAGCAGTAAGATCAGATAATATAGACAGGTAACACAGCAGTAAGATCAGATGATATAGACAGGTAACACAGCAGTAAGATCAGATGATATAGACAGGTAACACAGCAGTAAGATCAAATGATATAGACAGGTAACACAGCAGTAAGATCAGATGATATAGACAGGTAACACAGCAGTAAGATCAGATGATATAGACAGGTAACACAGCAGATCAGAAAACATAGACAGGTAACACAGCAGTAAGATCAGATGATATAGACAGGTAATACAGCAGTAAGATCAGATGATATAGACAGGTAACACAGCAGTAAGATCTGATGATATAGACAGGTAACACAGCAGTAAGATCAAATGATATAGACAGGTAACACAGCAGCAAGATCAGATAATATAGACAGGTAACACAGCAGTAAGATCAGATGATATAGACAGGTAACACAGCAGTAAGATCAGATGATATAGACAGGTAATACAGCAGTAAGATCAAATGATATAGACAGGTAACACAGCAGTAAGATCAGATGATATAGACAGGTAACACAGCAGTAAGATCAGATGATATAGACAGGTAACACAGCAGTAAGATCAAATGATGTAGACAGGTAACACAGCAGTAAGATCAGATGACACAGACAGGTAACACAGCAGTAAGATCAGATGATATAGACAGGTAACACAGCAGTAAGATCAGATGATATAGACAGGTAACACAGCAGTAAGATCAGATAACATAGACAGGTAACACAGCAGTAAGATCAGATGACATAGACAGGTAACACAGCAGTAAGATCAGATGATATAGACAGGTAACACAGCAGTAAGATCAGATGACATAGACAGGTAACACAGCAGTAAGATCAGATGATATAGACAGGTAACACAGCAGTAAGATCAGATGACATAGACAGGTAACACAGCAGTAAGATCAGATGATATAGACAGGTAACACAGCAGTAAGATCAGATGATAGAGACAGGTAACACAGCAGTAAGATAAATGATGTTCTTACCCTATCCAGTTCACACTTTGTTTCATTTTCAATCCTACGGATGTCCTCCATAGTAAGACCAAACCATTTCTCCATCCAGCAGTATACTTGACGATGAAAGTTTGTGAATATCCGCTTTTCTTGCTGCAGTTATAAAAAATTAATTTTTGAACATGCTACATCCCAAAAGTTTTCTCACTCAATTAAAATACACAGAAAAATATTTTGCTCTTCAATTAGCGATTCATTTTTTTTTTTTTTTTTTAGAAATTTTCAGGCAACATCTTCAGAGTTAAAACTACGTATGAGTAAGGACAATAAACTAAACCAAGACACATGAAGGCTATATATAGTCTGAGGTATACCATTATATACATGAAATTTATAACGTATCACTTTAATTTCAGTACAGTGTATAGTACATTCTGTTTCGGTAAACTCATTCTTGTGCCTTAATAGGTAGTTTTATGGAACTCAAAGTACTCGCAGGTCTTATGATACAAAGTACATGCTATGTACTTACTGGAAGCAACCTAAACATACCCAGTTTGTATAGAGCTACTTTTATGTGATTTACTCACCGCTTGTATAAATTTCTCGATTCTATTTTGAAATCCCAGCCATTTGAACTTACAGGATACAAGTTTATAAGCACACATTACAGGTTCCACAGTTTTCTGATAAAACAAAAACATTAAGATACAAAATACGCAAAGACATTTTGTGACTAATACATGTATTCCCTTCTGTCAGTGGGAAACCATTACTTTAGATAACACTTTATTCCATTTTTCACCAAAATAATTCATGCTACCCATAATGATTCATGCTAAATATAACAGGTCATTATTTGTTTCAGTGCCGTTCTTGGGATTCTGGTTTACTAGTCTGATGCTCAAATGAAAAAGAAGTTCTCTCAAGCCCAGCAGTATATTGCAGCTAGTATACCAGGGTAACATACTCCTCCTATAGGAAATATCTTGTCCCCCAGTTTCCAGGGGTTACAGCTATACTTGTAAGGCTATGTATCATTTGCGAGGCCCCACATTAGGTGCTAATGTAACAGGTCATTATTCATTGTAATGCCTCCATTAGGATTTGAACCCAGTACCTCTGGCCAGACACTTTATCCTAATTGCTCTGGAGGCCACCACCTACTTCAAGGAGACCCTGCCTAAAAATGACCCTGGTTGTTAACAGGGTGACAAACCCATTTGTAAAATCAGTTTATTTTCAAGATTTTGCTTTGATCAAGCAATCTCTCATAAGTATAGCATGTAAAAAAAACTGGTTTACAATACTAATCATGGTAAAAAATTCTGATTTTAATTCTTTTTTAAATTTTTTGTGGCAATTTTGTGTAAATAGTGAGATAAATGAAAAGGAAAAACTGTTCATCTTACCATCCAGTCTACTCCCAGTGGACCTCTGCCTATTGGTTCCCCTGTATTCTCAGACTTGACAGCCTTCACAAGTTTAGGATTCCACTCTTCTTTGTAATCCTACAAAGATTTCAAAATTAATCATTTGTGACAGCGTTGTTTGGCTTGATAAAATTAATCATTTGTGACAGCGTTGTTTGGCTTGATAAAATTAATCATTTGTGACAGTGTTGTTTGGCTTGATAAAAATAACCATTTGTGACAGTGTTGTTTGGCTTGATAAAATTAATCATTTGTGACAGTGTTGTTTGGCTTGATAAAATTAATCATTTGTGACAGTGTTGTTTGGCTTGATAAAATTAATCATTTGTGACAGTGTTGTTTGGCTTGATAAAATTAATCATTTGTGACAGTGTTGTTTGGCTTGATAAAATATATCAGCTGTATATGTTTTTTTGTATATTACATTAACAGCCATCAGCCTCAGTGGTTCAGCCAGGGTAAATATGTAAATAAATCAGGTCTGAATTATTTCTAAAGGAAATTCAAGAAATATCACAGCAAGACCATTAATTTTTGTACACATTTTATACACTTCCAGTTATGTTTCTATGCTATCCCAATATTAACAAAAGATTTCCAATGTTTGACATGATCATTTAGTTTTTTTTAAAACTTCCCTAAATATAGCACTGCTAATTTCACATGACTGTTTTGAAAGCATGGCAGTTTACATGTAAGCACAAACATCTGTTAGTGGAGACAGTTTACAGAAGCAATAGTGACACAGTACCTTAACACCTGTTTTTCAGACAAACAACATGCTATAAACAAAAAAGTGAAAGTCGGCAGTTTTATTTGCCCATTCTGGCAATTTTTGTACTGTGGCTGGCACCGTAACCAGTTTTTGACATGGAATATTCACACAATAAGAGATTTAGTTTACAGGTGATGCGTGTTCTGTGCATGCGTTATCATATATCTATATCTAGCTTGTTGATCAACAGTGAGAAATTACTGTAGAATAACAATTGATTTTTATTTCCCTTTCATAACTATTGAATTAAATCATTCGTAACTATTGACTTATCTGTATATTTCAACAAAAAACAAGTGGCACTGTTCATAAGGTGATACAACTGATATACAAGGGATGATTTGTAAGTTGTGAGCCTTGTATTGAAGAAGTTAAGCAGATATGCCCTTTTTCAGTTCTACTATTCCTGGACTATTTAAGGCTGTGCGGCCAAAGATTGTTGTTCTTTAATCAGTTTATGTAGAAGAGGCAGCACTCTAAAGTAAACAAGGCAAGTGACTTTTGCAAAATGGACAAAATCGCTGAAAGAGCAGTTATTCAATATTTGCATAAGAAAGGCCTAGCACCTCAGGATATCCATGCTGATATGGTAGTAACACTAGTGAACGATGTCCCTTCATATGCTGCAGTGAAAAGATGGTTGACAAAATTTCAGCATGGCAGGCAGAGCCTTTGGGATGACACCCGTCCTCGAAGGCCTGTCACTCTTATACGCCCAGAAATGGTCAATAAGGCCATGACATTGTTATGTTATATAAAATAATGATATCATGTAGCAATCCACTGAGAAAAAACTGAAGAAGAGAACGGGAGAAAAGGTAATGACTTACTGATGCCGATACTGAATCATTGGCAATGTCTATAACTACAACCTTTCTATGCTTCTCATCCTCTGGGTTTAGTCCATGAGCCTGTCAAAATAGAAAGTTGAAATCTAGTTCAAGTCTAGTCTATCTAGTTATAGTTGAGGTCTGTGAACATTTTTATCATGTGAAATGTTTAAATTTAACCTCGAAATTCTACACATGTAAGTCTGAATGTCAAACCCATACACTAAATTACAGTCAAAGCTGCTTTCCTAACCATCTGTAGTTCATCATCCAGACCACTTTTCTGTTAAAAGGATCATCTGATGTAAAGTTCTCTCCCTTACTTACATTTGTTTGGTTTCCCCTGATGTAAAGTTTTCTCCCTTATATTTGTTTGACTCCCCTGATGTTAAGTTCTCTCCCTTATATTTGTTTGGTTTCCCCTGATGTTAAGTTCTCTCCTTTACTTATAATTTGTTTGGCTCCCCTGATGTAAAGTTCTCTGCCTTATATTTGTTTGGTTTCCCCTGATGTAAAGATCTCTCCCTTATATTTGTTTGGTTTCCCCGATGTAAAGTTCTCTCCCTTACTTATATTTGTTTGGTTTCCCCTGCTATATTTTGGTTTCTCTTTCTATAGCTACTCTCATCTACTTACATTTTTTTGGTTTCCTCTGTCTGAACAATGCAGGGTTTCAATGATGATGTAGAAATTTTCTTTCATGTAACCTGGATTCTGAAAAATTATAGAGTATTAAAAGTGCCCTTTAAAAGCTGACAAATTATGAATCACGAACAATTCTGACACCAATGAACTGGTCTGTCATAACAAGTGTAAATAAGCATGAACATTGACCCTCTTTACAGCAGAAGATGAGATTGTAGTGAACAGGCAGACCAGAATGATATTTGTGCTGAGTAAGTTTTACTGTTAATAGAACCAGTCTAATGTGATTTCACTATCTGACTAAACTTTTTCATTTAAGTATCTTAAGCTTCTTCTTAAGAACCAACAGACCGAGGCTTAATCTAAGATAGGTGACCAGAGTAACCACCATGGTTACCAAGGCAACCCTGTCAAAGCAATCCCTGTATAATTTTGTGACAATTTTCTAGATTTGTAATACTAAGTAGGTACTTACTGTTATTTCTGTAACGCAATATGGGTATGCATTCCAAGCCTTTTCATGAATTTCTAATGATCCTTTGGGAGCCAGTAGCCGGATAAACGATGGTACTCGACTAAACAGATGAAGACAAATTTCGTGTTCATTATGCTTTAACTGATCAGACAAAAGTAATACAGAGAGACATGCTGAGCTGACTACAGAAATGCCACTTGTATAGCCATATTCATGAAGTATAAGAATATGAAAATTAAGAATATGACAATAGGGCAGGTGATTGGTACTCTGGAGAAAATACTACACTATTTAATATTACAACATTACAACTTTTAATCTGTACAATAAAGGCCTGATATGTTTGACTTGTAAAGGATCACAAAGCATTTAACATTACATAATCTCTTTTATATGTGTTCTAGTTATCTTGTTAACATCAACAAATATGGTGCTAAAAACCCAAAAATTTTAAGTGTCTGTCTAATATAAACAGACTTAAACCTTTAAAACAAAAAAGATAATGACTACACTATACGTATGTACCCACCTTTCTAAATGATATATCTTATGAGTGTATTGTCCTTGTGTATACTCTCCACCCTTTAATTTTCTATAGTAGCCACCTTGTTCCGCTGATTCTCTGTCATTAACAAAGTCAAAGGGTTCATTTTTTCTCACTTCTATACCCTCTCCGCCTCCTGTTTCATTCTTGCTAGCTTCTGCCACAGACCATAACTGTGCCACTTGATACTGAAAATAAAGTAATTCTAATAAGAAATAGCCAAAAAAGTTTTTTCCATATTAAGGCATATATTCATAACTACAAAATATATATTTTGTTTTCATTTTACAAATTAATATGCCCATACATTTATATAAAGATTTATGGTCTCCAATGTTTGTCATCATTCAGAAATTTACCAGAAGCTAAAGTAAATCCAAATTAAGGTATTCCCAAAGTATGAAACAAAAGATATGGTTTGGGCCATCCTCAATTTAATGCAACATTTATATTTTTCAGTTACAATTTTTTAATTCTAAATTCTTATATACAAGATAAAATAAATCATGGTAGAAAAATAGTCAAAAAACAGAAGTTTTAATGGTTAAATATGTAAAGAGATTAAAGTTCTTTATACAATGTGCATATAAATAGTGCTGTATGAATAAAAATAAATGGCATCAGATTTATTTATACAGATAAGCAGCAGTTTGCTGTTTGCCAGGTTATAATAGCCTGATTGTAATCTAGTGTTTAACATGAAATTAAATGCACCAGATATTTCAAATGATATATACCAGGTACTTATAAGGCCACACAAAAAAAATGTTTCCTGTTTCTGTTGAGTCTATCTATCCTTAAATTTGTGCATATCCAAAACTTTTTCAAGCAATTTTTAAAGAAGTACTGCATGTTGAAGTAAAAATTCTCTTCAATGTAAACTATATAAAATCATTTGTTAAAATTCAAATTTTTCCTTCCTAACTGCCCTCCTAAATTTTTTTCAATATAAAAGAAACAAATACATTTTATGTCTGGCCTTAGTGAAATAAATTGATTGCTACTGAAAAGAGGATATTTTTTTCTAACATGTTTAGGTTAAATTGTTGTATAAATGTACATACCTCCTCTACTGTCATGGGCAGTACCACCCGACTGAAAGACAAATATTGTACAGTAAGGTCATATACTTCAATACATCTGAAACTATTAAAGAATGATTTCAGGAAGGGCATATGGTGTAACAAGTAACTCCAATGGCAATATGCCTGGGATTTGGACAAGTAGATTGAACGTCAAGATAATTTCCTGTCTGCAGTGAAAATAGACATATATCCCTAGCATTTCCATCTAGTACCCCAAGAAATGTGTGAAGAATGTTTTTCAATTGAAAAAGTTTATCAAAACAAGCAAAAATTACAGAATGCATTGTCATGACTGTGTGTCTACATTTATATTTGGTAATTCTCATCCAATACACATTTCAAGGTATATGTTATGTATCCAGTAAATACTGACAAGTTATTTCTGACATGATGAAGTAAACAGCATTGGAGAAGTCTCATTCCAGAAATCAATGGTAAAATAGATATCCATGTAGGGTATTCAATATTTGCAGCGGGATTTGACTGAGTAAATCGCTGGCAATCTGGCAGCTCAATTGTTATAGTATGTCTAATATTCTGAGGGTTAAGTAACATATTTATTTTTGTGACAGACAAACAAATGAAATAAATACCACCAACTTTCAACAAGTTTGAACAAAATGAAATAGATATTGTTAAACCTGTTCAAATGATATGTATTTAATCTGGAGAGTCACATTTTCAAACTTCCCACCTATTTTAACTGACTGGAGATCTACTGTTATCAGGATTAACAAAAGTTGTTTTTGTATAGATCTGCACATATACCGTATTTATTCCAATAAACGCCCCGGGGGCATGAAATTTTTCAGACGGGGCAATTAATAGAACACAAAATTTCATAATTTGTTGGTCGTGACATGCCATGGCTGCCACTTAAAAACATTGTTTAACAAACTAACGAATTACTCATCGAAGAATGCTTTGAAAATTGCAGTAATTCCAACATCATTGTAGCTTTAAACATTGTTGTCAATTGCCTTCTGATAACCTGAATTCTTGTATGAAATGACACAATGTCAATCGTGTCAGCTTCAGTCAAAATCGTACAATGTTCATCATGGCTTGTAGGCCTAGTTTGCATAACAAAATAAAAAAAACACAGCGGTATATAAGCCAGTCTGTTTCTTAATAAATCCCACATACCTGATAACAATGTCTTGGACAAAACGAAATTATGACACTGCTTTCAAGCTTAAAGTAATCGCCTTCGCAGAGGAGAAGGGTAAACATGCCGCCGCGAAAGTGTTTTGTGTTGACAGAAAATAAGTGCGGGACTGGTGTCAAAACAAAGAAAAATTAAAAAATCTTTCTAAAACATCTAAACGCTGTAAAGGAGGTGGGAGGCATGTCAGATATGAAGATATTGACAAAAATCTGATGAGATGGCTACAGGACACACGGGAGGCTGGAATACAAGTGACTAGGAAAGCATTGCGGTTTGAGGCCCTGCGTATGCATAAGGCAAATGGTAGTCAATCGTTCAAAGCCTCATATGGATGGTTTTCTAAATTCAAAAAGAGACATAATATTTCGTTCAGACGATCTGCGCATGTGGCACAACATGAAGTTTCATTAATTGTCGGCTACGAGAATACCCCGATAGCCATATCGCTAACATGGACGAAACCCCTGTATGGTTTGACATGCCAGGAGAATCGACATTGGCAATAAAGGGGGAAAAGGAGGTCAGAGTTTACAGTACTGGCCACGAAAAACAAAAAATAACGGTGGCACTGGAAGCATATGCCGATGGGACTAAAATCGCCCCCCCCCCCTTGTGCACATGCCAGGCATTCGTCCCCTTCCGAAAGATGACAAGTGGTATTGTGGTATACATGTGCGGGCCGGACAAAAATCCTGAGCAAATGAGGAAAGTATAAAATTTGGTTAAAAAAACTCTGGGGTGTGAATAATACAGCTAGGCGGTTATTAGTATGGGACGCTTTCCGTGGTCATCTTACTGAAGATGTAAAAAAACTGGTTCGTCAAAAATATAATTCAGTCATCTGTGTTATACCCGGAGGATGTACATGTAAGCTACAGCCAGCCGATGTGTCGTGGAATAAACCCTTCAAACAAAAACTTGGAGAGTTGTATGACGAATGGTGTTTCAGTGGCCCCATTGAGAAAACCAAAGCAGGGAATCGTAAAGCCCCATCTAAAGCTGTAATGTTGTCTTGGGTCAAGACAGCATGGGATAGCATTAGCCCTGACACAATCAGAAGATCGTTAAAAAAATGCGGTATCACAAATTCGCTGGACGGTAGCGAAGATCATATTTTCCAGCATGATTCTGACGATGAGGAATTCCAGGGGTTTAGTGAAAAGGATGTCCAAGCTACAGATGACGTTTTGCAAAATTTAATGGGTGATGTGAACGTGCCTTCTATTCCACAAATAGAACTGAATGAAAGCGAGACTGGCGAAAGTGAAAGTGAAGACAGTAGTTTGTACGGCAGTCCTGGCTGTTAGGCCTGCAGTATATTGAAATGAACCGTGGATTAAATTGACATTACTTGTGTACATGTCGTGACAGTGTAATTTTCTTGTGCCAAAATTCATTTGTTCATGTTCATGGATACCAGGAATTTAAAATTTATTAAAAGGTAAGCTTTGTAACCTGACTCCTGAGTTGTTGAAATTTACTGAGAAAACAGGTGGGGGGCATTTATTAGAGACGGGGCGTTTATTGGAATAAATACGGTACACATTAACCACGAGTTTTGACAAGTCGATCATTTGTGTTTAACATCTTTATAAACAGTTTTGGCAAATAACAGGTAACTATTATCTATTCACCTAAATAGTGCCATTAGTTGGATGAAACCCAGATTTCATGCAAATGTTTATGTGGTTGGCCATTTACAAAGCACAACTAGATTAGTTCATAGACACTGTATTACATTTCTTATTGTATACATGATCACTGATTATTTCCCAAATTCAATGGACAGTCTTTCTCCGAAAAGGTTCTATTTTTAGAATTGATTTTTTTACACATGTCAGATCATATGTAGATCAATGCTGGGTCATTATTGTTTCAACACTGATTACCATAATAACAGCAATCAAACAATTTAGATATAATGATTCTATTTCAAAATATGCTATAAATAACTATGATGAGTAAAAACTCACAGTATTATTTCACCTGGTTTAGGACCAAACATATCGATCTGATGTATCATCTTGGCAAAAAATCAATATGCCCGACAAATCCCCCTTAGACAGATTCAAGAAGTCTATTGTAAGATTATGGAAGAGCTTTACAAATCAGTTTTTGTATTGTGGGTGAGTTGCTAACATTACATCTGTTTACAGTCATTTGTTGGTTTCAGTATGTGTAAAATGAATGGCCTTCGCGACGCATGATCAGCACGAGTGACTTGGGTGGTGGACACCGGCCGTCTTTGTGACAAACTTACTACGATATCCGATTGGATATAGACAAATCACAATAAAATATCAGACGTAATGAACTTACTATTCCGAACTATTTGAATGTGTCGGCGGCATTTTCCTATATTTCCCTGTGATTGTCAGCGTGAGAAACGGGTGGGCCGATCGCAGCAGATATGACGTCAAGTGCGGACTATGCTTAGGCAAGTGCTCTTCCGGTGCAACTATTGTTTCAAATAAAACCCTCAAAATCAATTCTTTGATTTATAGTACTGATCATGTATTTTTTAAAACCTGACATAAATAACAGATACGTTAAAAAAGCGCAGAAACTAAAATATTATATATTAAAACAATATGTGAAGGATAAAAGGTCAAAGTTCAATTTTCAGGATCAAACATTAGTCGGTGTGAAGTATACAGCATAGTGATGGAGATGTTGTGGTTTGGAATCTTGACAAGCTTATTGCTTATAATTCTGTTAATTTATATAAGTTATCTGAGATCGACAAAGGAACAGAATATATGGAAATTTGCATCAAGATATCCACAAGACAAAGACAAGGTAACTTATTAAGGGAAGGGAAATAACTCTCACTTTTCCTCGGCTACAGCAGCTGTTTTACGGGTCTGTAGCTATCGATGTCTGTTTGGTCGTACGGAGCTGTTGTTTGCAACTCAGCTGTGTAGACCCAGAGACATATATAACGCATGTTATATACGTCTCTGGTAGACTAAACAAATTTAATTTGGATGCATATATTACATGTCCAACACACAGTTTTTGGTCGTATTCGACTATTATATTACTTATTTATGATCATCTACAAGTCATAAATCGTGTGCGTGGTGTAGAAAAATTTAAGGACATTATTCTGGCATATTCTAGGGTTCAGGTTAGGACTGCAGGTTTGACATATACATGTATGTTGAAAGTTAATAAATCATGATAGTATACATTCAAAAAAGAGACAACAAGAGGGTGAATAGGGTGGGGTGTATGTGTTATAGACGTCTCTGGCTGGGACCAACTTGCCTTACAGAGAACATTATCTAGATCTTTTGAAAAGTCTTAAACTCCGAAACAATTCTATTTACAAGAGGATTGAATAATGAGGTGATGGATTGGTGTTGTCCATACACAGTTATGAAATTGTTATATTTGGATAGGACAAATAATTCCATTAGCGATATATTGCATCAGTACCTGTCACTGTACACATGGAAACAAAAATAAAAGTATCACAGAGACCACATTTAACACCTCTTTATTTCTGCAATCATACCAAAACAATTTGTTTTCAAAATGAAATTCAAAAGTGAGTCTTAAGGTAGAATTAGATACTGACTAATTGATCCAGTTTCATGGAAAGTCTTGTTATCCAAAGGATATATCCTTATCATAAGGATTTCCTTCAACTTCCCCCATGTTTTTTTAGCCTAGCAATCATCCTGACAGAATCAGATATATATATATATGTTCCATGCATGTATATGAAACTGAAATCTGAAGAATACTTTCAAATTTAAGTGGAAAAGTTGTTATGCATTCAATGAGATGCACAGGGGCTGGTTAATCTGTTGTCAGTATAATGGGACTGGGGTTTTAGGTGTCTATCAGTTAATCTGTTGTCAGTATAATGGGACGTTTTTTTTATGTGTCTATCAGTTAATCTGTTGTCAGTATAATGGGACTGGGGTTTTAGATGTCTATCAGTTAACCTGTTGTCAGTATAATGGGACTGGGGTTTTAGGTGTCTATCAGTTAACCTGTTGTCAGTATAATGGGACGTTTTTTTTATGTGTCCATCAGTTAATCTGTTGTCAGTATAATGGGACTGGGGTTTTAGGTGTCTATCAGTTGATCTGTTGTCAGTATAATGGGACTGGGGTTTTAGGTGTCTATCAGTTAACCTGTTGTCAGCATAATGGAACTGGGGTTTTAGGTGTCTATCAGTTAATCTGTTGTCAATATAATGGGACTGGGGTTTTTAGGTGTCTATCAGTTAACCTGTTGTCAGTATAATGGTACTGGGGTTTTATGGGTCCATCAGTTACCTCATCATCTATAGATACAGTCTTCATACGATCATGGCTGTTAGGATGTAAAAAAAATGTGATCTTTGGTATCATTTCTAATTTCTTTTCTTTTGTGGACAGTCTTCATTTGACCTCACTGTTAGAACGTAACAAAATAAAGTCATACCATCTCCTATGGTTAAAATTAAAGTGTACTACTCTAGATAGATTTCTGACATCATCACTCTGCTATACCTACACTGACCTCGTACTCACATTATTATCATCTCTTGAAAGTATTTTAATGTCAACCCCCTGAGGTCAAAACTGATGTCACTGGTGTAACACTGGTAAAATACTAGCAGCAATGTACTGCATGACTGGAGAGAAGTTCTCTTTAGGTCGATCGGTTGAACATCAGACTAGTAAGCCAGGGGTCACGGATTAGAGTCTTAGTGGAAGTAGTGAAATAAATAATGATGTTTATTTCATTGATGCCCTTGCAAGGATTTGGGTATAACACTTGGCATTGTCCCACAGACATTGCTGTAACCCCTTGAAACTTCTTTCCTGGAGGGGGAGTATGTAACCCTGGTTAAATACTTGTCACAATATACAGCTCAGCTAGGGAAAAATTTACCATTCGTATGATCAATTGAGTGTCAGATTAGTAAGCCAGAGGTCCCAGGTTCGAGTCTTAGTGGAGGCATTGAAATCATTAATAACCTCTGTAACACTGGTACTATAACTCTATTTAATGTGTACAACCTCATCAACTTTATGTTTTAACTGATTCATATGAAGGATTTTATAACCAATAAAAAATGGATAACATTAAAAGGAAAAATAAATTATTATAACTGGGCAGTGTACTCACCTAGCAAGGCCATGATGATGTGGCCAGGTGGTCAGCCCTACCAATTTGACAACCATAGCAAGGTCACTTATGACCTACCTAGCGGGATCTCTGATATCGGGAGATTACTCCAATTTTGATCCAGACGATCGGGAGGTGGGCATGGGGAATGAGAATCGGGAAAGTTTGCTGGTATGAATAACCTAAGAAGTAGAGATAAAAGGGTACCAACAAAAATAATTACAGTTGGTAGGAACACCAAGCCTTCCTACAGACTCGGCAACAATACAGGACATTAAAAAAATCCTTGTTTAGAAAGATGTCAAAAGATGAAGACAATGAAGTAAGAAATCTGTTAAATAAGGTCAGAAATAAAGTATGGAAACTTACCCGTAAAATAAGGACAGATTATAAACACAGAATTGGGGTAAAAGCCAAAACGGATCTTAAAGTCAGAACTACATTAAATCTAACAGTTGGAGATGTTTATTCACTGCCAAAAGATAAAAATTCAGTGAAAATATCCTCAGTTAAAAAAGTAAAGCAGAGACTGGAATTACACAACTAGATCAACAAAGATTTACAGAGGAAAGGACAGCCCTCAATGATAATAAATTGAAACTGGAAAATTCACCAGGATTGGATGGACTCCACCTAATGTTTCTCAAAAACTGCTTCTTCAATATCAGGTCCTTTAACAGAAATCTGAACCACTCACTGTCCACAGGTACACTATCAGACAATTAGGAAAAAGTTTGGGTTTGTGCTGTCTACAGGAAAGGTGATACACTTGAATCAGGAAACTATAGGCCAATTAGTTTAACATCAGTGGTATGTAAAGAATGTTTGCATCTATTAGAAGTCTTGGAGGAATGGACAGAAGCCCTTAGATAAAGGACAGAACATGTAGATTTTATTTACATTGACTACCAAAAAACTTTAGATAAGTTACAACAGACTCCTCACTAGATTAAAAACATATAACTTCTCCAATCAAATGATATCAACATTTTTGATATGCTGAAGAGTATCTCTAAATGGTGCAGACTTGGATTGGGCTAATGTTACATCAGGAATCCCCCAATCCCCCAAACTGGAAGGTGTCAAGCTTCAGAAAGATTGTGACACAATGTGTAAGTGGAGTGACATGGCTATTTGAGATGCATCCACACAATTGTAAACATTTGTGAATAGGCGGGGAAAGAAGCAAAGGGGAAAGTGATATAGAACCACTATACTAACTCATTGGAAAATACAGGCTGTGATCCAATCAAGAAAAGGATATGGGAGTAATGATAGATTACGATCTATCATCTGATGAATACAACATGATTAAAATAGAGGGAGTTCAAAGAAGAGCAACTAATTGCTCCCAGGAATGAAAGACCTGGGCCCGTATTCATGAAACCGTTCCCATGCTCAAGCATGAATTTTGTACTCAACCTTATGTCTTGTTTGAATCAAAAATTAATAAATAAGCTTATTTTGCTGAAGATTTAAAAACAATTTTGAAAGGACTTCAAGTCTAAGCTTTATTCAAGGTATAAATTTGACATTTGTATTATATCATATTATTTAGGTGAATTATAAAAAAGTTTGTTAGAGTACAAAATCAATGCTTGAGCATGAGAATGGTTTTGTGAATACGGGCCCTGACCTACAGTGAGTGGTTGAAGAAACTGAAAGACATGATAGAACTTTACAAAATCACAGGTCAAGTTTATGGTAATGAGTGTTTTAATGCTCTCAAACTTTGGAAAGATGCAGCTTGTCGTCATAGTGAGAGGGACACACTAAAAAATGTATTCCACAAGTGATCAGTAAATAAGCTCAGGAAAAACTTCTTTCAATCAGAACAGTAGCAATTTGATATCAGCCTTATACTCCTTTAACACTAAGCTAGATAATCACTGGGAAAATACAAAAAAAATCTTAAATTACACAGCAACAATTAAATATTAGACATTAATGTACATGTTTACAGAATGGAAGTATTTAATAAATGTACTTAATTATTTACAGGGAGTCTGGTATAGAGGATTCTGATAGTCCAGAACCAGAAATAAAACTTAGGAATTATCATACAATTACCAAGTAATTTGTGTCTTGACCTCATGGGATCAGGATGTAGGTCACTGTTACCACAAATAAACATTTTGATGCCCTTGATCCAGTTTTGTAATCTGATTGTCAGAATTGAGGTTGCTCTTCTCTGAATAGTGCTTTCATGTCCTTGTTCAACAGACTGTATTCTTCTTTCAGTTATGATGAAAGTTGATGAAATTCAAATGTTTTATGTGGGATATTTTGTCTTGACTTTTTGTAAATAATAAGGTCACCTTTTCTATTACTAGAATTTTAGGTGTAAACATCTGTCGACGTTGATGGATTCATGATCATGTCTTACAAAAAGTATTTCTAATTTGTTTCTAGTGCAAGGGTAATCATATTGCCTATGATAATTTGCTTATTCAACTTATGATGTGTTTTAAGAGAAATTTGTTTTCCCCCTCTACAAAATCAAAATTAATTTCCTTGGAAAAGGGGAGGTAACCAAACAGTAATGCAGCAAAACTAGATTTAATTTCCTTTATTGATTATCGTCATCCTGGAGAAATCTGGTTTTCTTATTTTTGTGTACAATGACATTTTTTGTACAATAACAATTATTTGCAGTGTGTTCTGACATATTTACATAATGATGCTTTGACTCTGTGATAAGTTTGATTAATGGTGTGTGTTGTAGAATATAGAGAAGGAGCACTATGATGTGGCTATTGTTGGGGCAGGTCCTGCTGGGGCCACCTGTGCTTACTTTCTGGGTAAGTAAGTTTGTACTACGGAAGCCTTATAATCTCATCCTACTTCATTACTTATCCATTTCCTTTAAGTAGAAATATTTTGTAATATACCAATTATAAGCACATCCTGGGAGTCAGATTGTCACTGTTCCTTGTGACTGAAGATAGATGCTGTATCAAGGGCTGACATTTACTTATTAGGATGTTAGTGACATCAAGGACATTTGACAGTATCTAGGTTGATGAAATAATCCCAAAATTAATTGTGTGAATATCAAATTAAAATAAAACTTTGCATATGTAATCTTTTCTAACAGAAAAGTATCTTGAATCTTGAATAAATTCTAGAACTTTTAGGATTTAAGACTAAATCATCTGAGATATAGATAACACAAGAATCAGGCTTCATTTGGTTTTGTTATTCAGTGTTATCCTCTACAGTTTCCCCATCTCCATGTCCCCTTTTTATATGTTTCCATTGGACGCTAGTTATGCATTATCAACTTTTCAAATGATTCACAAAACAAAACAGTCAACAGCTGTCATCTTTAATTTTGATGATTAAACATTGTTATAATTATTTTTTACAAAGTTCCTGAAAGATCATTCTCAAATTTTATAATTCTGCTTTCCTTGGTCAATAGTTGTAAATGATCTAATTTTGGGCTAGATTGAAAAAAATGAAATTGCAGACAGGTGACTAGCTTGGATTTTGACAGTTTGATATTATTATTTTAATAACTTCATTATCAAACTCAATACATAGGTTTCCCTTTGTTACAAGTTGTGGATTTTTGCAATTGATTGGAAAAAATGAAATTAATAAATAAATGGCCAACAAACAGAACTGCTCCATTTTCTGTAGAATGTATTGATGTACAGCTTGGTGCTAAGATCCTTTTAGCAACTTCTGCTTTTGTAAACTGGCAATGAGCTCAAACGCATTTTATTTATAGAAAATTCAATTGAAGAATACAAAGATAAAATGAAAGAGAAGTTTTTTTTTATTTTGTCTTGGAAACTTTTTTCTGCTGATCTGTCAGATTCACTTTTAGAATGATGGTGTTGGATGAAACTGTGTGACAAATTTTGTCAAATTCCTGTAAATTTTAGGAGATTTTCTCATGATTAAATTTGTAGATTTGTATTTTTTCTTTAACTTGTTGCTGAATTTGGTTTTGTGATGATTGCTGATCAATCCATCTGAACTGTGTTAGATATTTAGTATCCCTGAAACAATACAAAATATGTCTTACACAATATTCAGTTAAAATTCTCCTTGTGTCATTGTGTATGATCAATGAGAACAATGATAACAACAACCTTGAGCATTTGACCTTTGACTCGTACCACTTTGGACCTTGTATAAGGTTTATCCTCTTCTGATCAGGACTGGTAAAGAGTTCACTCACGTGTAAGTGTATAAGTACACATTATTACAGACTGATCACAATCTAGAGCATGGTGGTGAAGATTTCGGGTGGTGAAGATTTCGTGACGAGTTATCAACACCTTTCTGATCTATTTATTTAATGATAACTGTATACTCTAGGTACTAAGTATTGCACCACGTAGTCCTCACTTCCTGGTGATATCTTCTGTAATCAGCTTATGAGATATAAACACCAGTTCACTATGTATAGTACATTATAATTATTTCTGCTGCTCACTGTATCTGTAGAGATTGGAAAATTTGATTATAGCTACAAGCGAACCTTGTTTTCTTCTACTCATATTACTCCAACACACCATTTCATTTGAAGCTTTTCGTCAGTCCCTGCCTAACTTTAAATAAAATATTCAAACTGATTTCAATTGAATACTCAGTTATCTTGAAGTTTTCCCATGGTCCCACCGAGTTCAAGATAACGAGGGTGGACTGTGACTTTTTCATGAAAATGATGATGATATTGGTGTTTAAGAGGACAAATATTTTAGTAAATCATTCTAATAAAGATGCAAAAGTGTTCGTATCGTTAAACTCATGGGTATGTTTGGTCTTACCTAACAGTATTACACATATAACCACCTTGAATTTGATCACTGATTAATTTATTTTCTTTCACAAATAGCGAATGTTGTTTATTATATTCTGGCTTTTACAATAAATTGATAATGTTTTAGTTTGATATTAACAAAATAACTGACAGGTAAGCTGGGTTGTTTGACATTTACAAAATAACTTACAGGTAAGCTGGGTTGTTTGACATTTACAAAATAACTTACAGGTAAGCTGGGTTGTTTGACCTCTACAAAATAACTGACAGGTAAGCTGGGTTGTTTGACATTTACAAAATAACTTACAGGTAAGCTGGGTTGTTTGACATTTACAAAATAACTTACAGGTAAGCTGGGTTGTTTGACATTTACAAAATAACTTACAGGTAAGCTGGGTTGTTTGACATTTACAAAATAACTTACAGGTAAGCTGGGTTGTTTGACCTCTACAAAATAACTGACAGGTAAGCTGGGCTGTTTGACATTTACAAAATAACTTACAGGTAAGCTGGGTTGTTTGACATTTACAAAATAACTGACAGGTAAGCTGGGTTGTTTGACATTTACAAAATAACTTACAGGTAAGCTGGGTTGTTTGACATTTACAAAATAACTTACAGGTAAGCTGGGTTGTTTGACCTCTACAAAATAACTGACAGGTAAGCTGGGTTGTTTGACATTTACAAAATAACTTACAGGTAAGCTGGGTTGTTTGACATTTACAAAATAACTTACAGGTAAGCTGGGTTGTTTGACATTTACAAAATAACTTACAGGTAAGCTGGGTTGTTTGACCTCTACAAAATAACTGACAGGTAAGCTGGGTTGTTTGACCTCTACAAAATAACTGACAGGTAAGCTGGGTTGTTTGACCTCTACAAAATAACTGACAGGTAAGCTGGGTTGTTTGACATTTACAAAATAACTGACAGGTAAGCTGGGTTGTTTGACTCTACAAGATAACTGACAGGTAAGCTGGGTTGTTTGACTCTACAAAATAACTGACAGGTAAGCTAGGTTGTTTGACATTTACAAAATAACTTACAGGTAAGCTAGGTTGTTTGACATTTACAAAATAACTTACAGGTAAGCTGGGTTGTTTGACATTTACAAAATAACTTACAGGTAAGCTAGGTTGTTTGACATTTACAAAATGAATTACAGGTAAGCTGGGTTGTTTGACATTTACAAAATAATTGACAGGTAAGCTGGGTTGTTTGACATTTACAAAATGAATTACAGGTAAGCTAGGATGGAAATGCCTTTTATTGGAGAAGAAGAAGTTTCCACGTGACAAATACTGTGGGGATGCGGTGTGTAAAACTGCCATAGAGATCCTCATGGAGATGGGCCTGTATGAGCAGCTCCTCAAGGACAATAAAGCTCATGTGGTAAGGTCTATGGTGGTCAATAGAAACTTAAAATTGTGTTCGTTTTTCAATTCTCACAAACATCTCATCAATATGTTCATATAATTTCCAGTGTTAAGAATGATCACACTAGGTACATCGATACCTTAGCATTATATATCTTTTTGGCATTGTATACTGTTCAATGTATAGCTGACCTATATAATCAACTGTAACCCTGGTTCTATCACAACCTGAGTGATTACACCACTGTTTAAGATATAGCTGACCTATATAATCAACTGTAACCCTGGTTCTATCACAACCCGAGTGATTTACACTACTGTTTAAGATATAGCTGACCTATATAATCAACTGTAACCCTGGTTCTATCATAACCTGAGTGATTACACCACTGTTTAAGATATAGCTGACCTATATAATCAACTGTAACCCTGGTTCTATCACAACCTGAGTGATTACACCACTGTTTAAGATATAGCTGACCTATATAATCAACTGTAACCCTGGTTCTATCACAACCCGAGTGATTTACACTACTGTTTAAGATATAGCTGACCTATATAATCAACTGTAACCCTGGTTCTATCACAACCCGAGTGATTTACACTACTGTTTAAGATATAGCTGACCTATATAATCAACTGTAACCCTGGTTCTATCATAACCTGAGTGATTACACCACTGTTTAAGATATAGCTGACCTATATAATCAACTGTTACCCTGGTTCTATCACAACCTGAGTGATTTACACCACTGTTTAAGATATAGCTGACCTATATAATGAACTGTTACCCTGGTTCTATCACAACCCGAGTGATTTACACTACTGTTTAAGATGTAGCTGACCTATATAATCAACTGTAACCCTGGTTCTATCATAACCTGAGTGATTACACCACTGTTTAAGATATAGCTGACCTATATAATCAACTGTTACCCTGGTTCTATCACAACCTGAGTGATTTACACCACTGTTTAAGATATAGCTGACCTATATAATGAACTGTTACCCTGGTTCTATCACAACCTGAGTGATTTACACTACTGTTTAAGATATAACTGACCTATATAATCAACTGTTACCCTGGTTCTATCACAACCCGAGTGATTTACACCACTGTTTAAGATATAGCTGACTTATATAATCAACTGTTATGTAATTTACCCTGGTTCTATCACAACCTGAGTGATTTACACTACTGTTTAAGATATAACTGACCTGTATAATCAACTGTTACCCTGGTTCTATCACAACCCGAGTGATTTACACCACTGTTTAAGATATAACTGACCTGTATAATCAACTGTTACCCTGGTTCTATCACAACCTGAGTGATTTACACTACTGTTTAAGATATAACTGACCTATATAATCAACTGTTACCCTGGTTCTATCACAACCTGAGTGATTTACACCACTGTTTAAGATATAGCTGACCTATATAATCAACTGTAACCCTGGTTCTATCACAACCTGAGTGATTTACACTACTGTTTAAGATATAGCTGACCTATATAATGAACTGTTACCCTGGTTCTATCACTCCCTGAGTGATTTACACTACTGTTTAAGATATAACTGACCTGTATAATCAACTGTTACCCTGGTTCTATCACATATATTACTGTCTAAGATATATCTTTATCACTATGGAAAGTGAGTTAATTTAGGTATAGTATGGTTACTAGTCTGTTAAAGCAACAGAATTCACTATCTAATCTAGATGTTTAGTACATGAATAAGTAGAAGCATACTGTCTCCTTTTTAGAACAATTGGAGTCTTAATGTGTTGTAATTTTCGCAATATCAATGAAATTCAACAAAACAAAGATCTGCACATTTTTGTGTGAAATGATACCTCATGTTTTCTTCGCCAATCAATAGGCTTCTCTCAAACCCTGACGACTGTTGTCTTAGCCAATCAGCATCCTTCTCTCTACCCCTGACGACATGGATGCTCTGCCCACCTTCCAGTCAAGTTGTCAATTGATTTTGGTCAGGATGTAGGTCAAGGCATATGAAAAGATTTAAAATGTTCCTCTGTGTGAATTGTTTGTCTAAATTGTCTGAAATTCAGTGTGGCATATTGTATTGTCCTAATCAACATTATAATATTACCGACAAACTCAATTGAAGCAGAGAAAAGTCAGTTTTATCATATTATAGAAATTATCATCATTGTACTCTCCACTTCACATTTCGATGACACATTTTAGCATGTTGTCATTGTTATAAATTTCTTCCTTGTCAATGATCTAAATGGCTGCACCAGAAAGATTGCCACCATATTTGGACTTGTGTCAGAGTCTATGAGTAAATGGTATACGATCATGAAATTGATCCAATAACAAGATGTGTTACAAAAACATTATTCTAGAATGAAATATGAATCTGTCTATTTGAATGTGTTTTTCAGGCAGACAGCGGAGGTCTGTGTAGTCCTGGAGGCCTGAGTTATATTGGACGGAGTAAGGAAGGGCTGGGAGACATACCTGCTGCCATTGCTTGTAAGCGGATACATCTAGACGAGGCTATCGCAAAGGCAGCTAGAAGGTTTACCTTTAATACTGATAGAATGTCTATTCGTTTTGTAGAAAATTGTGTTTTGTGTCTTTGTTGGCAGTTGGAAGGAAATGTTTATTTTTATTTTATTATTGGCAATTTGCAGAAAATATCTTTCTTTGTCAAGTCATTGAAAAGCTGGGAAATGTTATTTTCTTTTTTCATTGGCAGTCTTTAGGAAATCTCATATGGTTGTGTTCTCATTGACAGTTGAAGTTTTCACTGAGGGTGTGTTAAAAATGGTACCATGTATAGTCATTGATTATTTCTGGCAAATGTTACTGTGTCTTGTTGAAAGTTTGTTGGAAATGTTCATTTGTCTTGTTGTTAACAGATTATAAAAAAATTACTTTTCATGATTAAACAGTTATTGACAGTTTGTGGAGAATGATACTTTGTCTAGTCATCAAGGATCTGGAAGAAATTTTATTTTTATTTTTACTTTTCCTGTTGTTCTTAATAATATTCCAAGAGATGACTTTAATATTGATAGTAATTATCTAGATTAGTTAACATCCAATTAATCTGCTAATTTAAGTAAACTTTTTTGGGGCTACTGAAATAAATGGATATAAAATTGATCATTTGTTAATAGGATAGGAGCAGACTTGAGAGAAGAATGGCCTGTAGCTGAAGCCAAGTTTGACACAGAAGCTGGATTGTGGACAATTTGTAAAGAGGGCAGTACATCAACATTTAAATCAAGGGTAAATATATATGATTGGCTAGAATTAATACATGTTCATAATGATGACAAAACAACAGTTACACTTCTCATGTGAGGTCCATGTATTTAGTGATGACAAAACAACAGTTACACTTCTCATGTGAGGTCCATGTATTTAGTGATGACAAAACAACAGTTACAGTCCTCATGTGAGGTTCATGTATGTAGTGATGACAAAACAACAGTTACACTCCTCATGTGAGGTCTATGTATGTAGTGATGACAAACCAACAGTTACACTCCTCATGTGAGGTCTATGTATGTAGTGATGACAAACCAACAGTTACACTCCTCATGTGAGGTCTATGTATGTAGTGATGACAAACCAACAGTTACACTCCTCATGTGAGGTTCATGTATGTAATGATGACAAAACAACAGTTACACTCCTCATGTGAGGTCTATGTATGTAGTGATGACAAACCAACAGTTACACTCCTCATGTGAGGCTCATGTATGTAGTGATGACAAAACAACAGTTACACTCCTCATGTGAGGTCTATGTATGTAGTGATGACAAACCAACAGTTACACTCCTCATGTGAGGTCTATGTATGTAGTGATGACAAACCAACAGTTACACTCCTCATGTGAGGTTCATGTATGTAGTGATGACAAACCAACAGTTACACTCCTCATGTGAGGCTCATGTATGTAGTGATGACAAAACAACAGTTACACTCCTCATGTGAGGTCTATGTATGTAGTGATGACAAACCAACAGTTACACTCCTCATGTGAGGTCTATGTATGTAGTGATGACAAACCAACAGTTACACTCCTCATGTGAGGTCTATGTATGTAGTGATGACAAACCAACAGTTACACTCCTCATGTGAGGTCTATGTATGTAGTGATGACAAACCAACAGTTACACTCCTCATGTGAGGTCTATGTATGTAGTGATGACAAACCAACAGTTACACTCCTCATGTGAGGTCTATGTATGTAGTGATGACAAACCAACAGTTACACTCCTCATGTGAGGTTCATGTATGTAATGATGACAAAACAACAGTTACACTCCTCATGTGAGGTCCATGTATGTAGTGATGACAAACCAACAGTTACACTCCTCATGTGAGGTCTATGTATGTAGTGATGACAAACCAACAGTTACACTCCTCATGTGAGGCTCATGTATGTAGTGATGACAAAACAACAGTTACACTCCTCATGTGAGGTCTATGTATGTAGTGATGACAAACCAACAGTTACACTCCTCATGTGAGGTCTATGTATGTAGTGATGACAAACCAACAGTTACACTCCTCATGTGAGGTTCATGTATGTAGTGATGACAAAACAACAGTTACACTCCTCATGTGAGGTCTATGTATGTAGTGATGACAAACCAACAGTTACACTCCTCATGTGAGGTCTATGTATGAAGTGATGACAAACCAACAGTTACACTCCTCATGTGAGGCTCATGTATGTAGTGATGACAAAACAACAGTTACACTCCTCATGTGAGGTCTATGTATGTAGTGATGACAAACCAACAGTTACACTCCTCATGTGAGGTCTATGTATGTAGTGATGACAAACCAACAGTTACACTCCTCATGTGATGTCTATGTATGTAGTGATGACAAACCAACAGTTACACTCCTCATGTGAGGTCCATGTATGTAGTGATGACAAAACAACAGTTACACTCCTCATGTGAGGTCCATGTATGTAGTGATGACAAACCAACAGTTACACTCCTCATGTGAGGTCCATGTATGTAGTGATGACAAAACAACAGTTACACTCCTCATGTGATGTCTATGTATGTAGTGATGACAAGACAACAGTTACACTCCTCATGTGAGGTCTATGTATGTAGTGATGACAAACCAACAGTTACACTCCTCATGTGAGGTCTATGTATGTAGTGATGACAAACCAACAGTTACACTCCTCATGTGATGTCTATGTATGTAGTGATGACAAACCAACAGTTACACTCCTCATGTGAGGTCTATGTATGTAGTGATGACAAACCAACAGTTACACTCCTCATGTGAGGTCTATGTATGTAGTGATGACAAACCAACAGTTACACTCCTCATGTGAGGTCTATGTATGTAGTGATGACAAACCAACAGTTACACTCCTCATGTGATGTCTATGTATGTAGTGATGACAAACCAACAGTTACACTCCTCATGTGAGGTCCATGTATGTAGTGATGACAAAACAACAGTTACACTCCTCATGTGAGGTCCATGTATGTAGTGATGACAAACCAACAGTTACACTCCTCATGTGAGGTCCATGTATGTAGTGATGACAAAACAACAGTTACACTCCTCATGTGATGTCTATGTATGTAGTGATGACAAACCAACAGTTACACTCCTCATGTGAGGTCTATGTATGTAGTGATGACAAACCAACAGTTACACTCCTCATGTGAGGTCTATGTATGTAGTGATGACAAACCAACAGTTACACTCCTCATGTGAGGTCTATGTATGTAGTGATGACAAACCAACAGTTACACTCCTCATGTGAGGTCTATGTATGTAGTGATGACAAACCAACAGTTACACTCCTCATGTGAGGTCCATGTATGTAGTGATGACAAAACAACAGTTACACTCCTCATGTGAGGTCCATGTATGTAGTGATGACAAACCAACAGTTACACTCCTCATGTGAGGTCCATGTATGTAGTGATGACAAACCAACAGTTACACTCCTCATGTGAGGTCCATGTATGTAGTGATGACAAACCAACAGTTACACTCCTCATGTGAGGTCTATGTATGTAGTGATGACAAACCAACAGTTACACTCCTCATGTGAGGTCTATGTATGTAGTGATGACAAACCAACAGTTACACTCCTCATGTGAGGTCTATGTATGTAGTGATGACAAACCAACAGTTACACTCCTCATGTGAGGTCTATGTATGTAGTGATGACAAACCAACAGTTACACTCCTCATGTGAGGTCCATGTATGTAGTGATGACAAAACAACAGTTACACTCCTCATGTGAGGTCCATGTATGTAGTGATGACAAAACAACAGTTACACTCCTCATGTGAGGTCCATGTATGTAGTGATGACAAACCAACAGTTACACTCCTCATGTGAGGTCCATGTATGTAGTGATGACAAACCAACAGTTACACTCCTCATGTGAGGTCTATGTATGTAGTGATGACAAACCAACAGTTACACTCCTCATGTGAGGTCTATGTATGTAGTGATGACAAACCAACAGTTACACTCCTCATGTGAGGTTCATGTATGTAGTGATGACAAGACAACAGTTACACTCCTCATGTGAGGTCTATGTATGTAGTGATGACAAACCAACAGTTACACTCCTCATGTGAGGTCTATGTATGTAGTGATGACAAACCAACAGTTACACTCCTCATGTGAGGTTCATGTATGTAGTGATGACAAGACAACAGTTACACTCCTCATGTGAGGTCTATGTATGTAGTGATGACAAACCAACAGTTACACTCCTCATGTGAGGTCTATGTATGTAGTGATGACAAACCAACAGTTACACTCCTCATGTGATGTCTATGTATGTAGTGATGACAAACCAACAGTTACACTCCTCATGTGAGGTCTATGTATGTAGTGATGACAAACCAACAGTTACACTCCTCATGTGAGGTCTATGTATGTAGTGATGACAAACCAACAGTTACACTCCTCATGTGAGGTCTATGTATGTAGTGATGACAAACCAACAGTTACACTCCTCATGTGATGTCTATGTATGTAGTGATGACAAACCAACAGTTACACTCCTCATGTGAGGTCCATGTATGTAGTGATGACAAAACAACAGTTACACTCCTCATGTGAGGTCTATGTATGTAGTGATGACAAACCAACAGTTACACTCCTCATGTGAGGTCCATGTATGTAGTGATGACAAAACAACAGTTACACTCCTCATGTGAGGTTCATGTATGTTATGAGAAATAATTAATCCCCCAATTAATTTATCTCTCATTTGGAGGACTATGGATTTGACCCTGACAAATATCAAGACAAAATTATGACTTCCGATAGGATTTTGACAAAACTTTTCATGCAAAATATACGAGAATCAATCAAAAGAGTCCATGATTCAAAGTTTCTGTTGCTATTTTAAGAAATTTATCAGACAATGATACTAATATGCATATTAATCAGAGCATTCTTTTCTTAAAGGCAGTTTCTGGTTATTTTGTGTATTTTGATTTTGTCTTGATATTTGTCGGGGTCATGTATATTTAAGAATTCTTGGTACATTTGTAAGTGTGAACGATTGGTATGTAATGGTGCACACACTGTATGGTGCTTTGTATGTGTTTACTACAGGAAGACATAGTGTTAACTTTGTTATAGAAATCAATGATTTCCACAAATAAAGCATACATAATTTAGTGCTGTTGTTGTTGTGTCCATGGGCACTACACCTTCCCCAAATTCCTCTGGATTGTATGTGACTGGACTTCAGTGTTGTTCAGAGAGGGAACTCCCAGCTACTAAACCCTGCCTGAAAGTAAACCCTGCATGAAAATAAACCCTGCTGGAATGTAACCCCTGCCTGAATGTTATCCATACCTGAAAGTAAGCCCTGCCTGAAAGTAAATCCTGCCAGAATGTAAACCCTGCCTGAAAGTAAACCCTGCCTAAATGTAACCCTGTCTGGAAGTAACCCCTGCCTGAATATAACCCCTGCCTGAAAGTAAACCCTTCCTGAAAGTAAACCCTGCTGGAATATAACCCTGCCTGGAAGTAACCCCTGCCTTAATGTTAACCCTGCCTGAATGTAAACCCTGCCTGAAAGTAAACCCCTGCCTGAATGTAAACCCTGCCTGAAAGTAAACCCTGCCTGAAAGTAAACCCTGCCTGAATGTAATCCTGCCTGAAAGTTAACCCTGCCTGAATGTTAACCCTGCCTGAATGTTAACCCTGCCTGAATGTAAACCCTGCCTGAAAGTAAACCCCAGCCTGAATGTAAACCCTGCCTGAAAGTAAACCCTGCCTGAAAGTAAACCCTGCCTGAATGTAACCCTGCCTGAAAGTAAACCCTGCCTGAAAGTAAACCCCTGCCTGAAAGTAAACCCCTGCCTGAATGTAACCCTGCCTGAAAGTAAACCCCAGCCTGAATGTAAACCCTGCCTGAAAGTAAACCCCTGCCTGAATGTAACCCCTGTCTGAATGTAACCCTGCCTGAAAGTAACCCTGCCTGAAAGTAAACCCAGCCTGAATGTAAACCCTGCCTGAATGTAACCCTGCCTGAAAGTAAACCCCTGCCTGAATGTAACCCCTGTCTGAATGTAACCCTGCCTGAAAGTAACCCTGCCTGAAAGTAAACCCATCCTGAAAGTAAACCCTGTCTGAATGTAACCCTGCCTGAAAGTAAATCCTGTCTGAAAGTAAACCCTGCCTGAAAGTAAACCCCAGCCTGAATGTAACCCTGCCTGAAAGTAAACCCTGCCTGAATGTAATAAAATTAACACTTCCATTACATGTTGACTGTTCTTTGTTATGGCAGGTGTTAGTCTGTGCAGATGGTGCTCCCTCCCGTCTAGGTACACAGCTTGGACTAATCACGCGTCCCCCAGACAGTAACTGTTCTCGCGCCTATGTTGAAGGAGGTACTCACAAGTTCAAAGCAGATGGTGTGGTCTTCTACAACAAAGGCATGCTTCCAGGTAAATATTTACCTAGGGTATAGATTACAGTAGTAAATGAATACTGTATTATAGAAGGAACATTTGGAGTAAATGAGAAACAAGAATTCTTATTTTATTTTTTTGTAAGGTTTAAAAAAAAATCTGATTGGAAAATATCAACAAATTATTTTGTGCACACTGTAAGATGTTGTACCTTGTATTACAATTAGAATGACCTCATTCATTACTCAGCGGTCTGTTAACCCTTTACACCTTAGGTATATATTGGGTCGTAGGATACACTAAGTTTTTGTTGTTTCAGGTTATTCAGCATTATTTCGTCATCCTAATGATGTGCTCAATTACTGTGTGTACATCATACCTGGCAACCCTAAAGTGACCCCTGATGACCTTACATATTGGCATGACAACCTAATGAAGAACGACCCCAATATCAGCAGGGCCCTCGGTGATAACTTTAAGATTGAGAGAATGAAAGCTGGTATGTCTTCACTCCTTCAGTCTACTATGTACAGTATACTGCTTTAGTCTACTACGTATAGTACACTGCTTCAGTCTACTATGTACAGTACACTGCTTCAGTCTACTATGTACAGTATACTGCTTTAGTCTACTACGTATAGTACACTGCTTCAGTCTACTATGTACAGCATACTGCTTCAGTCTACTTCAGTCTACTATGTACAGTACACTGCTTCAATCTACTATGTACAGTACACTGCTTCAGTCTACTATGTACAGTACACTGCTTCAGTCTACTATGTACAGTACACTGCTTCAGTCTACTATGTACAGTACACTGCTTCAGTCTACTATGTACAGTACACTGCTTCAGTCTACTATGTACAGTACACTGCTTCAGTCTACTATGTACAGTACACTGCTTCAGTCTACTATGTACAGTACACTGCTTCAGTCTACTATGTACAGCATACTGCTTCAGTCTACTATGTACAGTACACTGCTTCAGTCTACTATGTACAGTACACTGCTTCAGTCTACTATGTACAGTACACTGCTTCAGTCTACTATGTACAGTACACTGCTTCAGTCAGTACACTGCTTCAGTCTACTATGTACAGTACACTGCTTCAGTCTACTATGTACAGTACACTGCTTCAGTCTACTATGTACAGTACACTCCTTCAGTCTACTATGTACAGTATACTGCTTTAGTCTACTACGTATAGTACACTGCTTCAGTCTACTATGTACAGCATACTGCTTCAGTCTACTATGTACAGTATACTGCTTTAGTCTACTATGTACTGTACACTGCTTCAATCTACTATGTACAGTACACTGCTTCAGTCTACTATGTACAGTACACTGCTTCAGTCTACTATGTACAGTACACTGCTTCAGTCTACTATGTACAGTACACTGCTTCAGTCTACTATGTACAGTATGCTGCTTCAGTCTACTATGTACAGTACACTGCTTCAGTCTACTATGTACAGTACGCTGCTTCAGTCTACTGTGTACAGTACACTGCTTCAGTCTACTATGTACAGTACACTGCTTCAGTCTACTGTGTACAGTACGCTGCTTCAGTCTACTGTGTACAGTATGCTGCTTCAGTCTACTATGTACAGTACGCTGCTTCAGTCTACTATGTACAGTACGCTGCTTCAGACTACTATGTACAGTACGCTGCTTCAGTCTACTGTGTACAGTATGCTGCTTCAGTCTACTATGTACAGTACACTGCTTCAGTGTACTATGTACAGTACACTGCTTCAGTCTACTATGTACAGTACACTGCTTCAGTGTACTATGTACAGTACACTGCTTCAGTCTACTATGTACAGTACACTGCTTCAGTCTACTATGTACAGTATGCTGCTTCAGTCTACTATGTACAGTACACTGCTTCAGTCTGCTGTTTATAGGAATGTATAATGATATATCTACCTACATCTCCTGTGGTGGTTCACTTTTAAGAAATAAACTTTTACTTATTCCTTTATTTTTATGTGAACTTTTTGTTTTCTTTTCCTATATAAGCTTCAACATTTTCTTTCCTTTCCAGAGACCTTGACTCTCTCCTTCTTTTACAATGTGACCTTGAAACCTTTTTTTTACTTCTACAAAATTAACGATGACTTTGTCTTCCATTTGCAATTTGACACTATTTACTGGGTAGGGAGAAGGTGACACACCATGTTCTCATTGTGGGTGATGCTGTGTTGTGTTTTTATCTTCAGCCAGTCTGAGACTGGGTGGGGAGAAGGTGACACACCATGTTCTCATTGTGGGTGATGCTGTGTTGTGCTTTTATCTTCAGCCAGTCTGAGACTGGGTGGGGAGAAGGTGACACCCCATGTTCTCATTGTGGGTGATACTCTGTTGTGCTTTTATCTTCAGCCAGCCTGAGACTGGGTTGGGAGAAGGTGACACCCCATGTTCTCATTGTGGGTGATGCTGTGTTGTGTTTTTATCTTCAGCCAGTCTGAGACTGGGTGGGGAGAAGGTGACACACCATGTTCTCATTGTGAGTGATGCTGTGTTGTGTTTTTATCTTCAGCGAGCCTGAGACTGGGTGGGGAGAAGATGACATATGGTGACCATGTTCTCATTGTGGGTGATGCTGTGTTGTGTTTTTATCTTCAGCCAGTCTGAAACTGGGTGGGGAGAAGGTGACACACCATGTTCTCATTGTGAGTGATGCTTTGTTGTGTTTTTATCTTCAGCGAGCCTGAGACTGGGTGGGGAGAAGGTGACATATGGTGACCATGTTCTCATTGTGGGTGATGCTGCGGGTATGATTGACCCTATGACAGGTAAGTCTTATGGAGGAAACTCTTATCACTGGAACATCTTCTTAACCCTGGAAAGTTTTGTTAATCTGACAGCAAGTTTTACATTTTATATAGAAAGATGAAGTTGTAAGCTGCCGTAAGACTGACACATCACTCAAAATCTTTGCTTAGAATGGTAATGTTTCACCTAGTTGTCATCACCAGCTTTCCAGCATCATATTTACTTTAAGTCAGGCCTGTAGGTAGATTATGATGTAAGTAATGAATATATGAAAATGAGAATTTTTTTTATTTTTTAAAGCTGTTCAATTCTTATTTAAACAGTATCCATGAGGTTAAGGATAGAAGTTTTAGCTTCAGATGACATGTAGAAGGTAATAACGACATAAAATAAAACTCAGTTGAAGAAAACATGTGTCACATCTTATATATTGTTCTACAGGCGAAGGAATTCACCATGCAATGGAGGGTGGTAAAATGGCAGCCCAGTTTTTAGATGAGGCTTTAAATAATGGCAGCTACGGCAAAGATGTCATGAAAATTTTTCATCAAAGGTGGATGAACAAATTTGGTTTCGACTTTCGATGGTAAGTGTTTGATGTTCTGCTGAATTTAAATGTTATTTCACGAGCTTTGATAATAAAGAGATTTTGGTTTTTTTTTCTCTTTTCATTTGCAGTAGACTATGTGTTCTTCATCACCCCTAAAAAAGTATTACTATGGATATTTGTCAAGCAAAAGAAGAAGACAGATGAAATGTTATGTAGATTCCCATAAGTCCATAATTTGTTTTTGTTCCTGTTTTATTTTGAGATAGAATACTTGCTATGTAGGGGCAGCCATCTTGACTTGGACTGTAAGTGAAATTGGTTGCTAGAATTATACAGGAAGATTTTTTCTCATATGTATTGTGTGGAGGTCCTTAAATCTCACATTTTTTGAGACTGATTGAAGAACAAGAGGCTTCAATGCCAAGTTTATTATAATTTCTCTTCACACTTTTTTTCAAATTTTGTTTGTATGTCCCCAAAAAACAATGTGCAATATGCACAGTTTTTTAGCCCACCATCATCAGATGGACGTCTGTGGTCCGTTGTCCATCAATCTGTCCATTGTCTGTCCGTCTATCCATAAACAATTTTTGTTATTGCTATTTCGTTAGAAATACTGGATGAACCTTTTTCAAATTTCATTTGTAGATTTCCTTCGGTCCCTAGTTTTGCCCATTTGATTTTTGGACTGATCAGAAAAACAAAATGTCCGATGGGCAGCCATCTTAGGTTTTTCAGTGAAGTTTGTTATCGTTATTCCTGAGATGTGTGAATGGATCTCTTTCAAATTTCATATATAGGTTCCTCTTGGTCACTAGCTGTGCCCGTTTGATTTTGGGTGTGATCGAAAAACAAAATGGCCAACAGGTGGCTATCTAGGATGGTCTAGACAGTTTAACCTGCTGTATCATCGAACCATCACATGTGTGAAGTGGCTCATCATATGTAAATATAAATGTAAAGTAAGATGTGATTGTGTTTATATTTAGAGATGTTTGTGATTACAGGTCGATGGCGTTTTGTCAGTTAACCTACCGTTTTCCGATACTGCTGGATGCTGCAACTGCTGCTGTGATCCGCAAGGGAGACAACTTCCTCTTAAAATGGACAGACATCATGACAGGTAGACATGAATTCTAGTTTGATTTATTAGAGAAAAAAAAACAGAGAAAGAAAAAATGTACCTGTATTGTTGTAATTCAATATTCTTGATGATATGATATCAAATATAAGAGCTATGTATATTTAAGATGTGATATCATATTCATTTTACTGATGTTTACGTAGTAATTCCAGCCCTAGTAACTTTGTTATCCTGATTGGGTTAACATTTTCCTGTTTATGATGAGATCCTGAGAAGAATATAGAAAACAATGTAGACTGATTAGACAATATAGTGATGGAAATTTTCCTCTCTGTCTGTAGACATATTTAAATGTACACTATATAGTATATCAACTTTATTTATTTTACAACAATTGCGAAACCGGTTATTTCAACTTGTACTAATCACTCTTGTTGTCCCGGATGTAAGTGCGAGGGGTCTTATTATTTGAGGGAACAGAGCACCTCAGGTGTGTTCATAAGTTTAATAATGATTATCATATTTAGCTGATAATTTTGTCTGTTGTAGGTCGAGTACCAAAGATCCATATGTTGAAGCCTGAATTTACACTGACTATCACATTTGAACTCATTCGCCTTTGTGTCTTAAGATTATTTGGAAAATCAGGCGGAAATCAAAAGAAATCAAACTAAAATGTATTCCAGAAGTGAATTTCTGGTCTTTGTGACAATTTATATATATCAGAGCCTATGTAATATCATGCTAACACAGACACTGTGATAGTCTGGATACAAGTTCATGATCAGGTTGATCAAAAATGTGTGTTTGTTTTATAATATCCTGGACTGTCCGAGTGTACAGTTAGTTACCAGAAATATATATTTGTTTTTTAATATCCTGGACCGTATAAAAGTCCGAGTGTACAGTTAGTTACTAGAAATATGTTTGTTTTGAAATATCCTGGACTGTGTAATAGTCCGAGTGTACAGTTAGTTACTAGAAATATGTTTGTTTTGAAATATCCTGGACTGTCCAAGTGTACAGTTAGTTACCAGAAATATGTTGTTTTTTTTTAATATCCTGGACTGTGTAATAGTCCGAGTGTACAGTTAGTTACTAGAAATATGTTTGTTTTGAAATATCCTGGACTGTCCAAGTGTACAGTTAGTTACCAGAAATATGTTGTTTTTTTTTAATATCCTGGACTGTGTAATAGTCCGAGAGTACAGTTAGTTACTAGAAATATGTGTTTGTTTTAAAATATCCTGGACTGTCCGAGTGTACAGTTAGTTACCAGAAATATATATTTGTTTTAAAATATCCTGGACTGTATAAAAGTCCGAGTGTACAGTTAGTTACCAGAAATATATATTTGTTTTTTAATATCCTGGACCGTATAAAAGTCCGAGTGTACAGTTAGTTACTAGAAATATGTTTGTTTTGAATTATCCTGGACTGTCCAAGTGTACAGTTAGTTACCAGAAATATGTTTGTTTTGAAATATCCTGGACTGTGTAACAGTCTGAGTATATAGTAAAGCTATCCAATTTTATTTTTTTGTTTTGGGTGTGTGATAACACAGACTGTATAAATACTCAATGATCAAATTGATATCTATCAGCATACATGTACATGTGTATCAGAATCAAGGAGGCAGCAACATGCTCTTGTTAAACTGTAGTGATCGAATCATGAGTGAAAGAAAAGTAAGATAAAATCAGCCTTATTTTAACCATAAAGTATTGATTTAAAATTGGTTGGAACCCTAACAGTTACGGCATGTGTTTGCATTAGAAAATGAAACAGCATCCAGTGGCTATTATATATATGATAGTGACAATCCAGTAGTACATGTTTCAGTCTGTACATACTGTAGGACGCTGGATAACATTTTCTATATTTATTGCATAATCAGAATACAATCACTACATTGTCCATCAAAGGAATTTATTTATAGATTATACCTAAAAAGTGCCAAGTTAGGAAAATGGTTACTTTGTCGACCCTTTGGTAGGCGTTTGTTTTAAACACTCACAAAACATTTATACAAAGCATTATTCATTGTGTGAATTACATGGCTGTGTGCTGTAGAATTCTCATCAACAATTTTGTAATGTACATATAAAGAAGAAAAACATGAAGCTGTTTAAAATGTCATGAATTTGTTGTATCATAAGATGTAGAATGTTAAAAATGTCATGGCATTGTGTTAACATTATATGCAGGATGTTTAAAATGTCACGGCATTGTGTTAACATTATATGCAGGATGTTTAAAATGTCACGGCATTGTGTTAACATTATATGCAGGATGTTTAAAATGTCACGGCATTGTGTTAACATTATATGCAGGATGTTTAAAATGTCATGGCATTGTGTTAACATAAGATGTAGGATGTTTAAAATGTCATGGCATTGTGTTAACATAAGATGTAGGATGTTTAAAATGTCACAGCATTGTGTTAACATAAGATGTAGAATGTTTAAAATGTTATGACATTGTGTTGACATAAGATGTAGGATGTTTAAAATGTCACGGCATTGTGTTAACATAAGATGTAGGATGTTTAAAATGTCATGACATTGTGTTGACATAAGATGTAGGATGTTTAAAATGTCATGGCATTGTGTTAACATTATATGTAGGATGTTTAAAATGGCATGGTGTTAAGATTAGATGTAGGATGTTTAAAAATCATCTGTAATATTTACCTTCCTCAGGTTCAGTATAGTCCCACAATTCTGTAATATCTGACCTTCCTCAGGTTCGGTGTAGTCCCACAATTCTGTAATATTTACCTTCCTCAGGTTCGGTGTAGTCCCACAATTCTGTAATATTTACCTTCCTCAGGTTCAGTGTAGTCCCACAATTCTGTAATATTTACCTTCCTCAGGTTCAGTGTAGTCCCACAATTCTGTAATATTTACCTTCCTCAGGTTCAGTGTAGTCCCACAATTCTGTAATATTTACCTTCCTCAGGTTCAGTGTAGTCCCACAATTCTGTAATATTTACCTTCCTCAGGTTCAGTGTAGTCCCACAATTCTGTAATATTTACCTTCCTCAGGTTCAGTGTAGTCCCACAATTCTGTAATATTTACCTTCCTCAGATTCAGTGTAGTCCGACAATTCTGTAATATTCTACCTTCCTCAGGTTCAATTGTGTAATGTTTAGCATATTTTCCAAGCAACACCTCATTATTGTATATGTTGTAATTATATATTGTTATCTATAAAAAATGAAAAGGTGATACTGTCTCAAAATTGTCTCCCCTTCAATGCCTACTCCTCCAAGTTAATACCTGGTTTAATGAGTTCAAGTTCAGTATTATAGATGAAGAAGGGAAGATGTTGACTAGTACGAAATACACAGTGATTATGAAAAGTCAGAAAATAAATTGTGATTAATAAGTATGTGACTACAACAATATAATGTGATTAGTAATTTTGAGGCTGGTGACCACTTTCAGGTAATAAAATTAATTGTAGGGGAGAGGGGCAGTTGTTGACATATACAATAATTCTCTCATTTCCTCACAAGTGTTTTATGATATAGGTAAAAGTGTCCTGATACAACTGGTCATGGTTCTTGCAACAACAATATCAAATGGCTTTATTGGAAATCATTTCTTGAAATCTTTGCTCAGATGATTACTAAATCATAAAATGATATAAATTTGATTGTGTGTGTTGTCTATTTCTGACTTCTTATGACTTAGAAACTATTCATTATAAATACATGTACAGGTAAATTGCTTCCCTAAATACATGTGCATAACATTCCTTACCTGATCATTGGGGTTAAATTATATATTAGTATGCTTGTCTGTATTATTTGTGTGTTTTTATTTTTATATCTACAATATGTCACCAGACCAGGTGTTCACAGCACGGAACAAAAAGCTATAAATACAAACCGATATATCAATATGACCTATATAAACGAATATACAGCTATGAAATGATCATATTTACAGTTTTGTGTGATAGATGTTTAACAATTTTCATTACCCACTGGATCTGAGCACCGTGTGAGGGACAGGGGCCTGGTGTATCACAAGTTTTATTATTCCATATCAGTGATTACTGTCACAATTACACTACAACTGAACGGAATGTGATTTATACAGAAATAAATGCAGTTTGTTCAGATAAGTCTCCAAAGTTATTTTTTATCGGATAGGGACCATACGGACCTCAGAACTTTAATAACTTTAAAACAAATTACCTGTAAAGTTGTTTGAACCTGCTACAGTCATCTCTATGAAAAGATAGGGAGGTAAATCTTACAGTGGAATAACTTCAGGTTTGAAGTCGATAAAGGCACCACGGAAAACTTACAATTAAAAACAGAAAATAACGACATGTAAACTTAATCTTAGTTGAAGTCCATGAAACTATGGCAAAATATGAACAAAACAAGGTTTACTCAGAGACTCTTGAAAAAGTGCAAGGATAATAAGGCCAGGTGTTCCGGAAGAGTAAGTATCTTCTGCTTCATTGACGACAACCATCATGCACATTTTGGTCAATTCAAGTAAGTAGTGTCATGTTTCAAAATGAGTGCAAGGTATGGAGGAACGAAACCAACCGGTATACTAAGAAAAGTTCAGCTTTACACTGAAAAAAATATTTCTCAACGAGATCATTATGACGAACTTCTGGTAACCTATACCAAGCTGCGTCTCTCGAAACAGTGTATTCTAGGTTTATCTGTAAGTTGTGGGCTTCTTAAACATAAATTTAAAAAAATAAGAGCATGTCGTGGAATATTGAATCAACAGCGACATATAAACACCAAAGGATGGATATGCAGGGTTGTTGCTCTCCAGAAATGGAAAAATCACAATAATGCAATTGAAATCATCACGCTTATTATAAAGCTTGGTGGAAAGTTTCTATTGGTTTCGTGGTAGAAAAAGACCGAGGATAACAGCTGATGTAGAAGCGTCTGTTTTATCCCTGGTGGTTATATACAATGGACATGGTCAATAAATTTCTTATTTAAGGACACGATGTCATCAATATATCTGAAAGAGAAACTGAAGGACTTTGCAAGGTCTGCGTGATCAGTTTTGATAAGCTCTTTGATATGAATAGAAGAAAACACCAATATGTGACCATGTTCATAATTCAAACACAAATTCAACACAACTGGGGTCAAAATATGAACAAAGGAGAGATTTACACGGAGACTCGTATAAAAGCATAAGGGAAATAAGACCAGGTATTCCGGAATAGTAAGCGTCTTCTGTCTCATCGATAATAAGAAGGTTTTACATGTCAGCGAGGAATCCGTTAAACTGACGGCATGGGATTGAAAATTGATATGTTTTAGATTTTTAGATTTAGACTGTGTGACCTCCCAATTTTGGGTTAATGACTGTGTGACCTCCCAATTTAGGGTTAATGACTGTGTGACCTCCCAATTTGGGGTTAATGACTGTGTGACCTCCCAATTTAGGGTTAATGACTGTGTGACCTCCCAATTTAGGGTTAATGACTGTGTGACCTCCCAATTTGGGGTTAATGACTGTGTGACCTCCCAATTTAGTGTTAATGACTGTGTGACCTCCCAATTTAGGGTTAATGACTGTGTGACCTCCCAATTTGGGGTTAATGACTGTGTGACCTCCCAATTTAGGGTTAATGACTGTGTGACCTCCCAATTTGGGGTTAATGACTGTGTGACCTCCCAATTTGGGGTTAATGACCTTGTGACCTCCCAATTTAGGTGTTGATATTTATTTGAATATCATTTTCCTGTTGCCTCTTACTTCTCAACAGTTAAAACTCTTAGCCTCAATGCCAAGTCCTACGAGGACAAAACATATGTTATGATGCAGTGTAATTCATTATTTGGCTGTACTGTAATTGATTCTAAATGTGTTGACAGACGCGTGAACCATTTGTACAAAGAATTAGTCTACATTGCATATTTTCTTGAACTGATATGAAAAAAAAAAGAAAAAGATGCAAGACATTGTTCGTAACAGATGCAGCCTACAATGACGAAGGGGACGGGATACCCTCAAACCGTTACTTATGTTCTCACGGTCCTATTCTATATTCAATATTTAAAATGTGAGAATGTTACCAGTAGTGTTCACTACCATCACATGGAATATCAGCTCTGATCAAATGACATTTCATAAATCCGTATTCACATTTCCTTTATGATCTTTATGAAAGTCTTATCATTCATTTAAACTACACATCTCGTTCCCTCTTATTTCATATGTAATTTTCTCGGATTAGCGTAGTGTTTTAGATATTTATGTTGAAAACCGTTTTCGTCAGTTTTTGCAATAATGCTTCGTAAGCGCTTTTCATGATGACACCAAATCTCTCGAATTTACGAAGTTACAGGAATTCAATGACGAAACAATACCTTTTTGTAATCTTAACACGTTTTAGAGAAAATTTGTCTTCATTGGCTTCTGTATTAAATTTTGCAATTTCAACCAACGAACAGACATGTCAACAGATTCTTTATTCAAATTTAATTATGCGAGGGCAAAATATGAACAATAGAATGATTTACAAAAAAGCTGAAAAAGGACAAGGAGAAGGCGACCAGGCGTATCAGGCGGTAAGCGTCTTCTGCTTTATCGACAACAACCGCCATGTAAATCCTGGTCATTCTAAATAAGTAATGTCACATTCCAAAATGAGAACAATATGAACAACCATGGAACCACCAGACCTATTTAGTAAACCAGCAACTTCAAATCGCACAAGGAATTAGAAAAATGCACAAAGAGATAGCATTATGACAACTGTAGAATTTCTCATAATCTTGAGACAAAATTTTCTCGAAACCGTGTATTGTAAATGTGCTTGTCAGAACAACCTTCATAATATCTCATAAACTGCTACTAGTTAACATCATCGACATGGGAAGCAGGGATGTTGCTATCCAGAAATGCAACTATCACGATAGGCAATGGAGTGTTGAAATCACCACGCTTTGGATACAACTTCGCGGAAAAGATGTCTCTGTTGGTTTTGTTGCATAAAAGGTAGGGGACAGTGGTTGATGTATACTAGTCTGAGGTGTCCTTGATTTCCAATTACTTTGGGGACATCACTAACATTTAATTTTGCCTTTTTACTGATTTTGTTTAAAACAAACTAACTGTAGACTGCTGGTGAGCAATGTGATCAAATGCTTCCTCTGCATGTTACACTCATTAGTGCCTCGCTTAATAGCAAGGTAATGGTTGAATATATTTATACAAATGAAGTACATCGTAGTAAGTTCAGTTCTGAAACGACAAGCGTTCCCGTAACCGAGATAAAGTCTGAGTTGAAGACTGTTCATTCTGATAGTTGACGTTCACGGCTAGATGAGGGTAATTCAGGGCCTGATTCTCTCTACTTGCTCTTCCCTCCTCACCCCTCACAATATGCAACGTCATAGATTTTAGGTCATTGATAAAGAGACCACATATAAGTATGACAAACACAATTATACCCAGAATTCCTATCACCACGTGGACAGTATAAGGTGTCGGAGGGGAAGAGAATGTTGTCTTGTTTTCGTTTATATTGATTTCCGTTGCTGCCGACGGTGACATTTCGGTTCCCTCTAAATTGTTTGATGTCTTCAGACTTGACGAATTCAGCATTGTCTCCGAAGTCGTACGTATTGTTTGGCTTTTCTCTAACGATATTTTATTTCTGGACACAGCTGTATTTTGCCGTACGGTGTCTACGTCCCTTTTTGACTTTACAATATTATTTTCGTCGATGTTATCACAATTACCTGTAGGAGACACACATTTACTCCGTGTGAAAAGATTATATGATTTTTGGGTTAGCAGGAATCCAGGACGTGACAAAGAATAGCCTCTCGAAGTTGAAAACGATTTTGATCGGATTCTATCGATAAATCTCGTAAACGCTGTTGATACAGGAGCAGACGTATGTAGACAGGAAACATCCTGGTCTGTTAGTATACTTCTTTGTCTACCTACAACAGAAATCAAACCTGGTAATAAACGCCATTGTTCCTTACCGTTTGAAAAGTGTATATAGGGCATCATTATGATAAAAATGCAGCAAGTTTTTCAGTAAGCTCGATTGCAAATATGATAGAGAAACAGAAATGACAACATATGGAAATTGCTGACTTCTGTCCAGTTCGGATGATGACCCACGATTTATTACACCAGATCATACAGCATGGAAAGTTCTGCAATCATAAAGGGAAGGCTTAGACGTTCCTAGTAAACAAGTTTCGGAAGAGACAAAATCTTTAAGCTTTATTTTGCTGTATAACGAATCATTTTCGTGCTCTTTATGTTTCACGAGATAGAAACCACCTATAAGAAAACAGGGAACCCTGTTGATCTAACAGATGTTACAAATATCAATATCTTATATGATTGACTTGTTTAATAAAGTTGATAGGTATAATATTGAAAATAAATGTACCATTCGAAGGAGAATAAAGTTGGACAAATTTTATTTTAAAGAAAATCTTGATTACTAACTTACGATATACTGTCTTCACTTTTCTGTTCATCCTATATAACAACATAGTTCCATACCTGGTTCAAACTCGCAGAGTGCCATGTTCGTTTCGTTACAGTTGAGAGCCGTCCATGTATTAGAGAGGATATCAATCACACCACAAAGACCACGGCGCCCATTAGGGACAAAGTTGCGCATGCTCTCTTGTGGAACATAAGTCTGATTGGTACAGTCACGTCTGCTCCATCTACCGTTCCCACCAATATCCTGATAGTTTACCCAAGTGTGTCTGTTTCGTCTGTAGTCCATGAAAACATAGTAAATACGTTAACATTAATATCTATGTACATATGTTTAAACAAGATATATATTCATACAGCTTTAAACACTGGAAATGATAATATGTATTTTTATCGTTCCTTCGCTTTTCGTTGTATGATATTAAATAGACACTACCTAAAAGCGAGCACAATGTGAACAATATCATGATATATACTTTTACTAGATCCATGAGAAATAAAAACTTAATATCATTTCTCAAGATAGTCACGTCGATTTGTCAATAAGTGTCAATTTGACGCCAAATTATCTCACTTGATAACTCTATGGATGGGTTCTTGTTTCTGCAGTAGTACATATTTTCTCGGTTCTGTATTTGTCTTTTTTCCGTATCGAATCATCCCGCTGTTAAGTATTTACCGCGCTTTAAAACAAGGATTAGCTAAAAAAAACAAAAAAAGGTATGTTTTTGATTGGTTAAACTCTACTTTTGGCATTACGGGTTTCAAATTTTGAATGTGCTTGTTAAGTTTGTCTGAAACTTTTACATATAGGAAGTTTTTATTTCCACATGAATCTTTTAAAGGCTACTTTTTACTCAGTTGATAGGTCTGAAGTTTCCAATCCTTTCAGCAAAATATTCCAGAGAGCCGGCTTTCAATATGATCATATATTTTTGTTTTTAGTTTTGCAATGATTTTGGATGCACAAACAATACCATGCAGCCCTCACTGCTCTCTAAATATCAGCACAGTGTTGATCTTACTTACAGCAAGGGAACCGGAAATGCCGATAAGAACATAGCTTCCTGGTAGTTGTCAATGGTAACCAAGTGACCGGAAGTATTGTATGGCGCCTGCTTTAAACAGGCCGTTTCCGCTGCATTCCATGTAACGTTTTTATTATGAAATCCGTAACAGTGGCCATCGAGTTGATTGTGTAGAGATGATGGAGGACAGTGCGTGGAGCGGATACTGTCTGAAACACCAATCATTAGCGTTTGTTATAATCTATAGGCTGTTGAATGTTGACATCATTGCAAACAATTGAAGAGTATTTTGTGTCATATCTCGCCGGTAGCTTTATATCTGTTTTTAACAGGTCATCCTCCTAATGGTCAAATTCCACTAAATAATGTTAATGTGTCTGCTTCAATAGTTTTTTCTTCTGAAACCATTCCCGAAGGTACAGTGCTACCATAAACGACAATATTTGCTATATATGTGGCTCAAACCATGACGCTGTCATATTAACATTCCCAAGGCACGGTTTAACTGATGACAATGTAGTCACCCATTAGTGATAAATTTCACGCCGGCAGTGTGAAAATCATAAATAACATTAGAAATTATTGACTGTAACGGAAACGAAACTATATCAAACTAATGGTGAGGGAATATTACGTAATGTGTGCCTCATCCATCACCATTAAAAGTCTAGACGTTCCTTAGAAGGGATACATTGACACTAGCTTTAGTTGAAAGTGGTAAAGTATGTATTGTGTCAGGTACCACGCAGCAGAACCCCTACACCTTAAGATGAATTAGTAATCGATGTATACCAGTAGGAATGTTCATTCTATTTAACGACTGTTGTGTTGGTTCTGTCGGACCACTGTAAAGAACATTTCTGAAGAGAAGTATTTTGACTTGTTTATACGTTTCGCTAATATTTTGATGATAGATTTACGTAACGAAACTTCGCATTAAAACTGTTTTCAATAATCGGTTATCTCTGCAACTATTGACACAACTGCCTATGTATTTTTCTTGAAACTGGTGCTTATCATTTATTTTTTTATTTATTCGACAATGACAGAAAACCGCTGTATTTTGGCAGTAGTTAACGGATACCATTATGAAACTATCGGGGAAATATATTTAATGATATATAAGATATATTGTACACAATCTTTGTATCTTAATGTGGAGGACTGTGGCCTCTGACCCTGAACAGTTTGGCAATTACCACAAATTCGTTATTAGGTATACAGGTAGAATTGTAACCGGGTTGCACATGGGTCTAAGAAATGACTAGGACAACCAGGTCGGGTTCGTTCGTTTATTGAGCTTTACCACCAATCTATATAATCCAAGTAGTAGCGTATAAAGATTGAACCTACAATACACAATTAAAAATACATGTCTTAACACAATGATAACAATACAAACCTACATCACTATCAATAGCACTATCTTATACATAGATTTACTTGTCAGTGGTAAATAACATACATGTGTATAATAAAACAAAGACAAGTATTACCCCTATATATCTGATACCACAAGGGGAGATAATCCACTTGCCCAACTATAAAAAACACACATACAGATATATAGAAATTATCAAAATAGTGGATATGATCCATATCTACCTTACATTGATCAAATATATAATTTACAACATGAACTATGAAACAATAGAATCCACCGGCCGGCTATTAATAGTACACAATCACATTTCACATATGAATTAAAGTACAATTGCCAAAATGTAAATTACACTAAAATAAGCTATTGTGCTTACCTCGACTATGGGTTGAGGATCATACGCCTCAATCCGATCTACTAGGATAAGTACCAAAAGGAGTTTAGTTTCTGTTTATATCACATTATTACGAGAGGTGAGAAACACACCTATCTCCAGCTAAGGCTCTTTTCCTTCTGACAATTTACACAAAGAACTTTCCCTCCAAAAATACAGCCAATAAAATAAAAGGTCAATTAAAAGGTCATGTCAAGGGTCAAGTTAGTTATGGACATTACATACAAATATCATGCAGACAAGACATGGACAGTACAGGTAATACTGGAAAATACTTAGGTAGTTAGGTCACATGACCATACCTATACATAGCACATATACAACATTGATACTCCATTAAGTGGTTACCACTTTCCATATACATCACCAGTACCTGTATATAGATATAACAAGTTCTTACTCTGCATTACACATAATACAGGTGCACTGCAATTATACACTAAAAGTTCGTCAATATATACTTAGACCCTAATTTGCATAATAACTTTACAATACACAACTTGACCTACATGTACACTAATGTAAATTAACTGAAAAATAAAATACATTATTGGATTAGGTGAAATAGTTCACCTGGCCACAGAATGTTCAAATAACATGTTATGAAATGAACTTTATGTATTACGTGGTTCTTTGATTATTTCATCCACAAGAGGTTTACTTTTTATTTACCTGAACATACCTCTATTACCTAATATGACCTTCATGAGTACGACCTTCAACCGTCTAAAATGGACATATCACTAAGTGGATCGTTATTTCTTTCTTACTGGCCACTCCATTTCAGCAAAGTCTAATGTCTGTTGCCACAAGAGACAAATATGATTGCCACATTTCAATCATTTGATTATGTTTCCTAGAAACAAGCTATCGTTTCCGTCTGTGGCCTCTGTGTTTTGGTGGTTACGTCTCAGCCCCAGACACCAATCCCACCACTACGAAATCTCATGAATTGGTAACGAACACTGATGAATAGTATTATAGAATCTAAATATCTTTAAACCTCTACGCGTTTACTAGCAGTGAAACATCGGCTGGTTATTTACAATGGCTTTTTGTACTGTTCCTAAGGCTTTGAAAGCGTCTAGCTTGTTAGACAGACACGTTATGTGATGTATAATTCTAGCGAGCTAACACACACAAAGTATCAATCTTGTTTGTTATTGTTTACAATACAGATTTTTAGTTTCTTATCTATTTTAGCATCCCCTTGGTAATGTGGAAATAACGTTGAGTTTTGAGTAACTATAAATGACATTAACGAAGAATAAGAGTGAACTGAGACAACATCAAAGGATGGAGTTTTAGCACTATTTCTGTTTATTAGAACGAAACATATTTTTATGTTTAAAACCACCGATCAATGTCATGAAGACCTTTCGAGTTGCTCGGGCGTGATCGATTTAACATCACATTGTATTCCTTACGTATGTATGATTGCAGAAGACGATGATGACTATCAGTGGTTATTGTACTATGATATTGCAACACGTCTGTCTTGTTATCATACAATGTTTGCGTATGTTACATACATAAAGAAATTGTCGTAATTCTTTTTAGAATCACTGAAATGGCTGTCAAATATCTAAATTCCTTCAAATCTGAAATTATCTTGCTGCAACAAGTACAAATAAAACACAAGTGTTATCAATGAATAACATCAAATACAAAGTGACCTTGATGTTTTCGACAGATGTAGTAATTGGGACCAATTGAGTTTGCATTTTCACTCAAGTCACATCCTAAACTGACAAACAGCGGTTGCGCTCTTTCGAGATTAAGCTTTCTTAACGCCTGCATCCAACCGATATAGCCAATTGTAGTTCCGTCCATCCGTATGTTATCATTTTGCACGCACAGTCCGATTTAAATGCCTTTGAATGCGTCACTATGGTGTGCTATCTTATATCCTGTGTGTCCTATAACCGTGTAATGAAAAACAAATTGAATAGTATTTTGATTTGTTTTCAACATTACTACTGAAACTTTGTCTTCAGATGAAGGCATCAACATGAAAATTCTACACGATACTGTGAAATGGGTATGTCAAGAATGCCAACATGGTCTGTTTAAAATTTTAAAATTATTTATTTACTTATGTCAGTTAGGTGACAAGCAAACACTCTTGAATCACAAGTCTGAAAAGAAAACTTTTAATCAACATTTCTCTTTTGAAATCGGCTGTTAGTTTTTATAGATGATACACAGCGAAAAACGTAATAACTCTTTGATTTTAAATGTTTATATTTGTAGTCTTATTTTCGAAAAGGAAACCGTACAGATTAATTTCGGGTTTATTTCTATACAACTCTCCAATTTTTTCTCCTGTGAAAGTTAATTTCGTCCGAACTATGGACACTTATCAGATATCCACT